GTTTGGAATAAATTAAAAATAAACATTTCAATTTCTTTAATGAAAGAAAAGTGAAGTGAGAAAAACCGGTTGAGATAGGCAAAATTGAAATGCAATTTTGGAAATATGAAAATTAAAAATCCCCAATTCCCCCCACGAAATTGTGAACATTACATCCTCATATTTACAAAGTGAAGACAAACCAAAGAAAAATTGAAAAAGCTGAGAATTAGGAAAAGAAAAATTAGTGTACCGACCAGGAGTCGAGCCTGCAACCTTCGGATTGCCCATACAGCACAAACACATTTCGGAAATATTTCAACAATGTTACACTGAAACATTTGCAATGTTGTATAAATATTACGAAACATTTCTGAAATATGCCTGAAACGTAAAAATGTCCTGTATTTCACAGTAATATTTCGGAAATGAAAATTTGAAATCTTTTAGAAATATTAAATAGTAATATTTCAGAAATGTATTCTAGTTTTGTTTCTAATATATTATTAGTGTGACGATAGTTTAATTTATTTCTTGGCCTTTGGTAATCGAGCTGATTGACGAATCGGCCTGGCGTCACCAGTGTCAATTTTGTGTTTTACAACAAAAGTTCTTCATGTTTTTCCTCCTTTTGGTACAAAAATGTCACGATATCGTCGAAGAAATTATTTTATTTTCATTTTCTCTAATTGATTCAGAGATTGACCAGCAACTGCAGTCATTTGCTCGAATTTATCATTGGAATTATTGAGTCTTCCTATTGGATTGGCATTGTTGAGGAGCTGGATAATCTCAAGGTTTCCATGTTGGAGCAGTCGTTGTTGATGACATGACACACCATATTGGCTAAATCCAATCATTTTACTTTTATTTATAGTAAATTTAATTTTGAAGGTGTATGTTGGGGCTCATTCTATAATCTAATTAAAGCTAGATACTAGAGAATCTAAAACGCTTCTGTTATATTGCTTTATTCTAAGTAGAATTTATGCTAATGACAGTAATGTTATCGAAACAGCCTTTAAAATAATGTAGTACTCGTATAATTTAATGTTGGTAGGTGGGAGTTTTATTAGATGTAAGCGAAATTTCACTATCAATCTGTAAGTCGACCCGGAGCTTCTCCGGAAATAATAATACCCAAGTAGCACCATAATAACACTTTGGGGTTATTTAAGTTTTAAAATGGTTTTAATGTGATAAATAAGAAAATACTGGTTTTTAAGTTACCTTGTACATATACTGCGGGCACTTAAAAGCTGTTTAGCATTTAATACTAGTTTTAAAGTATCTAATAAGATTCGCTAATAAGAGTAATTAATCTTAAAAGTTTGTTTGTCTTGTAGTTTTAAAATGGTTTATTTTCAACTAACTTTAAAACTACTTAGCCTTTTGAAGGGCTTGTAAGTTATTGTTTGGTATTATTGTGTTCTAGATTGTGACGTTATAGTTTTTAAGTAGTTTTAAAGTGATTCTTAATGTAACTAATAAAACCTATTATTAAATCTGTTTGATCTTAGGACAAATATTGCATTTTAAAACTATTTTATTACTTTACCTCATAACGGCTTTCTTAAATGCAATTAGAAAGCTATATTAAAGCGAAACACACTTAACTAAATCAATTTGGTTATCATAAAGACCCAACTGTAGGTACTTCATGTTAGAAACAGTAAAACTAAACGCACCCCTTCTTCTTACGTGGCCCAGATGAACCCCGCATTTTGTAGCATGTCAAACAGTGGTGTACCTACAATAATTAGAAAAACTGAAAACAATATATTATTAATTCTCTAAAAATTCACAAAACACAAACGATTGATACGACACGGAGATTGTAAGGTTAGGTTTACATTAAAACCGAGCGGAATTTATAACAACCGCATTAAAACCGAGCGGAATTTATCACATCCGCATTAAAACTAAAACGTTTAAATCACAAGCGAACCTTGCTTTTATCTAGGGTATGTGCTCTTGGAACACTATAAAACTCGATTAAATAAAACCCTTTGATCTTAGCGTTTCCTTGTCCATTGGTTTTATTTAATTTCCGGCCATTTTAGTCTTACATAAAAACGATAAGTTAACCACTTAAACATATAATTTCGAATTCTTTTAATACAGAAAAATCTAAAATAATAAATTAAATTATTTTTCTTTCAAATTTATATTTTTTCAATTTTTTTTTTGGATTATAAAACATATATTTTAAGGCCCCTAAGTTTTTAAGACTTTTTCGTTAAAATTTATCGATAAAGTCGGGTGCGCAGTATATATTTCTGCCCTAACATTCCGAAATCACTACCTTACTTTTGTTATGATACGAATATAGGTACATATAAATATTCTTTTTGGGTACAGTGTCACAATATTATGATCTTCAAATATAAATTGCTTCTATTTGCTAAAAGAATAATGTATATGGTTTAAAAAACTATTTTCATATGTTAACAATAAGATAAATTATCTTTAAAAGTAAACATGTAACTAACATTTTTAAGTCCACTTCAAAACCGCGTGTGTTTAAAATGTATTTAAACTGGTTTTAAAAGGGTCTTCACAGCAGCTTTAAAATCAGTTGTTCAAGGTAACATAGTTTTATGGTGGTTTTTATTTTTGGTTTTATTGACCTCTTTCAGAGTGGACCCTTTTATGTTATAGGCGTATTTATTACAAGCTTAAGGCTTCTTTTAAAACTAATTGGTTTTAATTGCAGTTTTATTCTATAGTTTTAAAGCATCCTTGATGTACTGAATAAAACCGTTTGGTGCAACTTCCCTCCCGGCACAAAACTTATTATTAATAAAATAACGGACCTTCAACAATACCAATATCCCACGTGATCTGGTTAAATAAGAAATTTAATTAAAATGGTCATTTTAAGTGACTTTATTGTTATTTAATAACAAACTTTTTACCTCAAACCAAAATTATATACATTTTCTGATAATATAATCTAAAAAACGTCTTGTATTTGAATTTAAACAATTTCTCGTAACTCGTAAATCTCTAGATACTTGACAATTATTACTTTTTTCAAACGGCTTTTAACAGTATCACTAATAAATTCAACCAAAAATGTGTCGTAGTCGTAGGTGTCCAGTCCAGTGACTTATACCTACCAAGAATCTCCGTAAATTTGACCCAAGAGCATACTTTAAATAACCTTGGCCTCCACTTGAGCCTTACTCAGCCTTCAAAGGTCGTTAACAGTTATTTTCTTAATAATAATTTTATTGACTTGTCGCGCGGCATTACCATTAACTACTGTTTGTTCAATCCATACAGTTCTCATTGGGTTTTTCGAATATATTTTATTTATTTTATTCGAAATGCTTGTTTTATTGTTACTATTTGTTTTGTTGACTTATTAATGATAACTATATAACAAAAAAAGAACTAAATAGTAATTTAACGTATTCAGCGTCTTTACAATTAGATATACACTGTGTACCTACGTAAAGTATGGAATAAGTTCCTTGCTTCCAAAATAAAAGAAATTTTGAAAAAATCCTCGGAAGTCGTATTTGTTTGTGTTTACGATCTCATCCCTATATATATTTTCTTTCTTGAATTTTACATTTTTAGTCGATTCCTAAAATATAGAATACCTTCCTATTTATATTTGGTAACGGTTTTGAAGATTCAATCATTTTAAAATCTATATTTTTGAGGACCTTTAATAAATTCAAAACAACAAAATAACTAAATTGCCAGAAAATAAATTACAGTAAGTGTAGAATTGCATTCCTTCTTCAGCTTTACAATGTCTCAGATGATGAATAAACTCTTCCTGAACTGTACTGATGGTTTCTGAAATACTACATCTGTTTCGATTTTTTTTGCCTGATAGTAATTATTTGTTAAAGCCTTAATTACCGAGTTGTAAGCCCCAAAAGGAAGGTAATAGTGAAAAATACATTAAACCACTGAATATTTGTTTACAATTTTTTTTACTATTCTACAATTTTTCTCTTGTATTATCGACCATTCATGAAGTTGTAAAATATTAAAAAAAGGGGTTTAGGGTCAATAGTAAAATTTCAATATGATTATTTTTCACTATCACACTCCTTCTGGGGCATATAACACAGCATTTAAGGCTTTCACAAGTGAACAAAAAGACCAACATTTTAAAATAGATGTAGAATTTCAATGGCATCCTCTTTTTAACTGAATTTTATTCTCTAAAACAGTAGGAGGGTCAAAGAGGTGGGGAACACTTCTAAAAACCTATAGAAAGAACAACTTTAAATGCTACTAATTCCGATTCATTGCACACAAAAATATGTTAAGCCGTTTTAGTAAGAGCAAAAATTACTTCTAAAATATCTACTTTAACAGATTGTACATTTTTTATTTACTTTGAATTTTAGTATGAATTTTGTATATGAGCAAATTAGTTAAAATCGATTTATTTTCGATCCCATAAACTGTGATTAAATTTACTGTACATTACGGTGTATGATATATGAAATTGTTAAATACAATCAGTCAATTAATCCAAATTAATTTCGAAAAAAAATGTTATCACAATTAATTCTTGTCATGCAAATAACTGTTTCTTGACATACCTACACTACTTATACATTTATACCCGTCCTATAAACTGAAACCATGTTTTACCTAGGTCAGGTTTAAAAACCTTAATAAATGCAAAATTATTTGGCCGCTGTACCTACATATTTAAATATTTGAACCTGTTTAGAAGGAAAGTTAATCATCGTTATTAAATTCCAAGTATGCAATTTATATACATTTTAAATTATACCTGATAAAATAGTTCATCCGTAAGAGTATAATTTCGTAATAATTAGACCATTATTTAAAATTAATATCTAACACAAATCTGCATCCAACCCTAAAAATTAAAATAATTAAACTAAAATTTGTATTAAATACATTTTAATTTTCTTTGTAATAATAATAATAATAATAATAATAATAATAATAATAATAATAATAATAATAATAATAATAATAATAAGAAATTAAATTATTAACTCTCTTGTTTTTTGCAGGTAACATTACTGTATTGTTTCACCTTTCTACAAGCAGCTGAAAATGACATAGAGGAACCTCCTGAAGGGTATTTCGCTTTTGTAGAGTCTCCAAACGCGGAGCCTCCCAGAGTAAGGCCTCCTCCATACAACCTAGTTCCATATGATTGTAGAGAAGACGACTCCAGGGCCTCTAATGGATCTCCAAATAACCTGTGTGGAGATTTAAATAAAGGTAGCATTCCAAGAAATCCAATGGGTCAAAACGTATTGGGATTTCCATACCCATTGTAAGTATATAAATATAGGGTTTTTTCTTTAGTTAAATTGTCATAGTGTACTTCTGTCTTTTAAATAGTTTTTAATATTATTTTTCAGTGAACTCATCAGAAATATGACATTGAAATATCTCAGTAGAACTCTACCTATTCTGAAAGCAGACGATACTCTACCAAAAGTGGCACAAATGCAAGATGATTATATCAATCAAAATACGTAAGTAACCAAAAAATTGTATTTATGTAAACTGGTTTTCATGGAATCTTATTGTAATAACATAATTTTATTTGATATGATGAACATTCTTGTAAATCCAACTTGTCTGTACATTTTGGATGACTATCTTATATGGATCTTTAATAATTTGTTCTTTTGGCACAACATATTTCATTGGTTCTAGCAAAAGTGTCTTCTTTATCAGCAGTATCTTCATTTCGACTTCATAAACCATTTCACATCTTGCACTCTTACAGAAAAATTGCTGCTAAATAAAAAACCAGTCAAAATAGTACACCAAGCCATAGTAAGTCTTATACTGAGGTGGACCAAATGTCATGGTAAAACAAAAGTCAATCGTATTGCTGATTCGCTTACTAAGAAGGCAGCAGTACTAAAATATTTTTGGATTCTACCCCTACTTCAGACATGATGATGCCTGCAAAAATATGGACGAAAGCTTTCCAGGGAATTACTTAAATGACCGGATAGCAAATACTTGACAAAGAAGAGACAAAACCTACAACTAATAGAGCTGTAGGTATTATAACTGGTCATTGCCAAATCAGCAAATAACTTAATAACATTTCCATCCACTACACTAGATAATCTGTGTTCTGTGAATACTGGCTAACTCTAGCGAATATAAAACATTTAGTTAGTAGAAAAGAAACATCTCTAGTCGACTTTACCAAGTGCTTTGAAACAATGGGCTGTCTTATCAGCTAATAGAATGTCTCTCGAGGAGGATGCTCAGTCAGTCTAATGAGGCCTAAGGGTCGTGGAGCTTAATCTACCGTCCCAACCTTTCAGATACAGTGCTTTCTCTAAGTATTGAGCTTAATAAAACCATATAATGAGGCTTCAACAGATTTTAAATAGTAAAAGTAGTTCTGTTATAAACCTTAGTAGTACTTAGTCTTATTATGTAGGTACTCCTATATTCTTTTGTTTATTGCTACCAAATACGGATTTGAAACAAGAATTGCAGGATATATAGGTTTTTGAATATCTATATTGAAGCTACTGGTCTGAAAACCAGTTCACCAATTGAAATTATAACAGAATTATGACTGCGAATAGTTCACCGTATTACATATTCATCGTCATCTGCTTAAACAAAACTCTATAGTCAATTAGTAAACTATTTTAGCATTCATCGAGTACACCTGTTACATTTTCCACTAATTCAATTCTTTTCATTGACAATGAGGGTGCTCACTTGAAGTTAATGTATGGGTCAGGTGATGGCGAACCTATGACACACGTGTCAAAGATGACAAGGTACCCATTGTTTACGAACGATCATCGGATACAAACTGTCTAAAAGCAACTAGCACCAAAGAGATCACAATAGATGCCACTGGTGCTGCTGAATTTAAAGACAGCATCTGGGTTTAAGTGTTTGTCGACTTGAGGTCAATACTTGAGAATCTGGAATCGTTTGGAGAATATTTGAGTCCTTGAAATCGATTACAGGACACTTTTAGCACTCTGAAGAATCTAGCTATAGCTTTATTTACAGTTTTTCTCTCAACGTATTTTTGTAAGACCCTATTTTCATCATTAAATAATATAATATCGAACAATAGATACCGACTGAAAAATGAAGTGATATTTCTAGATGTGACCTGGCACCAGAGTTGATAGTTGCAGACTACGGCATTCTCTTAATTCATGTCGAAATGAACTAGTTGAAAGATATTAATAGAATGAATGTCTTAAAAATGATTTTTTAGCTTCTGGTGGTGAAGACAGTATGAAATACCTTGTCAAATCACGAACCGTTTGAGATCGAACCAATGAATATTTTGTGGCGTGATATTATCTGCTACTTTCTGCTTATAGCGAAAAATTGCAAAAATAATTGGCTAGTCGGGGTGGGTACTTAATTACCTACATCTGGTTGCTTCTTCTAAACTGACCTGTAAATAAATGAGTACATGACAGATTAAATGGGCGCATCTTGTTGTCTGCAATTCTGTACGGTGCCATACTAATTATATTGTTACGGTTAAAAATAGATTGTTTTTAACAGTCAATGTTTAGTTTTTAGTTTTTTTCTATCACGTAAGGTTTTTAAACAAAATACTACAAGAATGCAAAAAGTAAAAATATATTTATAGATACTTAGGATAAAAAAGAAAACAAACAAAACCGGGGAAGTAGTTAAAAAATAACATACATTATTCCTTTGTTTTCTTGAAAAATCTTTCCGGAAAAGCTTCTTTTTGTTGTTTTTCGTGCATATTCTGCGGTAGGACGGTCCCTTTTAAGCATCCAATAGTAGTCGGCCATCATTTTGATATCCCAGCGCCCTTTATATCGCCGTTCCATCTCTTTTATGTCCTGGTGAAAGCGATCCCCTTGCTTCTTCACTGACATCGCCAAGATTATCCGGAAAATAGTCAAGATGAGCATGTAGAAAAGGAATTTTTAAGCTCATGTTACAGCCTAACTTTCTAAATTTGTCCAACCTTTTTTCAACAATACTTTCAAATTCAGGGTATTTGTAGTTTTCTAGAAACTTATTTATAACTTGTTTAAAAGCTGTCCATGCTTCTTTTTCGTCTTCCTGCATAACCGTCTCAATTTCATTAGTTTTCATCAACCTTCTTATTTGTGGCCCAACAACGATGCCTTCTTTTAATTTAGCTTCAGAGAAATATTTCACACAAGTACTTAAAGCAACCACCATTTTTGTCTAGAGCTTGACAAATTGTTTCATCAGCCCCAATTTTATATATAGAGGGGGTAATAAAATTTTCTCGAGATCAACTAGGCTTTCCCGAATTACGTTTTTGGACCCAGGCGTTAAATTTTTTCTTGGTGGCCAGTTTTTTTTGATCCAGTGGTCATCTCTTGCTCTACTGTCCCACTCACATAGGACACAAGGGTATTTCGTATATTCGGATTGTTGACCTAAAAGCAACCCTACAATTTTAAGGTCACCACATAGAATCCAGTTATGTTGTCTGTAGTTTATTCTTAAAAGCAGTACCTCAAGATTTTCGTAATTTTCTTTTAGGTGAGTAGAATGACCAACAGGAACAGATGCATATAAATTGCCATTATGAAGTAAAACTTCTCTTTGAAGAGTCTATAAAAAGTCTCCACTAAGCAGGATTGTATTCAGGAGCACCTAGGTGAATAACCAAGTCAGATACATTTTGACAATATACAAGTGAACCAGCTGCGGCAAAGTAATTGACAAATTGAGCCTCACGATTTCTATACCAATAAAATGTAGTACCTGGAACAAGTAATTTTTTTTTCTTTAAGCCTTGGTCCTTGATCAGAGAGGTCTTTTGGAAATCCAAAATTCCTGATTAAGTCATTCAGTTCTACTTGAGAAAATAGCTGCGGTTCACGGGTTCCTGAGGTAGATGACTCAAAAATGTCAATTTCTGAATCTGTTGAAGATTCTGATTCGATAGACTGTAATACTTTAGGTAAAACAGGTACAGGTATATCAGCGTCATGTGGAACTGGTCTTATTTTAGACGAAATATTAGGATAGTTAATATACTTTAGAGATTTTGTGTTATGACCTTTAATATCACAAAGACAAAAATAGTAGTCGTCAATGTGATTTTTAGGTTCTCTCCAGACCATTGGTATTCCAAACGGTAGGGCTTTTCTTGCTCCTTTAAACCAATGCCTCAAGGCTTTTTCGCAAATCTTGCAGATAACATGTGGCGCCCAAGGTTTATCTTGATCTCCAAGTCTGACTTTAAAATATGCATTTTTTACGAAATCAGTAATGTTTCTTTTAAACTATAAAGTGTCCACAAATATAACAAAAGTCATCAGGCCTATTTTTACAACTCCTACTAGACATTTTTGTAATAGAAAGTGCAAAACGAAACACCGATAGAATTCGATAGACAACGCCTGTCTCAATACCACGGGGATACTAAATATGTCGCCCTCTTTCCTGAATAAATCGAGTCTCGGGGAATCCCCAACAATTTTCTAGTAAGTACCGGTAAATCCCCCTACAAATGCACAAATTAAAATTTTAACGCGTCTCAACGTTTTGAACAAAAACAAGGAATTTAAATTAATTTGTTTGTGATGTTCAGGGATAATACCCTTGATACTAGTTTACAAAAAAAGTTTACGTGATAGAATAAAAAGGGGGTTATTTTAGTTGTATAGAAGTTGTAAATAAGTAAAAAAAAAATAAAATGGCTAGATCACAAAATTTTCGCGGGCCTGTGTTATTAAATTAAATAACAGTATGGGATCTATTGAACAGTTACCTATTATATAGATTAATTAAACTTCAACCAAGTGTAATTTTTATGTACATAGAGATCGTTTGTGAATTAGGCGGTATTATTTTCTTTTTATTTATTTTGAAGATTTGTATTAGCTAGTATTAGCTCAAATTGTTATCGTTAATGTGGTTTTAAATGTAGATCCGATACTGTTAAGTTTAAAGATTGTCTTAGCTTGTAATAATTATCGTCAAAAGATTATCTTAAATTACTAAAAAGAAAATAATCTACATTATATCTTAATCTATCACCCATTCAAGTATTAACCGTACTCGACCCTTTTTAACTGCATTCAGAGACAAGGGACTGATCTCTGGACTGCAGTTTTAGAAAGACTAAGACTGTAGTGAAACTGAGTTTATGACATAACTTTTATATTTTAAAATTTATTTTATTTCAGTTTATATTCGTCCTATCAACAAAACGATAGAAGCGACAGAACCAAACGTGACCTTACACCCGCACTTTTAGCAACCGAAGCACCGAAAAACTCAACAGCAGCACCCAAACCGGCCATTTCTTCAAGGCAAGCCAGAAAATTCTGCGATCAAGGAGGAGTGTTCTGTATGCTCTACAAAGCCATCAATGGTGAATCAAGTTCCGCACCTACCGATTCTGCTCAGCTTCCTTTGGAAAGAAGAGATGAAGCGCCTTCTATGGTTCCCAGATACGAAGGTCCACCAACACCTTGTCCCGCCAAAGTTGAATATGCTACTCCAGTTTTTGCTAAAAATTACCAAGGAGTATGGAGATATGTGGTTCAAATACCATACGAGGGGTATTTTACGCAAACTGTTGAAGTTACAAGGTAAAATACAATAGCTAATATGCATAAAAAAAAGCAAATGCTCCAAAGTAAAAGGATTTGCTTTAAGTAAAAGGTAGAAGTAAAATCAAAAGCTCCTAACGGTATGTATGAGGCATACCTTTTACTCGGAAGCAAATCCTTCGGTTTTTAAAAGTAAAAGGTCGAGAATACCGAAGTAGTTCGAATAAAAATAACTATTCAGTTCCTAGCATTTTTACTCTATTAATTTAAATTGGCTATATTAGCAGTTAAATTGTGTCTGATTCTTTGTCCTAATTGACGACGTGCCTTATCATTTCCAACGTCATCGACCTCCTCGTGAACAATGGCATCTTTGGCAGGTACTACATCTTCCCCAAAATTCCTGTCTCCTAATATCTTAGCAACATTGTGCAATATAACACAGGCAACAACTTATTTTGGAATATTTTCAAGTTTTATTCGACAAACGTATAACAAACTTGGAAATCTTTATCTAAGTTGCCCAAAGCAGCGTTCTATTATCACCCTTTCTCTTTTTAGCAGTACATTATAGAGGATTTTCATAAAGAGTCATCAAACACGGCTCAATTCCATAACCAGAAGCCGCAATGAGTATTGCCTTTTCAGTTTTTAATAAAATTTCTCTTATCTCACAATTTCTCCAGATTCGATCATCATGACGGATCCTGGTCAACTCACATCTACACTTGTAAATATTTCATTTGCATCACAGGTTGCCTGGACGTTTATTGATGCTTTTCCTTTTCGGTTGATGTACTCATCTCCATAAACATTTGGTTTCTGAATGCTAATGTGTGTACAGTCTATTACTCCAATTGCTGTTGAAAATTGGTACTTACTTTGCCATAAAGTCTTTGCGTGTCTTATTACGCCGTCATTGATAAGAAATGTAATCCAATTATTAGCTTGACTAACGATACGGTCAATCATATACTTCACGGTGAGTGACATAGTACTTTGGTCTACACCAAGATCCTTGGCAACACCACTTTGATATCCCGGATCAGCTATGTACCTCAAAAATATTTTCATTTTGTGTAAGGCAGACAGAGCACCACCCCTAGATTATCTAGTATCATGTACAAATGTATTTGCTAACCACTCCATATGTTCCTCGTTAAATCTAAATAAAGTTTTAAAATCCTTTAATAGAGGATTAGAACGCGGTTTATAATGTTTTCTATTTCACAACTGTACTACTTCTGCCATTATTTTCCACATAAAACCTCTACTTTACAACCAAAGTTTGCTACTAACGTGATGCATTATTTCAAAAGGATTTGCTTGCGGCTGACAGCAGAAGGTAGGTATCATACATATACTTCTACTTTTCCTTGTAGCAAAAAGTAAAAGTCGAAGGTTTTGCTTGAAGGTCAAGTAAAAGGTTTTGCTCATATTTTCGTTCATGCGATTTGAAGTATATCCTTCATATTATACAAGCAAAAGCTTTTGCTTTGGTTTATACATATTACCCAATATGTATTTTTTTGAATTCATTTCGTCAGTGTTTTTAACAATCATTGTTAACGCAACCTGTGCGTTTACCGAAATTAAGTAAACAAATGCTAAAAACAAATTTATACATAATCATACAAAACCCCTTTAGGTACATTATAATTTGTAAATTAATCACCAAATTTAAAATCAAAAATCGTAACAATATTTTTTAAACTCGAAAATAATATCTTTGTTTTAGATGTCTGCAATCCCGTTGCCACTATTTAGATGGTGGTTGCTTGTCTTCTCCGAGATGGTCTAGTCTTTTGGTAGCCGAAATCTATTACCCCGATACAGTTTTGAGCAGCAGTGATACTCTCAATCCCCAAAGGAGTCCTGTAACCGGATCACAACCTCCATCGGTCCAAGATTTTCAGGTAAAATATAATATTTTAATTGCAGGTTTAATTACGAGGCAGAGTCAAATGAAAACATTAAAAGTTATCTAAAAAATATATTGGATGGAAGGTAATATTATTTTTGAGATGTAGAAAGAAGACTTTAATAATGATTTACTATATAAACACAAGTATTAAAAGTAATTTTAAAAAACCGACTTCAAAATTGTGCAGATGCCATCACCACATCTTAACCAAATTTATATGGGACCACCCCTAAAGTACCCCCTTACCAACGAAAAAGAATCATTTAAATCGGACACCGTGTTAAAGAATTATCGCTGAACATACATAAAAAAATATACCACAGATTTAGAAGTAATTGCAGCCACAAACGCCTATTTTGACGAGTTGGATAAATCAGACTACAGTGACGGTAAAAAAATCGCTTGAACATCGTTGGGTCAAATGTATACAAGGGGACTATGTAGAATAATAAATTCTTATTGAGTCACTATTGTGTTGCGTTCTATGTTAAGCCGGTAACTTTTCATCTCATCCTCGTATTTCCTTTAATACATTTCCTTTTTGCTGGAAAGAAGCATCTGTTAATTATGCCAATTCCGAAATGCAGTTCACCCATTTTATTCTCAGATTTAAGACCAATTAGCATTCTACCTGCCTTCTCTTTAAAATGGCACTAAAAGATCAAATGCTTGAATTTATAAAAATTTCTGGCATTATAACATCCGAGCAATCAGGGATAGATTCCAGCTCAGCATAGCACTACAACCACACTCTTAACAATAATTATGAATAATGTTATTAAATCCATTGATCAAAATGATATGTCTCACACTGCTTGACTACAGTAAAGCTTTGGGTACTCTTGATTAAAAAAAATAGTTTTTTCTTTTTCAGTAACAATTCAGCTGATCGAATAGGATCTTGTTTGAAAATCGAACCTAAAGAGTAAAATTGAATAATAAGGTATCGAAAGCTTTGCCTGTTACATATGGAGTACATCAAAGTTCAATCTTCGGATCTCTACTATTTTCCCTATATATTTTCTATATATTAACTCTGCCTCGTACTATTAGGTACAATTAAAACTAATTAAATTAGTCCATGATGGATCTATTAGAAATTTCAGCAGAATGAGTTTAACAAATTGGAAGAGATTAATTTTATTTTTATGTGTAGATGTGATTAGATTAATAAATAATCACACACACTTTGGACTAAGCTATTTATTAAACGGGATTAAGTACTTTATATTGTTATAATCATAAATATTCTTTCTGATTTATTAAACTCAAAGTTAATATAATAAAACCTAGCAAAATTATATAACAAAAATTTAAACCCTAGTTTTTTAATTATGTATTAAAATTTTTGTTTTATTATAATCTTAGAATTACCAGCAGTACCTGCAAAAACGAGCTGGTCTACCTCCAACGGCCGCTGATGCTGGTACCACCCAACGACCATCATCTCAATGCGACGGAATCGATGCTCTAGGGTGCTTCCAAGTACGACTCTACTACGATTGGTTTTTAATCCCAGGTTCTTGTAAATGCTGGCGGCCCGACTATTTTAACAAATACGTCAGAAGGAAACCTAATCAAGATCTTTAAAATTTTTTGAAGAATTTTATACCTATTTAGTTAAAAGTCTATACTTGAAAACCCAGATTTATAAATAATTACCTTTAAATAAAAAAAATATGGTATATTAGAAATTAGACCTATTCTTGATCATAGTAGATGCTAATGTCAAAAATTACATCTAAAAATATAAATTTCTCAAACACAGATACGAGTTATGCCTGCGATAAGTAAGCACGCCTCTGAATGAATCTACAAACTACTAAGATTTATTTAGAAATTATGTTTTTAGGTACTAAATGTAAGCTGCTATTTTTAATTTTGGATTATTTTACAATAATGTTACTTTTAATTGATACTATAAATTCATATGTTTATTATTTAATGAAAATTGTTATATATATTTATAAATTTGTTTAGTAGATAGGTACACGTGAAAAAAGAATCAACATTTCCATTTGAGTTAAGCAGTATGATTACATTTGTTTTTTGTTTATTGTTGCATTACAATAGAATTAAGCTCTTGCATTTACAATAGAAATAAACCATGATCTTTTTCTAGATTGACTCAGTATTTTATTTGTTGATTAGGAACTATTGTTTCCATAAATTATATTATTCTAGTTAATATAAATAGGGTTTTTAAGTATAGCAACATTAAGACTGTTTGGTCCACGTTTTTATTAAAAAAAACGTATTTTAATACAAAATAAGTTGTTAATAATTACAACGAATGAAACTAATTACCCAGTAAAACTCCGGTTTTGAATGACCAAAAATATTTTTCTTATATATACTTATAAATAGATATAATTTTTAGTAATGTACCAACAAATATATTTTAAAAACGGAAACAATACAAAAAATACTTGGTTTAAAGGATAAAGGGTGTTTTTAATGTAAAATTTTTTTGCTTCCTTTTTAAATGTTTTTTTATAGCTATTTTTAAAAATAGGTTTATATTTGGCATTTAAAAATAGAAGCAACCGATGTGAAATATTCTGTCGAATTTTTCTGTACATATTTTAAATTTATATTATCTGGGTGGCAGCGAATTAGTATTAATTTTATGTAAAGTGTAATATATTTTGCCAATAAAGTATTTATTTTGACAATATAATTATATTTTTTCTACGAGCCACTAACGAAAATCCATAAATTTTACAACGTACTGCCAGGAATTACTTAGTATTGCTAAGCAATACCAAGTACTGCTGAGTACTGCCTAGCAGTTCAGGTTAATGTAATGCAGTTTTGAAAAACTAAATTAAAAACGGTAAAAAAGCGGGATAGTACCATGACACTTTAAAAGATTAATAAAAATAAAACTACCCCGACAACACACACAATCCCTGAGTTATCAACAGAATATCTTTTGTGGATATCCAATAGATCCACATGATATCATATATATCCCGTGGATCTAATATATATCCAAATGTCCGTCTATATCCAGGATATAGAAGATATCCTATGGATATCCAGCAAAATATCTAGTCGGCATCTCCCAGACAAAACACGAAATCCCAGAGATATCCACAGAATAGCTTTTGTGGATATCCACAGGATATCATAGATATCCGATGGATTTAATATGGATATCCAAATGTCCGTCTATATCCAGGATATAGAAGATATTCTATGGATATCCAGCAAAATATCTAATGTGCACCTTTAGTAGAGGTTCATAAGTAACCAATGGATATATCCTATAGATGTTTAACATATCCAGTGTACATCCATTATTTGATATATTTAAGATATCAAAAATTATATGCCCATAGGGTGTCGTATTTAATGCTTCATTAATTTTTTTTTTAAGATAAGTGGGAAAATCTACTGCATAATCTAAAAACATTCCATATGAAGAAAATTAGCATTTCAGTAGCATAACATCGGAACGCCTTGTATTTTAAATTTGGTATATACACCCATGCAAAGTTTACTAGGTATTCTAGTGTTAACTATTTTTGATGCTATACAACTTAGGTAGAGCATGTAGAGTAGAAAAAGTATCAACATTTTATTTTTACAATTAAATATTTTACACCATACCTATAAAAAACACCAAAATATCATTGAATATGTGAAGTAAGTTTTAAATTGAATGTATCGCGCGAGTTATCTAACATATAAGCATGTTACAAATAAATCTTATTCTATATTGTTATGTTAAGTATAGTTAGGTAAAACAAAGACAAATATTATGAACAGGCTAAATATATTTAAAAAAAGTAAACTATAGTATAAACACACTATTATATTAAATAGGTAACATTACATTTAAGCTGACGAATGAACATAGTACCCGCAACCAAGGAAAACCCAAACCTACCCAAGCAGGCAGGTAACGTGATTTACACGTCATAATAACGTCACCAAGTACGTCGAAATCACCAAAAATTCGACGTGAAAATCACGTGAATAACACGTTAATATGTCACAGAGAAATGACGTGATTATGGAACGTCATTTCACGTTCTATTATGACGTGTTTTATGGAATTTCTTATTCTTACAAAATAATACACAGGTAGGTAAAATAAAAATCTTTACTCCATTACTTATACAATGTGCAAGTATTTTGAAACATATTATTATATTCTAAGAAATAATTATTTTGTAGTTTTCATTTGGAGACTCTCCACGCCTTAAGCTCTTTTCAAATTTATCTTGATTTTTATAAGGCGGCCACCACACGCTCGATTTTCTTGGGGTCAACCACTTCTCGTGGACTAAAGATAGCCCTCCACCATCAGGTTCTCTGAATTCAACGCCTAGAAACATCTTTTACACTCGTGCCTCGGCTTAACACTTAAAAAGATTGATAACACTGTCGACTTCCGCCTTGTTTTTCACACTCCCGCTATTATCACTATCTGAAAACGAATAAATACAGACAACCTGTTGAAACAACCGTCTAGTATCTAGTACATAATATTATAGAAACCACTCACATATATATATATATATCATAAATCGAAAGCACGAAATCACCAAAACACGTTTCATGAGATGTTCGACGATCAGAATATTTTTAGGTTAAGTTCTTCTTTTTCGTTAATCTCTTCTCTTTTTCTTCGTTCGTTAGGGCCTTGGTACTTTTAGATAAAAATTGTGAGCAATTAATTGTTAGTATTTTTGATAAAAAGTGAAATTGAATTATAATATTTATAAAATGGAAAATTTATACAAATACTGCACATACGTAACAATATGGTGAGTAAAGCACGTCATTTGACGTCGAATTAGTGACCACTCTGAACAATTTTACATTTAATGTTGTTTTATTTATAAAACTAAAGTTTAAATCACCTTAAATACAGTTTAGTTTAATTACAAATTTAACATACATATTGTTCATCATCATTTTAGAAAGCACGTCACATTTTGGGGAAATTTTATACCTAATTCGACGTCGAATTTTGGTGATCAAGTGACTTCGACCAGAAATCACCTTAATTCACCCGAAATCGACGGGTTTGCACGTCACCTGCCTGGCTGGGTAATCACACATACACATTATATTAGCGCCGCAATTTCAACTGGAATTTTTTTCCTGAAAAAAAAAAAAAGACGCTCTGTTGTAGAATTCCTCAAAAAGTGAAACTATATTTTAAATCAAGCTATATCCAAAACGAAAATGAAGTCTGAAAAAAGCCTTTGTGCAGAGTGTCACTTTTACAATATATAACACTAATTAATAATTTAAAAGGGCTGGATCTGTGTATATAATATACTTATTTTTCTAAAATCTAAAATGTTGGTCCAGCTAAACATATGCAGGAGATTGTTTGTTGTTAATTCCTAAAATCTATAGATCCGTATGTTTGGTTGCCTAGCAATCAGAGAAAAAATGGATATAAAAAGATGATGTGTCAAATGGCAACACCGGACAGTAATAAAAATAAAGTCAAAAAACTGAGTGTTTTGTGACGGAAATTGATAAACAAAGGACCGGTTAAAGTTTATCTACACATTAGTATTTATCTTATTATCTTATCAAATACATTCCCTAATATAAATTAAGTTTCGCTGTTATTAGTGCGCCTTATTCAATCAACACTCATAACTAGTATAAAATGCCGTTGATGCCAAAGGTAAGAACAATTTAGTAAAAATAATGAACCTGCCTATTTAATTTGAAGATTTATGTAGTGATTGTACTATGTTATGGGGTATTTTTTTGTATTTAAGATATGTTTCCCTTAGCTTTTGTGTGTTTAAGAAACAGGGTTCTTTAACTACATAGATACGGACATTTATTTTCAGAGTGAAACACTATACTTTTTCTACAACTTTAGTTTCCCAAAATTTCCAGATCAATTCTGTTAAAAAACAAATTTTTAAAAGATGCATTAAGTAAATGACTTGAAACGAGAAATTTATATTATTTTTTTTTTCTATTTCTGTCCTATATTAGTGTTATGAAATTACCTAAATGGACCTTTAAGGTACATACTAAATCAGAAAATAACTGGTCACTTGCTTGATTTGTAATTTTCTTCTTGTAACCCTAAGTCCTCAAGATAATTGATTAAATTGTAGGTAGGAATTATAGGAGGTACTGGTTTCGATAATCCAGATATTTTAAAAAACAGGAAAGAAAAGAAAGTAACAACACCTTTTGGTAATCCATCAGATGTTTTAGTACTAGGAGAAATAAATGGAGTTCAAACGATATTACTAAGTCGCCATGGAAGAAAGCATGATATTATGCCAGGAAATGTTAACTATAGAGCTAACATATGGGCTTTAAAAGAAGAAGGGTGCACACATATTATAGCTACTGCAGCTGTAGGATCACTTCAGGAAAACTACAAACCAGGTGAATTGGTTTTAGTTGATAACTTTATTGATAGAACTACAAATCGAAAACAGACTTTTTATGATGGCGAACCTGGACATCCCATTGGTGTATGTCATATTCCTGTGGAGCCAGCATATTGTTTAAAAACTCGAGAGCTTATATTGAAGACAGCTGAAGAATTGAAAGTTTCTTTGATTCCAACTGGAACTGTGATAACTATTGAAGGCCCAAGATATTCTTCAAAAGCAGAAAGCAATGTATTCAGGTAAATAGTAATGCACTAGAAATGAAGCATATTTAAAGGTTTATTGTTTTGTTAATTTTCTTTTTGCAAATATATCAGATTTATCATTAAGACTGAAATTTGGAGGTAGAGTACTGTAGAAAAAGATTCTGATTCTCAATAATATAAAAATCTATGAAAAGTGATCTATAATTAACATTCCTCACATTATTTAATATCCACTTAATATATAATTTTAAGTATAACTTTTTTTTTAATTTTTAGGTCTTGGGGTGGTCATATTATCGGGATGACACAAGTTCCTGAAGTTGTTTTAGCTAAAGAAGCAGGCATATGTTATGCAAGTGTAGCTTTGGTAACTGATTATGATTGTTGGAGAGAATCTGGGGAAAAAGTCTGCGTTGCTGAAGTTATGAAAACTTTCAGTGAAAATGTTTCTAAAGTTTCAAAATTTGTTCTTTCAATAGTTACAAAGATTGGCCAAGAAAAATGGGATGATACTGTTAAAGAACTTCAGGTATGTGTTTACAATGTAAAATTGAATAGCAGTTTACATAATTTTGTATTTATTTTAAAAACCTTAACTTTGTGATAAATTATATCTTATTTTTTTAGGATGTAGTGAATGGTGCTATAATGCTCCCAAAATAAATCAGAAAAACTTACTACATTAATTAGGGATACTAGACTATTATAATAACAGTATTGACATGTTATAAAGTTCTTTCAAAGTGCTTTATTTTATAAAACACAAAAGAAATATATTTGCAAGTTACAAAGTAATAAAAATACTTGTTTTTTTTATGTATCTATATCTGAAAAGTTAGAATGATGGTGTTAGCTCCACGTTCCTTAGGTACTCTCCATGGCTAAAACTGGATTCTTCTGAGCCTACTTATTTTTGATACCTATTACCTATATAACAGAATATGTTTTACATAATAATCATTAGAAATGCATGGAAGTGGTACTTTAGCTGAATAGCAGGGTACCCAATTTTTAGCTTCTCATTTCGGCAGTAGATAGATGTACACTAGGTCAAAAATTGCTATGGGAGTACTTGGCAATATACGGAATTAGATGGCATTAAATTGGCAGTACGTGGTATTAATAATTGACAATACTTGGCAGTAGATAGTTTTTGTGTAAGCACAGTCTATTATCATTATTGTTTCAAAGCAGTGAAACATGATTGTTGTTTATTTATAAACAATTTTCTCCATTTGTTCAAAAAATTAAGTATGTAATTAATTCATTTGTTTAATAAATTATTTGAATATGTAGTGGTTAAAATTTTGATTTGTGATAAAATTGGTGGTTCTCATTTTATCTGGACTGAGGCTCCAAGAACAAAACTCGTTGCATAAAAGAAACGATTCGATTTTGAACAGAAGACCAAAAGACGAGAAGTATTGAAACTTTGAATTCTTCAGGTTTTAAAAACCGTTCCAAGTCGCCTTTTGCTTAGGATTTGGAAATTCTACCATAATCATTATTGAAAATTTTAAGGATTCATGCATATACATTTGTATGTTTCTAACTTTTTTTTCTTATTCATTTGTTCATTGAAAATGTCCAAGACCATTAACTTTTATATGTACCTACAATATAATTTAGTTCAGATCCATTATACTTAAATAAAAAATAAATTTAATAAAAAACAGTGACTCACAATTTAAAAACCCTCAATTTTTGATATGAACACATCATTGTCAAACCAATTCTGAATAATTTATAAAATTTTTGCTTTGAGGTTACTGTTAATGTCCCTAAAAAAGGGGATGTGGGTAACCCCCATCGCTCTCCTATATCCGACCTCAGCTTCTACCCTATCTTAAAACATTGAAAATAATAATTAGTAGCCCAGAAAAGGAATTAAAACAGGGGTGGGGAAAGAGGTCAACCTACTCTTCGAATTTTTCTTATTTTTTAATTTTACAAACAATATCTCAAAATGTTTCATGCCCCTCCTACACTTGGGAGTAGGCGATGGGATTTGTCCTTTGGGGGATCATATAATGGTTCCTCCCAAAGAACGTTTAGATTCATCTTACATTCTGGTCCTCTATACAACCTTGGGTGGAGAGTATGGGAGAGGATATGGCTGCCATACCTCCCGATTTAGGTGGGAGCCTCCTGATTTAGGTGGGAGCCTCTCGATTAAGGTGAGAGCCTCCCGATTTCTCACATTCCCTCCCGCTTTTTAAACTAAGCTATAAACCTTCCGATGATACTATCAAATTATCAGTCATTTCGCACATAATCTATAAACGTCGTAATCTCTACAAGCGTCATCATATTTTATATGTCTAGGGGCGATGGATTTAAAAACACCCTAAACTGGACGAATTCATAAAAATTTCTGATCAATTTGCCATTGGTGTAGATATTGACCTACGTTTAGAAGAATTTGTAAAGTTGTCATCATATTTGGAAAACCTACCACTAAATTTTAAAGACATTAAAATTGACCAGCAATGGGTTTATTATTTTAAGAGCCATAGATCTCCAAATTTTTTCAAAATTTGCTCTTATGTTTTTCTCTTCCTCACTCGAACGCGATGAGAGAGCATTTTTAGTCTAATGTTTATAGCCTGGAGGAATGAAAGAATTTATCTTCCTATAGAAACAGAATCTGAACTAATGATTAAATTTAATTATACTGAAACTTGCCAAGAATTTGGAAAAGGAAGGAAAAAGTCTTCTTGGTAGGGTATATTTTATTTATATAAGAGACATCCAAAGTTAGCGGTCAATATTACACAATACCAGGTGGCGTGATTCTGTAAACAAAAACAGAAGCGAAGCAATAAATTATTTTTCAGTACTCTTTGTACTTACAGAAAAAAACCACAGTGCTGGTTAGTTCAAGTGTGAACTCGCCTATTATTAATTTTTTTAAGTGTTTGTTTATGCTAATGTACAGTTGTGATATGAAGATTGCCAAAAATGATACCAAAATTAAGAATAGGTACTCGTATGTTGACTTGTTGAAAATGTTTTATTAATCGGGCATTATAATTTTTTTTGATGCTACAATAATATCTTTGTATATTTAGTAGGTATTAAAATAAATGTTTTTTCTTCAAAAATTGAAATCTCGCTTTTCATTTCTGAAAATCTGGCAGTCCTAGGGAAGGAGGATAGAAAATCTTCAAAACCCAAAGGTGTGCGAGAGAGAGAGAGAGAGAGAGAGAAAATAAGGTACTTTCGAAAAAAGGGAAAGGTGGATTACGCCTGTCCATGTAAAGACCGTTTACTCTTAAACCTCACCATTCTATATGTTATTTGCGTAAGAGCCACATTTATTTCATCTTAAAACTTTTTTACTTATAACTTTCGCTAAAAGTAAATAACCGTTTCCGACTGTACTTCTAGCCATAAACAAACCATGGCAACATTACGGAGTAAGTGTCATGGTACTATCCCTCTTTTTTACTGTTTAGTTTTTCAAAACCTGCATTAAATTAACTTGAATTGTTAGGCAGTACCCAGACAGCACACCAAATCCTTTGGATATCTTCTGGACATCCCAATATTCACTGAATGTCCAGTCCATGGTGGATATCTATCTTATATCCATGAGATGTAATTTATAGACATGCAAAAGTCCATAAATAATAGGATATCCACTAAATATATCAAAGTCTAGGCGCGAACGCAAACCATAATGGATATCCACTAGATGTAATTAATGGATATAATATGTACCTAAATATCGGAAAATATGTAAATTGATTTAATAATTATTAAATTACTTAAATATTACGCCATGTGATAACTAAGAAAGCATGTAGGTATGGTTTATAGAAATTTAAAATTAGTGAGTTGTTTTCAATATCCCACAGATATAAGCTAGATAAATAATATTGGCAATGAACGCGAGCGCAGGCGCGGATATTTTCTGCCCTCTCAGGTGCCATCGGCCATTTTATAGTTTGTTTTCGTTTTGTTTGTGTCGTGTGCATGAGTTTCATTTGATAATTTTGGATTAAAAGGAGGTAAGTAAGATTTAAAACCTAAATTTATTAGTGTAAAAGGTTTATAGACTTTAGTTAAATAAGACAATGGTCAAATTCAAGTTATTAAGATTGTTAAGTAGGTTGTATGCAATGTACGTTAAAATCCGTGTTCTTTTTAGAACAACTAGAAATTTATTTCGTTTTTACGATACCCTATTTTATTATAATTAAGATGGGTGTTATTTTACCTACTTTCATATATCTACTTATTTCGTGTGATTATTATTGTTGGTGATTCGGTTTGGTTTTTACCCAGACAACACACCAAATCCCAGAGATATCCACATAATATCTTTTGTGGGTATCCAATATATCCACAGGATATCAGAAATATCCCGTGGATCTAATATGGATATCCAAATGTCCGTCTATATCCAGAATATAGAAGATATCCTATGGATATCCAGCAAAACATCTAATGGGTATCTCCCAGACAATACAAGAAATCCCAGAATATATTTTGTGCATATCCAATATATCCACAAGATATTTTATAGATATCCAAATGTCCGTCTATATCCAGGATATAGAGAAGATATTCTATGGATATTCAGCAAAATATTTTATGGGTATCTTTAGTAGAGGTTCATAAGTATCCTATAGATAAAAAAGGAAATAATTCCAAACTCAAATGTGACATATTCTTGGACCGGTTTCGTCAATCGTCCTTATTAGGACTTTTCTGCAATAAATAGAAATTCTCTACTCCAGTCTCTAATGGAGTCTGTTTACAATACCAATTTCGGTCGAACTCAATTACGGCGGGTTGAGCATGAGTAGATATTCAACGAGCGAAAGTGGTATCGCCATCTAAACTTAGTAAGCAAAATCAAAAGTCGCTGTAGTACCTAGTTCAGAGACTAGGTGGAATAAAAGCCAGGCGGGCTATTCTTAAAAAGAAATAATTCTAGTCCTTATAAGGACGAAACCGGACTGACTTTCTTCTTAGTGGGCAAAATCAAAAATTACATCTAGTGGATATCCACCATGGTTTGCGTTCGCGCCTAGACTTTGATATATTTAGTGGATGTCCATGGGATATTGAATATACCTTAAAAAAAAATTTAAATATCTGAACGGTACTATTAGCCTCAATGGCGTAATTTTTTAATAATTTGCTATATAATTACTATTATTTATGGACATTTGCATGTTTATAAATTATATCTCATTGATATAAAATAGATATCCACCATGGACTGGACATTCAGTGAATATTGGGATGTCCAGTAGATATCCAAAGGATTTGGTGTGCTGTTTGGGTGACTATGGAGGAAGCTCCTTACCTTACAATTAACCCTTAGAATGAAATACAGAAAGCAGAGCCTTGTGAGAGTGGATTCTATTATTATTATTATTATTTACCATTGCGAAAAGAAAAAAAATGATAACTCTCAATTTACATTTGATACTATAGTAGTGTTAATAAAAAAATATTACACAAATGCAATATTTATGGCCAGGGCCGCCGAGACCCAGATGGGGCCCCGGAACAATTTTCCAGGTGGGGCCCCGCGACAATTTAAAAAAAAGTTCAATATCAATATTTATAAAACAAAGGGTCGTATTTTACATATTCCAGCGCTCCTCCCTTTTGTGGCGAATTCTGCCGCTGCTGGGCCCTCACTTGCGCCCGGGTCCCGGGAATTTGTCCCGGCTACCCCCCTCTCGTCTGCCCTGTTTATGGCATTTATGAATAATACACTACACCTGTCAAATTCAATACTTTTGTATAGATATTGTCATTTGAGTAACCATTATGCCTATATTTTTATATTGTATGCAAGGGACCAATAACTGGACTGGCTGGCAACATCTATACTACATTGTTTATTATGCATATTATCTGAACGTTATGTAGTATACACGCAAAGAATGCCAGAAGGCTTAATCTTGCCAGCTCCGCATCTATTATTATGCGGCTATTAGAAATTAATTTTATTGGGTAAAATGTATCTTTTATATATTTATTGGTTTTTATTTCCTTCATCAATCAAGAATTTCTTTAATAAACTGAAAATTAAGCTGGTGTGCATGCAGTAGTTACTGTTCAAATTTAACAAAATACACAAAACAAGTACTTCAAGTTAGACAACACATTTTGGACTAGTAATTGTATGTCCACGAGTATTATAATAATAATACTCTCCCTAATTCACCCCCTTACGAGTGAATTTCAACCCCTGAAGTCGACTGAACGACTTGTGTAGGGGAAGGGACGGCTATTATTATTATTTGCCGTGGCGACTTAAGGATGATTGATGGTGCCATTTGATTTATAGGTGAGGAAAACCTCACCCACCATCATCGAGACGATAATGTATGGCGATTTTATAATCTGCATGTCATATCAATAGAAATTGAATTTTCTATTAATACGGCACACATCAAATCCTAAACCGAACCATGCAATTTAATTAAAAATCCACATGGTCTGGTCTGGGATTCTAAGCCTAGCAGTCTCGGACTCATAAACTTGCCTATAAATGAATATAAGCGCGTTAGACCGCTACACCATCGACCCGACAAGAAATTAAAAATTAAAAAAAACCGACTTCAAAAACGTGCAGATGCCATTACCACATCTTAACCAAATTTATATGGGACCACCCCTGAGGTACCCCCTTACTAACAAAAAAAGAATCATATCATATCGCTAAACATACATAAAAAAATGAAGAGTTTGAGGATTTTCTCATGGACCCAATTATTAGATTTTGACCAAATTTATATGGGACCACCCCTGAAGTACCCCCTTTCTAACAAAAAAAGAATCATATCATATCGCTAAACATACATAAAAAATGAAGAGTTTGAGGATTTTCTCATGGACCCAATTATTAGATTTTGACCAAATTTATATGGGACCACCCCTGAAGTACCCCCTTTCTAACAAAAAAATAATCATTGAAATCGGACACTGTGTTAAAGAATTATCGCTGAACATACATAAAAAAAATATTGCGACGAATTGAGAACCTCCTCCTTTTTTGAAGTCTGTTAAAAATTCAGGTCTTCAGATAGCGCTACAGAGCATCAAACATTTCTGATTAAATTATGATTTGTTCCCTAATACATATTTTTTTAATTCCTATGTTTTGATTATCGTTTAAATACATTTTTAAATGACCTGCTGGGATAAGATCAGACAATGTGTTTACATAACAAAATACAATCCTGAAACATCTGATTTCGTTTTGAAACTTACTTTATTATAATAAAAATCATTTCGAAATATAACATAAAAGAAATCTATTCAATGGTACTTCCAATCTTACTAACAAACGTCCTATTCCTTCAGTCAACTTAAGTGAAGATGATGCTCTTTTCTTCTTCAAACAATTTTCCCAACCCTGTATAATCTCATATACAATTTAAATTATTTTTAAAAACATTTTGACAATGCTAGTTCCTATACTTAACTAATTTTATAATAAAAAAATTATATTTGTTAATAATGTATGTGAGTAGATATTTGTTTTATAAAAACATTCATTACTTTGCAAAGAATATTACCTACTATCAGTTAATTGATATAAAGGAAGCTAAAGACTAGTAAAACAGAACAGTTGAGTAAAAAACCTCATATGCTAGCATTTATAGGTAGTATGGCACTAATGAAGGAATTCCTATTAAGACCTAGGAACTAATTTGACAGTACACAAATCAGTTTGTGACTAGCTTTGGTTGTGTTTTGTGTTGGAACCACATACTTTGAAAAAAAAAAATCAAAGTATGTGGTTGGAACACTATATTTTTGTACAGTTTGAGTTTGTTGGAACACGAATTTTAGACTGTGCTGAATCCAGACAGTACACAAACTGATTTTATGCTGGAACAAACCTATTATTTAAAAAAAAGAGTATTATTGATTTTCACAAGATACAGAACTAAGATTTTTTGTTTACAATAGTGATACCTACAAGCTTAGTTATTTCATAAGCGAAAAGTGCTCAAACTAGACAATGATAACTTTTGCTTTCAAAGATCAGCCCAATCATATTTAATAAAAAAATGTAGGGTTACCATAATAGCCCTGTTCTCTTAATAATAATAATATTTATTGCTTCTAAACCTGAGTTACAGCAATGAGTACAGATATAAAAAATTAGATCTTAAATCATAAAAACATCATTATTCATTCAGTACAAAAGAGTGCAATTTTAAAATAGTCCAAATATATTCAGCAATTTTCCTAGCTTCAAAAATTGTTATATTATGTAAAGTATGCAGCAATGAGTTTACATTTTCAAGGTAAGTGCTATTTTGCTTCATTGTTGAGTAAATAGGGCAATCAAAAAGTATGTGAAAAAATGTTTCTTTTTCATGTGTACTACACACAGTACAATCTAGTTCGGGATCAATAACATAACAAATACCATTTAATGTAAATTTAATCCTAAAATGGTTGGACATACGCAATTGAGCAAGAGTACAGGTAACCTGGATTGGTAATTTAGAGTAAGTATGTACTTGGATCACGAGAGATGGGAACATAATTATATAAATACATAAAATACAATATCAACAAAAAACTTTTTCAACTGCTCTATCCAGTTATACTTCATATCTGTAGAGTTGATCAGACGCAATTGTTGTTGAAAACAAAGCTTTGGATATCCATGATTATCCATTGTCATTATTTTTTGTATCCAATTAAGGGAAATTTTAAATGCAAACTTTACTCTTTCATCTCTAAACGGATTATAGCAACAGGAGTAGTGATGGGAACTAAAAGAACTCTTTTAAGGAAATATAACTGGATTCTTTCCAATACATCTAAGTATCTTAGGCACCAAAGAGAAATACAATTAAACATAACACTAAGGGCAAGTGACTCAAATAATTTTTCTAGGGTGCCAAGTATTAATTTTAGCTTTTGAAATTAATGGAAGTAGATAACCTATAGATTGTTTACATTTGTTCGCAGTAAAATGAGCCATTTCATTAAAGAGACCAGATGAAGTAAATACTACTCCTAGATATGTATATTTATTAGTTATAGAAATAAGTTGGTTGTTAAAGTAAAAATTAAAGTTAGGTATCCTGAAACTACCTTAGAAAATTGCATAATTTTTGTTTTCTGTAAATTAACAGTTCATTTATTAGCAGCAGTATATTTTTCTAAAATTTTTAACATTAATCTCAGAGTGTGCTAAAATGACAAGGTCGTCAGTATATATTAGGGACAAAACATCATTTTTGTCAATATTTATACCTTGAGCATCGTTCTCATAAACTGACATTCTACCTAATTATTGAAATCTCTAGATATAGAATCTCCGATTTGCTTATCAATAGTAGAACATACTGAAAATCAAAATGTACTTAAATTAATTTTATTAGGTAAACAAACATAAAGCTATTTGAAAGAGGAAAATGATTCCAAATGCTATTTTAACTATACAGATTTACTAAAAAGTAATAAATACATTTACTTATAGGATGCGATAACGGCTGGACGTTCAGGAAATTCATTGTAGAATTCCAATAATCCTGCGGCTTTTCCGAATACAATAGAACCCACTAAAGCACCTATTCCCAAAACCAAATGGGCATTGTATTTGCGTTGATTGGCATCGTAGTTGGTCTTCCAACTTCCTTGGGGCTTTGGTAAATCATTGTAGGTCGATTGAACAGCGTGGCTGCCTTCATAGTGTGAGGAATAGCTTCTCTTGGTGCAGGATCTAATTGCTGGATTACTAAGTAATTTTCTAAGATACATTTTGAAGGAACAAAATTTTATTCCACTAGTTATGTAATAGAAATTTTACGCTCTTCTACACAACCTCTTTGCTCAAATCTTGGATGGAGGAGTGTCAGTCAAACTGTCGAATGTCATTACGTCAACTGTCAAAATTTAGAGTCAAATGTCCTAATAGCGTTAGCCGTGTTCCGATATTTGAAGAATTAGGAGCAGAATTGGAGTGAGTTTTTCCATCCAACCAACGACGAAAAACTTCTAAACTAATCCATTCATTCATAATTAAGCGCTATTTTATTGCAATTATACAGATTGTGTTTATTATTATACAGACAGCTGCCTCAGTAGAAAGGATACAGTTGCTAATTTGAGTGGGGATGGTTTGTGTGATTATGTTTATCTGAGGAGTGAGCTTACGTTTTATAAATGAATCAGTATTTACGTCTACTACACTTGCTTTACGCCGCTGTCACATTTCAAAATTAATTGCGTATTTTCCTGAAAAACACTACATATAACAACTATAATAATTGCAATGAGAAAAAAATACATTAAATTGATAATAACTGGCAGTAAGAATGCAAATATACTTCCTTAATGTAATTTTGAAAGCATTTTGTGCACTTTAGAGCCTTATGTTTAGTCAATACCGAATTATAACAATACTCTCCCGTACTCTCTCATAATTTGACAACTAAGTGAATGACACCGTGAATGTTTGTAATTCGATTTTTATGAACAAAATTAGTCTAGTAGTTGTTCGTCGTTGACTGGAACATGAGATTAGCTGGTTTAGCTGTTGCAAATTAACGATTTTAATAGATCTTCAGCAGGCTGAAAAAAGTGACACTTTATTTTTTGCTTACTATTTACAGTTGGGTACAGGGGTGGGGATGAACAACATGTACTATAGTTCTATGCGCCGGTGGTGGAAGCTGTCATGTGACCTGTGAAATTCAAAGTAAAGTTGCTTATCAATCATTTCTTTTTTCTTGACAATGAAATATATGTTTCCAGATCTCGATTGCGATATAAAAAATGGCTTAAAGTTAAAAATTAAATTATCCAGAACGAGAACAACTACTTCTGACAGTTCTGACAAAAGAGTATCGCATTTTTAGTTACAGTTTGCACGTATCTTCTTATTTCAGTTGCGCTTTGTTGTTGCTTAGCAACGTAAACTTAATTAAGGTGCGTTTACACGAATACAAGAAGTCACTTTGAACAAATTAAGATTACGTTTTAAATTTTGTCTACAAATACTAGAACCATTTACTTTCGTACTTTATAAATAAATTTACCAACTGAACATTGGTTTTTAGCGGTTTTAGAGTTTTTACATTTTTTTAATCAATATAATTTTCTTCACTACTGGACTCTGATTCAGACTCATCACTACTTGCCGTTGTACTTAAATTAATAATAGTTGGTTCTAGATCAGAAACATCTAATTGCTTGTATTTTTCCGTGGGTATATCCGAAACATTATTGTATTACGCTGATTTATATTACGTCACGGTGACGCATTGTGTTGTGGAGGCGTGGTTTTTATGAATTTAAGGTATCAGCTGATCGAAAATAGCTTAATCTGCTCATGGCCAATTACCACAATACCATAGACGTTCGCAGGAAAAAATCGGGCAATCAAAAAAGTTTCAGTTTGTCAACAACTAAATTGTATATGTATACAAAAATAATAGTTAGTAAATTAACAAAATGAAAAGCCAGGGGGAGCAACTACTCTACACTAATTTATATTGACAATATTTCTCTTAGGGTCGATTCCACCGTTGTGTTAAACGGAGACTAAAATGACCTTGGTAATGTAAAAATATCATTTTAAACTTCGTTTAACACAACGGTGGAATCGGTCCTTAACAACACGATATCTAACTAAAATATGATTTCTGCGAAACTGAAAATAAAATAGAAAATAGCTGAGAACTTTGTTTTTGACTTTTTTTTTTTGGTTAAACTGAAATAGAACATTATTGGTTCTTTAGAATCCACCTTACTCTGTATTTACAAAACGCTTTTTAATAAGAGAAATAAAAAAGTTTGCGAAAAAGAACATTTTGCGTCAGCATATTTTCCAGGGATGTTGCGGATGCCGATTTTTTCACATCCGCGGATGTGAAAGCGGATGCGGATTTTTGAAGGCTCACATCCGCGGATGCGGATGCGGACGCGGATGTTTAAGATCCTATATAAAAATAGAATACGAAAACGAATGAAGAATTAAAACAATGATAAAGTATTTATTAACATTTTTATCAATGAACATTAGTATTATGTTATGTATGTATTCCTATGTACAATGCTCCTATTTTTTTTAACTTCACTTTCTAATTTTCATATTAGTAAGTGAAGTCAAAAATAGGAACATTGTACTTAATAAAGAGTAATATTGCCACCTTTTCTGATTCAAGGCGGTTACGCAGAGGTTCGTAAATTAAACCCGCGCTACTAAATAATTGTTCGCTAGGAACACTGCCTGGTGGAGTGGATAAAAATCTTCGTGCTATCGGTGATAATATCTTGAATTCCTCTCGATGAACACTCCACCATTTAAGAGGATTTTGATCAGAAATTACTCTTTTTTAAGTACAGCTTCAAGGCTACCATTTTCTGATATTTCTTGACTCTCATCTTCACTTGACGAATCTAACATCGTAGCAAGGTCGTTTTTAAAGCTTGGCTTTCTGACGAAACTTGATGGTTCTGGTCCTAGTTGTTTCATATTCTTTTTCGTGGGATCAGTCATTCTCAGGAAACGCGTCGTGCGAACGGCACGCGTCATTCGCCGGCTCCACCCAATTTCTTTCTTGTCGCAACTCGCCATTTGTATTACCTTCGCATCCGGATGAACATCCGTATTGATTATTGCGGATGCGGATGCAGATGCGGATGTTCAAATCTATGCGGAAACTCCGCATTTGCGGATGCGGATGCGAATATTCGCAACATCCCTGATATTTTCCTAGACGATGCTGAATTCGCTCAGTGCGAAGTCATGGTAGGGGAAGCAAAAGCGATACTAGCGCTAGCTGTGGATAATTTGGGCATTTTAAGGCGATATTTTGTAATTTTGGCATAACAACTACACGTATTCCTTTTTTACTTTTTTCAAAAAAATAGGTAAAAACAATACAATAAGCAACCAGAGTTGCTGTGTTGTAAATTGTAAAAATACTAGCAGGGTAAATTTTAAAAATTTTCAGTAGCAAAGTGGAAATTAAATCAAAGAATTAAATAGATAGCTGTACAATAAGAAGGAAAATTACCTTTATTTTTGTATCAGTAGACATAACAAATGTAGGCAATAAACCGACCTTTATAACAAAAAACAGAAAAGAGGTACTAGATGTAACAATAGCATCAACATACTTGAGTAATTTTGTTACATATTGGCATGTATCTGACGAAGAGAGTTCATCAGATCACAGACACATAAACTTCAATATTAAAGGTAATATTGCAAAAGAAACCTATCGGAATCCCAGGAAAACAGACTGGGAGGCATACAATGCTTCCCTGGAATGTAATCTTCCGAAGATGAGAAAGACGATAAGAACAACAACCGACCTAGAAATGGCTGTGGATGAGTTTAATGACACAGTCACTAGCGCTTTCAACGATACCTGTCCCTTAATAGCAAAGAAAGTTCCATGGTGGAATGATGACCTTGCTATACTAAGGAAACAGGTGAGACAAAAATTTAATAAGGCTAAAATAACCGACGAATGGGAACTATATAGAACCATACGCACCTGTTACAACACAGCCTTACGAAAAGTCAAGAGAGAGTCTTGGAGAAGACACTGTAAGGAGATAGCAAGTACTCAAGAATGTGCCAGGCTCCAAAAAATTATCTCAAAAGACACACAACACACAATAAACTCCCGAACTGGGGGAGTACACAATCACAGGGAAGGAAACAGTAAGGGAACTCTTCAGGGTTCACTTCCCTGGTGCACAAACCATAGCACACACACCGGCTAACCGGAATCTAAACGGACTGGAAGCTCATAATAGAGCCAACAGGGAAGATTGGAGGATAGCCAAACAAGTGGTGAACTATGATAAACTGAAATGGGCAATTAGCTCATTCGAACCATATAAATCACCGAGCATGGACGGGATTTATTCAATAATGTTACAGAGAGGTCCTGATATTTTATACAGCAGACTCTGTAACATACTCAGAAGTAGCCTGGCCTTTGGACACACACCAAAACCTGGGAAAATAGGACAGGAAACGGCAAAGTTCCTAAGACCAATAAGTCTTATGTCCTTTGTACTTAAGACTTTGGAAAAACTGCTAGATAGGCATATTAGAGACGGGATATTGGTTCAGAGGCCAATATACTAAGACCAATAATACGCCTATAGTGCAGGGAAATCAACTGAAACAGCTCTCCATCAATTAATAAAAGGGGTGGAGAACACACTGGAAAACAAGGAGGTAATGCTGGGAGCATTCTTGGATATCGAGGGTGCATTTGACAATACCTCCATTGAATCGATCATTAGTCTCTCAAACACAGAGGAATCGAGGACACGTGCGTGTCCTGGATCGACTCTATGTTAAGGGAGATAACTATACACACAATCCCTATGGTAGAGAAATAGCGGCACGGGTAGCGAGAGAATGTCCGCAGGGTGGAGTGCTGTCTCCACTCCTGTGGAACCTTGTAGTGGACGGGCGCTTAGAGCTCTCAAAGATAAGGGACATAGAACCCTCGGATATGCCAATGATCTAGTGATTATGGCACAGGAAAAATACAATACTATAGTAAGAGATCGAATGCAAGAGGCTCTAAATATAGTAACAAAATGGACAGAGGCGGAAGGACTAAACATTAGCCCAAACAAATGACTTAATTGCATTCACCCGCAGGAGATAATTGGAGGGACTAGGGCCTCTAAATCTAAGAGGTGCAAGCATCCAGCTTAAGGGGGAGGTAAAATACCTCGGGGTTATGATTGACTCGAGACTTACCTGGAACCAGCATCTAGAAAAAACCACAAGGAGTATTGTCAGTATACGTAAAAATAGTCCATTAGTACATAAAAATATTGGCGCTGCTGTTACACACGAAGCGAATAGTGGTTTTTTGAAAGATTAAGACATTATACGCTATAAAGTTAAAGATAGATTCGAATCTTATATTTAATTTAACAATTCAGACTTCGAATTGGCATGGCAGTGTGTGTGTAGAACACGAATAAATGGGTTTGAATCTCTCTGCTGAGCATTTTTTTTTTATTTTTCAATAAATGTGGATGATTTTGAAAAATGTATTTGGGACTTCCAAAGAATATTATCTAAAATGAACATTGTTGAAATATTTTGTTGAATAAAAATAAGGTAGATACTATTATTTGAATACGGAACCATATTGGTAATGCTGTGACTGGACAGAATGATTGTATTTGACAATTTTATCTTGTAATTCGACACACTTCAAAATCTTATGACATGTATCTTTTTTATATTTAATTCAAAATAGTTTAATAATTTTGCACTGATTTTTACAAAGTTATTTCTAAATACATGATCATACAAATATGACTACTCTTCCAAGTCAAGGGATCATAAAAGATGCATCTCTTCCTCTTCACAAATTATTAAACGAATTCGAAATTTTAAAAATTAAAGAAGCTTTTGAGCGGGAAGATGGAAGAAAACTGAACCGTGAGCAATTAAAAGAAACTATTGCTAGAGAAGCTAGTATTATTTATTCAGAACCACGACAATATGATGTTATTTTTAGGAAAATGGACTCCACATGGTACTTTAATAACACTTATTTTCTTGAACTATAATAATAATTCCGCTTTATAAGCGACTATCGAGGGCATTGCTGATAGTTGTTTTATTTATATAACGTAAATATTAATTTCACTAGTTTAAAAGTATACCAGTTTCAAATTAATGATTGGTCTTTTAATAAAAGCAAAATATATCCTCAAGAGGTACCTATTTTCTTCAAAAATACATTTGATTTGAAATATTTATTTCACCATAAAAATATTTATTAAGCTCTTTTCTGGATTGCTTTGAAGATATTTCAATTTATACAATTATGCAAAAGGTAGCCATATTAATAATTATTTATTTTTCAGCAACGGAATCGTGACTTGGGATGAATTCATTTCCTATTTAATTTTAGGATACGAACAAGAAGAGGTTAGCTTAATATTTAAGACTCTTGATCCTCCTATTCCTATCTCACCGTTAATCTTTAAGACCTACCATCGTCACGCTGTAAATAGAATTACGTTTTTTCCTACTGTAAGACCTGATAGGTAATTTTTGCTAATTAAAAAATATAGGTATTTTGTATATCTTAAATTGTAACTATAGATCTACCAGCTGGAATGATGGAAGTATAATCTCCAGCAGTTCTGATGGGTCGATCAATTATTGGTCTTTGGACTTGCAATTGGAACGTTCAGCCTACTCTACTTGCCCTTATCTGAATATACAATCAACTTATGTGACCGATATGGTAGTACTTCCCGATGTAAGCGTCATTTGTACCAGCAGTACTGAAAGAGATTTAAGATTTTATGATACTTCTGCAAGAAAATTTGAGTTAAGGGTGATGATTCTGTCTTTTCCTGATGCCATATCAAGCATGTATTACACATTTGATAAGGAGGTAACTGTACCATCCAAATTGGTAGTCGGCGACATTGCAGGCAACGTTAGAGTTTTTTTAATAGGTAAGTAATAGGAAATAGTAATAAAAACGGACAGTGAAACTGTATCACTGATATATGGGCAAAATTGTTAAAAGCTGACATTCAATATAGACAGGAAACACTTTTATAGATACATCTATATAAAATTAGATTCAATTCGTTCCAGAATATCTTTTAGGATGAAAATTGACAAATATATATCGACAACGAACCAGTGCTCATAGTACTTAGCAAGATAGAGGGGGGAACTCAGTAGCCAAAAAATAGACCTAGGAGCATCTCTTGACAGAAGGAGCCTTTGATAATACCTCCTTTAAATCAATGGTAGCTGCCGCTCGCAAAAATGGAATAGAAGACACCATCTGCTGGTGGATAGAAGACATGTTACGCGGACGGCAAGTACAGACACAAATGTTCAGTGAAACTACGCAGGTGAATATCCACAGGGGATGCCCACAGGGTGGAGTCCTTTCTTCTCTACTGTGGAACCTAGTGGCAGATGAACTGCTGAAAACACTGAACAATCAAGGGCTGTACGCCCAAGGATATTACGATGACATAGTCATCCTTATCCAAGGGAAACACCATACTTATGCAACGAGCTCTTAGGCTGACAGAAATGTGGTGCGTTAGGGAAAACCTCTTGGTAAACCCTGACAAGGCACAACTCATAATCTTTATTCGGAAAACAAGGTTGGAGGTTTTAGAAACTCCGACTCTGTTTGGAGGAAGGCTAAACAAAACGAACCAAGTAAAATATTTGGGTCTTATCCTAGATAGCAAACTAACTTGGAACCAACACTTACAAAAAGTGACCATCAAATGTGAAATGTCTCTCATTGTAGCAAGACGGGCATTTGGAAAAACATGAGGATTAAAACCAAAAATGGTCCACTGGCTATATTTGGCAATAACAAGACCCATGATAACTTATGGAGCGGTTGTTTGGTGGCCAAAAGTAAACCAGAAAACAGCCCTCAATACCCTCTCAGGAGTTCAGAGGCTGGCATGCCTTTGTATTACAGGAGCACTGAGAAGTGCACCGACAGCCTCTATGGAAATCATTCTAAATCTCCTATCCCTTGACCTAGTCATAAAGGGGGAGGCCAGAATGAGTTCATACAGACTAGAAATATCCAACAACTGGAATCCACTGGGACATATAAAACTTACCAGAATAACACATGAAGTAAATTATTCTATATTAAACATGGGATCAGATCACATGAGACCCCTCCTAACCTTCAACAGACTTTTCCAGGTCAACTGCAACTGGAACGAGGTAAATAAGGAGATAGATAAATACTTGCTTAGCGGTCTCGTATGGTATACGAATGGATTTAAAACTAACCAGAGAACAGGCTCTGGCGTACATAAACCCAAACGCGACATCATCGTCTCACTGGGAAAACATACCACTGTACTTCAGGCTGACATACATGTAATCGAATTGTGTGTACGAGAGAATTTAAGAAGGAAGTACAAAAAACAAACCATCCTCTCAGATAGACAAGCAGCCTTAAAGGCTCTTGATTCAAACAGAATCAAGTCAAAGCTTGTCTGGAACTGCCTTGGAATACTAAATGATCTGGCAACCCATAATAAGGTAAAACTAGCGTGGGTACCAGGGCAAAGGTATCCAAGGAAATGATAAGGCTGATGAACTCGCCAAAGAGGGATCAGATCTACCATTCACAGGACCCGAAACTGTATTTGGGATAATCAAAACCTCTGCTCGACAGGCAGTGAACACATGGATAACCCCAAAACACCAAATTCACTGGAAACAGACAAGGGCTTATAATTAGGGTTGTAACGGAACTTCGCCTCCGCCTCCGTTACTGCGGAAGTTCCGCAATAAATCGTACCTTCGCCTCCGCTTCCGCCTCCGTCAAATATTTGCGGAGTTATAACGGAGATGTATTTATTTCAATCGGTACAAAAACGCGTGAGCTAATTAGTGAATATAATAAAGAAAACCGACTCAATTTAGATAATGACCTTTTATTGTGGTGGAGAAATAGTACTACATATAAAACTTTTTCTCCCATCGTTCGCACGTATTTATCGGCGCCGCCCAGTTCAGTGCCAAGTGAACAATTATTTAGTTCAGCTGGCTTAATGTATGATCCTCTTAGAAATCGCCTGGAAGGTGACAAAGCCGCAAAACTGTTATTTGTAAAATATAATTTGCCTCTCCTTAATTTTGATTACTAGTTATTTTGATTGCTAATTTTGATGTTTATTATTAAATTGTACTAACAATGAACCTATTTTAAATAAAGATTTTTTACTTTTGATAAACCATAAATTATTATTTTTCCATATCCACTTTTACCTCCGCCTCCGTTAACCTCCGCATCCGCGAAGGCGAAACTCATCGCCTCCGCATCCGCCTCCGCTAAGAAGGCCTCCGTTACAACCCTACTTATAATTAGTAAGCTCATGCTAAGGGGACCAAACCCATGCATGGCTACTGAGGCAGTACAACTCGCAAGGCCTCAGATATCCACCATTGTGGAATGACTAATGGGGCACTGTTTGCTGAAACACCTTCATGTGATGGGATTACACAATAATCCCAATGCATGTAGACTTTGCATGGAAGAGGAAGAAACCCCATACCATGTGATCTTCGAATGCGAAGCTCTTACTAGGCGACGTTTTTTCCTTTTCGGCCTAGAACCGGAAAGAACGCCCCAGGAATACTTGGTAGGGAATTTATTAAAACTAACCAAAGACAGGACTATTCCAAAGATAGTACCTGAATACGGGGAAAGCAGGGGAATACAATAGACTCAAGAGGGCGCAGTGTTCTGGGAAAAACCTAACCCTACCTGCTTATAACTGACAAAGATAAAGACTTAGCAATTAACAAAATTGAATTAACTTCAGTTCCTTTCCTCCACTTACCACTGAAGATAAAACACAAACAAAAATTTGATATCAGCAAATATCTCTTTAAATGTACCATCTACTCTACATCTAGGAACCCTTTAATGCCTAGATATATTTAAAACTAAAAAGATCTACAAAACCCAAACACCCAATAACATCCTTGCAATAGTCTTTAAAAATAAACCTGGGTTAGTCCTGTCTTTATACCCATCTTTTTCAACTCTCAAACTGTTCGTATCCAACTGTTACCAAAAAAAGAGTTTTCCTCCATTAGTAACGTCCTATAAAAATCAACATCGAGCATTTTAAATTAATCCATAGATCAACAGTTGACCTTTTAACCTTTTATCACCAACATCTGGAACAACCTCATCTACTTTTGCAGCTAACGTTTGTTTAGAAATCCTTACTAAAAATGCCCTAAAAAATCAGACATGTAGTTTTAGAATTCAGTATAATGAACTAGAAAGTAATTTAGTTAAAATATATTATACGTTTTTAGAATCGGAAGCTAGAGGACCATTCAGAAGCCAACCTGGTTTACCCTTACGAGAATCGCGTTATTGGAAAGTATTGAAAGGTGATATACCGGGCATGAAATTGATAGACCTTAACGGTATCCACACTGATATTGTGAGAGAAGTGTATTACTATTCAAATTTGCACAGTGTGGTATCATGTGCTCAATGTTACAAGGCAGTTCAAATAACAGATATTCTAGATACTAACAAAATTTATCCTTTTAAAATTTACGGTAAGCATTTAATATCATGAAGTAATTTAGTAGTATCCAAATTCAGTCTGTTTTACTACTAGTAACTTCATAACGACATTTACCTTTACGTAGTTTAGGTCTATTGCTAATCTTACCTTTAATTCTATCTTTAACCTGTACCTTCCGGATGAAAATCTATTTGACATAAATTCTTCCAGAAATCCAATAAATACCTACTCCGACCTTACCTAAATTTATATTTTGTTTTCGCCAGCTTCGATGAGGTAAAGCCGCGCATTTACAACCTTTTACCGCCCCTCCTCCCCGTCAAGCGATCAATTGATCACACCAATGTATATTCTTAATACAGAGGCTGAGTTGGGTGATAACGAAAATGCAATAGACGAAGCCATACGACTTTTGAATTTTACGCAACTTCCTCAATTTACAGATAATATAATCCTAATAAACGTTCTTTGTTTTAATAACTTGTCATTATATTAATGTTATTTTAAGGCGGAGTTTGGAGTTTTGCTGTAAATGAAGAAACCCATACGCTTGCAACTGGCGGACCAGACTGTCTAGTACGATTATGGAATCCATTTGTCCCAACTAGAGCCACTTGTACTTTTTACGGTCATCATATGGGAATAATATGCATGATTTTTCAAGATAATGGAGAAAAATTGTACAGTTTATCTAAAGATAAGTGTATAAAAGTATGGGACGTTGCGGCTCAAGAGTTAATACAAACATATTTAGAGTTGCCTACAAGTTTGGGAGATATTCTGACGAGTCTTTACAACCCAGAGAGCAGACAATGGATAATTGCTAGCGTCATCATTGCTGTAATACCTCTTGCTCCAAAACAGAGTTCAGAACACACCGATGGGAGCACCCATACTAGCGGAGTGTCCGTTGTTTTATACAATAAACTATTTGAGGTAATAATAGAGGTTAATTTTTTAATTTAAATTACTTTGAGTAACAATACTATTTCTGCCATGCAGTAGCCAGGTTAAAGTAATATGAGGTTCTTCAATAAAGCGTAGAAAACTGGATTTCCTAGTTTAACGGTGCAATCTGTAATATAATCTATCTGAGCTTATTACCCCCTCCCACTTTGCGAAGGCATATGACATAAGACATACAATATTTTGTAAGTATAATTCGTGGAAGGCATGCATAAAGTGTATTAAATAAAAGTTTCGTTACAGAACCCCTACCATATTTTATATCATAGAATATCTATTGTGGAATTTTTATGATAAAATGAAACGTTAAGTTACATCACCCCTTTAACTGCACTCCACTTTTCTCTATGCTGTAATATCACAGAATAACCTACATTATTCTGTGGTAATATGTTCATTTCTGATTCTATATATTTACTCATCCATCTCAGCAACGAACATATTATACGCATACCTTTTTTTCCGTTCTTAACTTTCCGACCCGTACATCAAGAATGATAATCTCTTTAAAGACAAACTTATTTAAACCCAGTAATTTGAGTAGTTCCCTTAATTTTAGAGTAAAAATAATAACTACATTATATCTGGTGGAATTAGACTTACTAATACCATGTGAGGCGCCTTGAAAACCACACCGACCATAGCCATGGACGTCATTCTTAGTCTCACTCCCCTTGATATTTACATTAAGGCGGTTGATCTAATGACAATGACACACCTCCGCACGGTAGGAATAGAACTTGATGTAGAATCTGGTGAGGCAAGCCGCCGCTTTCGGCAGGAGGCGCTCGATACGCTCCCACTACTTCAAGCGAACATGAACTTCATGTCACCGAGATATATCTTTCATGTGCCATATGCAGTTATAACAAAACAAATAGAAGAGCCGGAAGTGGCAGGTACGATTCATATATACACCGACGGTTCTAAAACAAAACAAGGCTCAGGAGGTGGAATATACTCCAGATCCTTAAACCTAAACCTAAAATGGGCTGTGAGTAATAGTGCCAGTGTAGTATAAACAGAGCTCAAGGGGATTCTCATAGCAGCAAAAGAAATCACCAGAAACAATATGACTGGAAGGAACATACTCATCTATACAAATAGCAGACACGTACTACTCAACCTGAATAGACCACGAATTTACTCAGGGTTAGTACTAGAATATTACAAAGCTTTGGCAAAAGTATCCATCAACAATGTAGTCACCTTAAGATGGATGTAAAATTCAAGGAAAGATGTGATGAAACAAGAAACTGTAGAGTTGCCAGGGAGATTTTATGTTATCCTGGCAACACTACAGCAAACAAATACTTGACTATGACTAGACAGAATCTGCGCTTGGTCATTCTGACTGATCATTGCCAAGTACAGAAGCAAGGGGCAGTCAGAATCCGCACTTTGCAGGAGTGCGAACAAAAAGATGAGACTATCGAGCATATCCTTTACGAATGTTTGACTCTCTAATTTATTAGAAGATTTGTGTTCGTCGAGTATCGACTAATACCGGACGATATAATAGAAGCACCTCTTGGCGACGTTGTCAACTACATTAAATCTGTAGGCTGGTTTAGGTACTAGGAGGTGCCTATTATCTTAGGAGTATGCACAATGTGCCTAGTAAAGCCTAAGTGCCGTGGGAGAAACCCATCCTCCACATGTTACAGAGAAGATACCATGTGAATACAAAATGGAATTAAATTTAACATTACTATTTTAGTGTGTTGTAAGTTGTGGATTGGATAGTTATATTATTGTTTGGGATCCTTGGGATGGAAGACGTCTTTTGGTTATAAGAGAAGCACACACAGTCACCCTTCATGGAGAAATTCTACCTGTAGAAATAACTTCAGCTACATTTGACCCAGGTAAGTTTTTTTTAATGGACTAATGGCCAAGAAGTCAAAATCTAAGTACCATGTACCGTGAAAGCGGAATGCAGGGTCAAAAGATCTTAATGATTCCGCAAATTAAGGGAAATGGCGCCCTAACATAGGTTTAATTTAGATATGTTCAAAACGATTTAGTTTTAAGTGATAACATGTTATACATTTATTTTGTAAATTAGTTTGAAATGAGTGTTACACCCTCTGTCTAGCTTGAGAGCATTCCTTTGGAAGTGCTCTTTGCAATGCCACAGAATGGTTCCGGTCTTATCAACTCAGATTCGGTTCCTCTTTTACCGAACGCGTCGGCTGTTTCGTTGCCCGCCACCCTGCTGTGTCCCGGAACCCAGAAAACCTAATTTTGTTCCAGGCACCAAGACGTTCAGTTCCAAAGTACCTTTGAATAAAGTCAGTTAGAGGACTTAGCGTTGAGGGCTGCCCAGCTATTCGAAAAGATCCTTATAGTATTGCTGGCAAGAAGAAGATTGATCAGCTCTCTTGCTAGGAACCATTTCTGCTTGGAAGATCGTTGGAAAAGTTTCCAGGTTTATTGATATGTCAATTCTTAGCTTTTTGTCTTGCTCCCTTTTCAGTTTTTGAGCCGTTTTGTTTTATATGTCCCGTCGAGGAACTAGCGAGTCTGAAACCCTGCTGAGAAAGGGATGGTTATTAATTCCATGGCTTCCGCCGTTGTGGTGGATATTGTCCCAGAGATAGCGATGCACGCAATCCGTTGAATTCTATACAATTCTGCTCTGAGATGAATGGCTTAGGTATTTGGCTATCGTGCATCAACCTTCGTTATGCGTCGTTCCATGGACGCAGTTTCTTAATGGCTGCTTCCAGCCACCAAAGCTTTGTGTCGGCGCAGTCCAAAAGGAGAAGTCCAGGTCTTGAAGTACAGCTCTGGAAACGGATTTCAGTTCACTTCTCAGATTGCCTTCCTAGATCTCTTATAATTAAAAGTTGTACAGCTTGCAGCTGTTAATTTGTAAGCTAGACGTTGGGCTACTATGGATGTATGACACACACTCGAAGACTCTTCGCTGCGGCCTTAAATGAGAGTTTGGGTGAGACTTTAGGCTTCTTTCGAGATTTTTTAACTGCCGTGTTTTAGGGTTGCTGTCATCGGAACGAATATGTTTGGATTTAGACTCGATTTATGTGGTTTTTTCCTCACCGATGATCTTGGTTCCTTTCGGAGGTAGTGATGTGCGACTTTTCTTCCTCTTTACTCCCAACACTTTGAGAACCCAAATCACTGTGGTTTCAAAGAACATGCCGCTCTTGATCGTCTTACTGAGACGTTTTCTAATCAGATGTGTCTCCTAGGTTCGCTGGAGGAATTTTGTCCCTCAGCCTCTGTCACTCTTTCATTTGTAGTGGAGTTGGGTAATGCAAGTAATACCAACTCCTCAGAAGTAATATAAATTTCGAATGTTTTGTAGATCCGAACCACTTTTTTCTGAAATTTTAAAAATACATTTTGATTCGGAACAGCCCTCCCCCACAAAACTATAATAATTTATGTAGTAAAAAATTAGATTTCACATTTTGTTGTTTTTTTAATATTTTAAATGTAGAATTAAATGCTGTGCAGGTTGGCAAAGACTGCTGACAGGAGCCCACGATGGAACATTGAAAGTTTGGAATTTCAACACAGGAACATGTCTTAGAAATTTAAAAATAGAACCTTGGTGCGAAGTACAGTCCGTTGTTTGGGTAAAAGGGAGAATCTTGGCAATCGGCTGGAATCGACGAGTTACAGAATTTGCTGATACTAATGAAATTGATGGGCCCGGTGGAGCTTTTTGGTAATAAAAATAATATTGTAAAAACACGCCGGCAATGATTTTTTAAACAAACAATATATTAAGAATTAAGCTGTATGCGAGTATATATAGTATATATAAGATCCCACGTTGGGCGCCATTTTGTAACATGATCTTATTATTTTATTTATTTTTATAGTGTTTTAAGCTCTATGATTTTGGGGAGTGGGTCAGGTTATTAAACAACTCGTATTACTTTGAAAAAGAATGTTGAGTGCCACTATATTTAAAACTTTCTAAACTTGACAATCGATTAGTTATGAAAATATAGAAAATAACTAACCATTAAGATATTATAATTAAATAAGGTAGCGACAAATTCTAATTCACAGAGACTTACTTATTCAAATTTAACTGCTTTATTAAAGACTTATCTGATTATAAAGGAGGTAGTATTTCAGGAGTGACTGTAGAGGCCTTCTTCAATGGGATTCATATGATGTACTTCTGATATCACCAACTGTCACGTACAAATCTTTCTAGGTAAACTCAAATCTCATAAACTTCTTTCGATGACTCAAACTAAACCTCTTGATATACTTGAAATCAACTTCTGTAGCTGGAACTAACTTCTAATTTTCTATTCTTCTAAACATGCAGTTTGAACGTTCTTCCAAACAAACTCTTTCGATATAACTTCTACAAAACTTCTACAGAACCATCTATATAACTTCTATAGAACCATCTAGATACAGCCAGGCTACAAGGAAAAAGGTAAAAATATCAAGAAAGGGATTAGGAAGAGTATATAGGAAACAGATAATGCTTTTTACTATCAAATGAACAAATAAAACTATTCTTTGAATAGTTACACAGAGACTAGAATTAATATGAATAGGAAAAATCTTATTTAACATATTTAAATATAGTAAAGCATATTATCTCTTTCCTAACAAAATAATAGATAAAATTATATAAAACATGTGATTTCTTGTGTCATTCAATGTGTTGAGGTTATGTTTCAAATTTGACATTTTAATAAAGAAATTCATGTACTAAATATATATTTTCAACAAAATATCGGTAGGAAACTTACCTTTTTAAAATTAGACGGTCATTAAAAATATTAAAGACAATTAGTACATAGGATGTCCAAGATAAAAGATAATTTTCAAATTAACCTATTCGCTGACAGAGACGAATCGAAATGACAATCACGTTTTGATACAAGGCATAAACGACAAATGACGTTAGGGTAGAGATGTTTGCATCAAAATAACGAAAACGGTTCCGACCGTTACAATGTTTTGGGTCTAAATAACGAAAACGGATTCAACCGTTACAAAGTGAATCATTTGAAAGGAGCGTCTTTTGCGTTTTTGTTTGCGATCTTTCTCTTTCTTTCTTTCCTTTTCCCTTTTTTCTTTTCTATTTCTTTCCTAAGACGTCCCTCTTTATATGATTTTTGACTTATTTTTGAATTTGTTTTTAAAAGCATCACCTTTAAAATTATTTAAAGTGGACTGTTCTCGAGTGGGTGAAGAGCAGTGCTTTCAAACCTTACGAATTTTATGAAAATTTACAAATAATGATCCCAAATTCACCTGATTTCATTAAAGGTGTAAAACAGCTGCTCCAATACATAATAGAAAATAAGTTGAAAGAAATTTATCCAAATATTTATATTGTCATTCAAATTTTGTTAACAGTACCAGTAAGTACAACTTCTGCTGAAACGAGCTTTTCAAAATTAAAACTAATAAAAAAATTATGAAGTACTATGGGCCAGCAAAGACTTTTAGAATTGAATTGTCAATTTTATATACTGAAGCAGATATAGCATCTAATCTGGATTATGGTACAGGAGTTCAGTAAAGCTAAAAGCAGGAAATATTTCTGTAATTCTTTACTGCTAGTAATGATTACCTAATAATATAAGTTAAAGTCTAGGAGATGTTAGCATTTTTATGAATACAAGTTTCAATTTTATTTCTCCATATAAAATTCGTCTTCTTGCGCCACCAAAGGGCCTCGCAAAAATGTATCTTACCCACATAAAATTTAGGTCTTGCCCCGCCACTACCAAAAAGCTTGGATTTTGTTTAAACGGAGTATCTGAAATATTTTGAAATTGCCTTAGTTTTTATAACCTAAATACTGCCGGTGCGATTTAATGAAGTTTTAGTCTACAGAGAAAATAATTTTTAAACCTCGTTGATTTTTTTCAATTAGCAAAAATTGGGATCTTCGACATTCGGAAGACATTAGTTCAGCAGTAGTAAGGCAACCTGAAACTTTGGCTACCGGATCGTATGCCGGAGAAATGATTTTGTGGCGATTAGAAACTGGACAACCCTATAAGAAATTTAACGTGCAACATCCTACAGCTAGAATTAAATTATTTTATCAAGCCAAATCAAAGGAGAAGCAACCTGAAGATCAAGTAGTAGGTTATGTAGGCAAACGTATCAGTACAATATCTGGTGGTGGTAAAAGCATTTCTTCATATACGGAATCGCAAATGGAAAGTTTGTACCTAAATGTTTTTTGTCTTTATTAAATTACTACTCATAAATAAACGCTTAAATTATGGAATTCACAAATGTAATTTTTTCTAGGTCGTCGTACAGGCTCAGTGACAAAGGGTTTAAAATTTCGAAGAGTTTCTTCAGTTGCTATGCCTGATGAAGTTCTATCTCTAAAGAAATTAGCAGTACATACGATGTTGTTCCTGAATACTAGAAAAACTGGTGATACTAAGGCAAGTGGAATATTCAAATTTTAGTTTTTGGGTCGCCAACCCATCGATCACGAGCTACCGCTAGTTCGCGTGGACAATTCCGTAAAGGTGCGTCCTCACCGAATCAACACTTTCGATCGACTCTGTCTATCGACATTGTTGATCAACAAGTCTACAAAACTGCATCTGTCCACACCAGAGTTGACAGAAATGTTTGTCGATCAGTCGAAATTAACATGTCTGACGAATATAACATTATATTTGCTTGTGTCGAATATATTATTATCGCGATTAAAAGAAAACTTACACGCAAAAGAAGATTTTGGGTTCAACGAAGTCTTCAAAGTAGAACTAGATACAACGCTAGTAATTTGATAGAAGATTTAAAAAAAATGACGTCAACATATTGAGCTTTGAATACAGGTGTAATGGTGGTTTTAGAATTTTTTTTCGAATGTCGGAAAGTGCCTTAAGTTTTTGTTTTTAGAATCCCATAGATTTGTTCTCAGTTTGTATGCCTCAATAAAGGCTATGACTTTATCTTGTCCCCATTCCATTTTTTTAACCCAAACACAACTACAATGTCAACAAGGCAAGACATTACTGAGTACTCATAGAAAAACTAAAAAGTACTTAGTACTCAGTAGTCTCAGTACCAACAGTTTGTCGAATGTCGAACGTCAAAAACATGTCCACACACTAAAGTCAATCGACTGCTCTTTCATGTTTACCGACAGGGGATGGAAAACAAATCGACATGTCGATCGATTTATTTTGTCGATCGACATCGTCGATTGCCGCGTACACACAAAGTCGACAACGTCGATCGACAGTGTTGATTCGGTGAGGACGCACCTTTAGAACTAAATGTTTACTTAAAAGAAAAGGTGGTATAATTTTATTAACATTAAGGTGTGCAACACATGCGTGAAGCCTTTATGCATCGTACATAACTTTATAAATATGGCGTTTTAGATTGGAACCTTGCTTGTTTCTCTTGAAAATGGTGTTATACAAGTTTGGAACCACTTGGACGCTGGAGGTTTCATTACATCGTTTTCAGCGATACATAAAGCTGGCGATTATGTGATATCAATGGCAACTGATGACAATAATGAATTTTTATTTATGGGTAAGTATGGTACAAGTTATATTTTACTAAAAAAAAAACTAATAGATCAGATAGAACTAATAGATGCATATTTTAGATTGATCTAACGTTTTATTCTTTTTTGTAGGAACCACTGTTGGTTATATAAAAACTTGGCTCCTCAAAAATTTCTGTGTTGCGGCAGAAGATATGGAGCACATTTGTATGCCCAAATATAGATTGAAATTTCCTTTTATGTGGGGCGATAGAATTTTGGGTCGGGCGCGAAGAATGACCAAAAATCAACCATTTCCAGTTCTGTTAAACAGCTATAAAGGTCACTTTATGCCAGTGGCCGGACTTGTATATATTGACAAAAGTGAAATTATTATAAGGTAAAAAATTGTATGTAATAGACATATTTGAAGGGTACAGGAGAAAAAAGATGAATGTACAAAAATTCCAATTTTAAGCTAATGGCGGGAATATTATGCTTAAATGATGTAAGAATCCGATAAAATATTGAAACCAATCAAAATAGATGAGAGTAGCAAGCCACAGCGAATCTAAATTTGACCGCACAGGGGAAAAAAGATTAACGTCCCGACGAACTGGGAAAAAAAGATGAATGTCCATAAATATGGCAATCGCGTATTGTTTTGTTTTTCTCTCGATGCTTTTTCCCATTTTATTACGCGATATTTTACTATTTCAGTAGTTCATGTGCCGTTTAATCGACCACCTGCTGTATGCTGTTTTTTTTCTCGTGCCACGTGCAATCAAAATATTTCGCAATGAGTGACGAAGACATTGAAGTTGATAGTGCAGTTTTTCCTTTAAGGTCTAAGAAACGGAAATCTCATGGACGTATGAAGAACGTTGCTAATTTATTAAACTTACGAAGCCATGAAACAGGCCCAAGTTGTAATTGTACTAGATTTAAGTGTTTTGAAAATGTCACCGAAGGAGAGAGGATGCAAATAATTAAACAGTTTAATGAACTTAAAGATTATGATAAACAAAATTTGTATCTGGGTGTCTTAATTTCACATGCCCCCGTTAAACGATACCGAAGTAAATAGAATAATGATGAAGATGTTGAATATCACTCATATTCGTACACATACAAAATTCGTGTTCAACGAGATAATACAGCTATAGAAGTGCCAATATGTTATAAAACCATGCTTGCGAAACGGCTTCAGAATATCCAGCAGCAGTTAACCACTTTTGGACATGTTAAACACGATGGGCGAGGTCAACTTTCCAATCGAAAAAATCGTCTCCCAGATGAAATATCCACTGCCGTTTTTAACCATATTGCTTCGTTAAAATGCCGAAAATCACAATACAGTCTCCACGACTCCCAACGTGTATATTTACCGGAAAATCTTAACGTGAAAAAAATTTTCAACATGTTTTTGCAACAAAATCCTGAGAAAAAGGTTTCCTACGAGACTTACAGAGCTATACTTATTTGTAACCAAATTCAATATAAGTTTTGGCTATCCACGAACGGATATCTGCAGTGCCTGTGATGAGCAGAAGGCCAAGAAAATGAGCATCGAAAACGATCCTTCACAAAAAGCGCTTTTATCTCGCTTGGAAACAGAACATAAACATCTTCAAAAAGCTGAAACGTTTTACAAAAGAAAAAGAGCAGCCCGTTTAAATTCTCAAAAAGTACAGAAAAAGAGGCAATAGCAATGGATTTTCAAAAAAATTTGCCAGTGCCCAATAGCAGCACTAATGATGTATATTATAAACGCCAACTTTCTTTTTATTCCTTTAATATCCATGTGCTGTCTGAAGGTGCGTCCTTACCGAATCAACACTGTCGATCGACTCTGTCTATCGACGTTGTCGACTTTGTGTGTACGCTGCAATCGACGGTGTCGATCGACAAAATAAATCGATCGACATGTCGATTTGTTTTCCATCGCCTGTCGGTAAACATGAAAGAGCAGTCGATCGACTTTAGTGTGTGGACGTGTTTTCGACTTTCGACAAACTGTTAGTACTGAGTATTAAGTACTCAGTACCGTCTTGCCTTTTTGACATTGTAGTTATGTTTTCGTTGAAGAAATGGAATGGGAACAAGATAAAGTCATAACCTTTATTGAGGAATACAAACAAAAACTATAAGAGCAGAAACTTGAGGCACGATGCCACCATTACACCTGTATTCAAGTCTTAATATGTTGACGTCATCTTTTTTTAAATCTTCTATCAAATTATTGGCGTTGTACCTATCTTTTTTTACGATAATAATATATGCGGCACAAGCACCTATGTCATATTCATCAAACATGTTAATTTCGACTGATCAACAAACATTTCTGTCAACTCTGGTGTGGACAGATGCACTTTTGTAGACTTGTTGATCAACAATGTCCATAGACAGAGCCGATCGGCTGTGTTGATTCGGTAAAGACGCACCTTAACTCTGCTTCATATTTTTATACTTACACGGAAACTGCTGGAAAGAAGGACTTAGATGAAGTAGCATCTATATGGTATTTCATTTTATTTTCAATTTCTTGGATGAGCGTATCCAAGAGTTAGAAATTTTCTGCGATTCGTGTAGCGGCCAAAATAAGAATTATACCTTATTTCGTTTACTACATTTCGTTGTCCATAAGACAAAACGCTTAAAGAAAATCAAGATTACGTTTCCAGTTCGGTGACACATCTATCTAGAATGCGACCGCAACATGAGTCTAATAAACCAAAAGGCAGCAGTAGAACTTTCGGGTGGATGGAATGAGCAAATTCTGAGTGCTAGAAGTAAACCTGATCCTTTTTGTATAATTCACTGTGAAGATCAAAATATTTTTCGTTCATGGACGAATCACTTTGGAAATTACTTCTATATAAAGTGTCCGTTTAAAAGCAGACCAATCAAGGAACTTACAGTACATACTGGTATGTCGAGAACGATAGAATATCGGGAATCATATAACGGAGCTTGCACGACTTCTGTAGTAATACCGCCTAGAAGAAAGTAAATAATATTGATTTGTTACCTCCTGGCCAATTTGAAGTGCCTTCTTTAAAATACAACGAGAAACTCCCTATATCTTTGAAAAAGTTTCAAGACCTACAAGAACTGAAAAGATTTTGTGAGCCCAATGCATGTAAGTACTTTGAAAACTTACCTTATAACCACACTACCGAAGATGAAGACGCTTAATTTATGTTAAAGGTTATAATTTGCAATACTTAAGTTAACTTTTTGACGTTCGCTGTATATTTTTTTATTATATTACCTAATATTTTAATATGTCCTACCGAAATTTACCATTATGTGTCTTAGTTTTAATAAAAAGGTACTTATTTAGATTATCTGTTTATTAGAGCTTGCCCTAAGTTTTTACTAATCTTAAGAATTTTTTGTTAATTTTTTTGTACTACTACATCTGAAGCACCCTGTATATTTTTTGTATGAGAATTTGTTCACTATTTGCGTTGGTACTACTTTTATATAACCAAAATTAAAGTTGTATGCTCTTTCGCTTCAATAAATAATGCAATTACTAGCACATATTTTATGATAAATTACTCCATTTCCCCAATCTATGTCGTACAACTTCAAATATTTTTTTCTAGCTACAAAAATAAACCTGTGCACTCAATAATTGGTAACAAAGTAGTCTATACTACCTACCAGGTATCGAGAAAAAATATTTGAGCCAAATATATTTTTAGACAAGTAAAATCCTACTTTCTCAGAAACTCATTTTTGTGACATTCATCTTTTTTCCCCGGTACCCTTCATTTGTTATTTACCGTGGTGTCAACTGAAATGTCTGTAAAGGTAAAAAAAAATAACCAAATAAATTATTTATTACTTTTTATTTGCACATATAGTTGCAGTGCCGATTACAGTTGTCGTATCTGGACCCTGGGAGGACGGTATTTGCAAACTCTTGGTACTTTCAAATCTTGGAAGCAATTAAACCCATGTGGACCTATGGATCCTGAAACTACTGCATTTTCCATTCCTCCAGATATCAGTAGAGTAGCAAGTTCTACAACACTAAGAGTAATTTTCATTATTTGTTATTTATAAATCTTTTAGAAAAAATATTGGTTAATATACACTGCACCGCAAAATTAACCGGACACTAAGTGTATTTTAAATAAAATTAAAATGTATCAGAAAAACTTAAATTCCAATAAAAAAATTTTATTGTATATTCAATAACCCTAAAATAAAAAACAAGTTCCAAAAAATTGATTAATTTAACAACAAATAAAAATTTATAAAATATTTCGGAGTACACAATTAACGGGTATTTTTCTGATTGAAATCTTAGATATCAAAATCGAGTATTCCCTCCTCGAGCTCGAATAACAGCTCTCATCATAACATTGGGCATAGCGTTCTCCAGGCATCCTTCATACTCTTTGGCGACCATCAGGTGAGTATCTTGTAAAACGAGACTCATTTGTAAAAAGAACGTTTCACCACTCTTCCATATCCCAATCAGCATGAGCACGAGATAATTCTAAGCGTTGTCTTCGATGAGCTGCATCCAGTAAAGGGCCTGTGGCAGGTACATAAGACAATAAATTTTATTCACTTAATCTTCTGAGTACAGTATCAGGTGAAACTACGGTTTCATGAACATCTGCCAGTCTCCTGGTCAAAGCTGTAGCAGTAACTGTCCGCTCTCGAAGCACTTGAAGTCTCAGAAATCGATCTTCAACGGCGTTTGTTACCCTTAGTCTTCCCTGTCCAGGTCTTTTAGAGTAAGAACCAGTTTCTCTAAATCTTCGTAAAGCATCAGATATTGTACTTCGCGGAACACCAAGCATTTCTTCGATATAACGAATGGAACGACCATCATTACGAGTATGTAAGGCAACAGCTTGCGCTACTTGATCTGGCCTCATTTTAAATTATTCTTGATAAAGGCAACTTATATTTTGATATATTTAATTATTATACAGGGTAATTCAACAAAACTGAAAGGAGAAAACTTTAAAATTTCACGTGTTCGGTTAATTTTTCGGTGCAGTGTATATAACATAAATGCTAACAATTTATTAAGGTGAAGCTCAAACTCTAATGAAGCGGTGTTCTAAAATCAACCACTTTAAATATGTAAGCTTCTGAGAATAATTGTTCCAGGTCTCTGTCAGTTAGGTACAAGTTCTTACTATACTTACCTTGTTCAATTCACTATAAGATATCTTCGTTTTTTAATCTTCGTGCCTGTATATCATTTAATTTGATCTCACCTGAATTGTATGGACCACTGAAAACAGTCAACCCCGATATTTGGTAGTAACTGTTAGATTAAAAAAAAATGACATTCCAAACTACGTGACCTTTTCACAATAAAATGTACAGTAGTTAAAATGGTTACCTGATAAAGATAAAATTATATGAAAGCTTTCAAAATATACTTTCAAATGCTTATAATTATAATTGAATATATTTTTGCTATAGGTCTTATGCGGTGGAGCCTTCCCTAAACGTTTAACAATTAAACAACTAAAGAAAGTCCAAGAAAAAGAGATGGTTGATGTTGATTTCAGTAAAATTTATGGTACATCACTTACCGATCCAATACTTGGTCATTATTATGCTATACCGAAAAGATTTACGAAACCAAAAGAAATTAAATTCGATACATCGTTTCTTTATGTAAGTTATTTGATTATTTTTAGAAGAACTTCATTGTACAGTTTATCCAATTTTTAAGGTTCCTGTATATCAACATTTGATTACGCCTTCTCCTGTGGAAGTAACAAGAACTAACAGAGATACTGCAGAAGAAGAGCTTGATTAAAACATATACATAATGGGAAATTATGCATTAGGTTACATTTTAAATAAATATTTTCAATTTCATTATATTTTTTATTGACAAAAGATATATATTAATTCTTAGGAATATCCCATATACATTTTACAAAATTACTCCTACGAAATAATGAAAAATATTTTTCAACTCCCAAAATGAAAGCAAATTAGTTGAAAATTTAAAAAAAATAAATTTCGGAAAGGACTATTCGTGTTTTACGCACACCCTTGCCAACTAGGCTGTCAGGACATTAGATGTCCAAAGTCCGACTAGATTCGAATCTTAAAAGGTGACAGAATAATCTTAATTTTTGAAACAACTATTATTATTATTATTATTATTATTATTATTATTATTATTATTATTATTATTATTATTATTATTATTATTATTATTATTATTATTATTATTATTATTATTATTATTATTATTATTATTATTATTATTATTATTATTATTATTATTATTATTATTATTATTATTATTATTATTATTATTTATTAATTATTATGAAAATAGAAACATCTAACAACAAAAATAAAACAGTATGGCAACTAGTTAATTCAGAGAAAAAAACTAAGAATAATAAAACAGCGGTTTCAACTTCAATAACTGCAAATAACTTTAATATTTTTTTCAGTTCCGTTGCTGATTTTATTGCTAATGATATTGTTAATCCTAACGTCGATGCTATGTATTACATTAACAAGTTAAAAAAGACATCAACTTCATTCTTTATGTCGCCAATTACGGAATCCGACGTTAGTGAAACTATACTAGGGCTAAAAAATTCAGGTTGTATTGATTACTACGGACTTAATAGTAAAATGCTAAAATATTCCGTTACTACACTAAAGCAACCACTCACTATTCTTTTTAATAGTTGTATTTTAGAGGGCCAATGGCCGGATTCTCTTAAAATCACAAAAATTCTTCCTACTCACAAAAAAGGCGATATAGAACAATTAGATAATTATAGACCAATTGCTATTGTCCCTATTATAGCCAAAGTATTTGAGTTAATAATAAAAGATAAGCTTGTTAGTTACTGTGAGAGAAAACCCTTGATAACTCCAGCACAATTTGGATTTAGAAAGAATTACTCAACTTTTAAGGCAATACGTGCAATAGTTGATTATATAGTAGAAGGACTTGATGAGAGACAAGATACTGTTGTTAGTATGTGTGATCTCACCAAGGCTTTCGATTGCGTAAACAAAACAATATTACTACAAAAAATGGAATATTATGGTATTCGAAATAAAGAATTAGCACTCTTCAATTCATATCTTACAAATAGGAAGCAGTTTGTAAGCTGTAATGGCATAGAGTCAAACTTAATATCCATGACACACGGTGTGCCACAGGGCTCAGTACTGGGTCCCGTCCTCTTTCTACTTTATATCAATGACTTACCACTAAACTGCGATACGGCAAAATGCTTCCTGTTTGCTGATGATACAGCAATTGCTACCAGAGGCAATGTGCAACTGAACACAGAGAGTCTTGCCAGAGCAGAAACTTGGTTCTCAGCTAACAAACTTAAAATGAATCCTACAAAAACACAGGTAATTTTATTTAGCTCCAGCAAATTGAAGGAAAAATCGGTTCCGGTTAAGTACTTGGGTATAACGCTGGACACATATCTTAATTGGGCAGCTCATATAGATTCTCTTTGTTCAAAGTTAGCCTCTCAAATATTTGCTCTGCGACAGCTGCGACATTGTTTAAATAATGATTGTATTAGAACAGTTTATTTTGCTATTATACATAGCCACTTGGCGTACGGTATCATACTATGGGGCAATAGCACTAACGCGGATAAGGTTTTCCGTATGCAGAAAACTGCTTTAAGAATTATTGATGGAGCTAAACATGATGCACATTGTAGAGAGCTATTCAAAAAATACAATATTCTTACTCTACCATGCTTATATATTTTTGAAACAATTACCTTAATTCATAAAAATCTGACCTTATACCGGACACATGCTAATGTTCACATGTATGATACACGGAATGCTAAGAATATTGTACCAACATTCTCTCGTCTTGAGATTTCTAAAAATAATAAATTAGATGTTGAATTGTATAATAAATTTGTTAGATTTAATAAAACAAAAAATATTAATAACTTATCTGTAAATGGATTTAGGAATGTAGCTAAAACATTTCTTAATACTCATTGTTTCTATTCTGTAAATGAATACAATTGTTTTTTGTCTTAGTAAATATTATGTAATCAACCTCAAATGTACGTATGTATGTTAAGTGGTTAATAAATGGTATGGTATGGTATTATTATTATTATTATTATTATTATTATTATTATTATTATTTTTTTTTTTTTTTAATTGGTGTCATCGGCGTCGACTACTACGGCCATTAGCCTCGTGTTCTGTGTAGGCTTTGTTACTGTTTCCCAGCGCCACTTTAGGAACAGCACTGTTAATTAGAACCCAACAGTGAATGGTCGAGTGGGGAATCCTACCAAGGCATCAGAATTAATTTTAAATAATTAAATTAAATGAAAAAATTCCGGCCAACGGTGGGATTCGATCCTGAGACCTTCCGATCTCAAAGTCATGACTCTAACCACTGAGCCAACCCACCCCCCTATATTATTATTATTATTATTATTATTATTATTATTATTATTATTATTATTATTATTATTATTATTATTATTATTATTATTATTATTATTATTATTATTATTATTATTATTATTATTATTATTATTATTATTATTATTATTATTATTATTATTATTATTATTATTATTATTATTATTATTATTATTATTATTATTATTATTATTATTATTATTATTATTATTATTATTATTATTATTATTATTATTATTATTATTATTATTATTATTATTATTATTATTATTATTATTATTATTATTATTATTATTATTATTATTATTATTATTATTATTATTATTATTATTATTATTATTATTATTATTATTATTATTATTATTATTATTATTATTATTATTATTATTATTATTATTATTATTATTATTATTATTATTATTATTATTATTATTATTATTATTATTATTATTATTATTATTATTATTATTATTATTATTATTATTATTATTATTATTATTATTATTATTATTATTATTATTATTATTATTATTATTATTATTATTATTATTATTATTATTATTATTATTATTATTATTATTATTATTATTATTATTATTATTATTATTATTATTATTATTATTATTATTATTATTATTATTATTATTATTATTATTATTATTATTATTATTATTATTATTATTATTATTATTATTATTATTATTATTATTATTATTATTATTATTATTATTATTATTATTATTATTATTATTATTATTATTATTATTATTATTATTATTATTATTATTATTATTATTATTATTATTATTATTATTATTATTATTATTATTATTATTATTATTATTATTATTATTATTATTATTATTATTATTATTATTATTATTATTATTATTATTATTATTATTATTATTATTATTATTATTATTATTATTATTATTATTATTATTATTATTATTATTATTATTATTATTATTATTATTATTATTATTATTATTATTATTATTATTATTATTATTATTATTATTATTATTATTATTATTATTATTATTATTATTATTATTATTATTATTATTATTATTATTATTATTATTATTATTATTATTATTATTATTATTATTATTATTATTATTATTATTATTATTATTATTATTATTATTATTATTATTATTATTATTATTATTATTATTATTATTATTATTATTATTATTATTAAATTATTATTATATTCGAGTGCTGCCGAGCTCTGCATCATCAACGGATTTCTTCTTTCTTGTTCCATACAGGTTGTGTGTCGTAGGATTTTATAATTTACGTTGTCTGCTTGAAGTTTAATATAACCCGGAACCCCATTTAATGTTTTATTGAAAAGCTTATTTCCATATCACAAATTCAGTCATCAGGCCATTGCCAAGGCCGGAAATCCAAGGCTTGGAACGTAGTTTTAACTTAATAGATTAGTGAAGTAAAATATTTTTTAACAATAATTGAAGAAAAAGAAAAATATTTCTGGTATGTACACCTTATGTACATCAATAAATCTATCAACGTTTATTGGGTATCGTTTATCGATCATTGAAGCATCTTCGGCATGTACGCTTTAAGGAAGTTTGCCAGTTAAAAGATGTCCTCCATGGAGGAAGGATATGTCTTTTATTAGTTCTTTAAGGACCGATTCCACCGTTGTGTTAAACGAAGTTTAAAATGACATTTTTACATTGACAATGTCATTTTAATCTCCATTTAACACAACGGTGGAATCGCTCCTAAGAATATTAACTAAAAAAGACTGGATTTTTTGCCAAAACGCCCAGAATTGATTAATGATTTGGAACGCAGCCTATCGATTTGAGTTGAGCTGTCATCTGTCGCAAGTACCGTACCCGTATGAACGGACCATTAGTGACATCCAAGAGTAGTGTAAGTGTAAATGTAAATATTTATTTATTTAGTGAAAAGTTAAAAATAATATTGCTGCCTAACTCTTAACTCAATTGGTTTTATGAATTATAAAACTTTATTTTGAGAAAATTAGATATTCAACGTGTAGGTTTTTTAGCACATCAGGTATAATAGAAAAATTCCAACAAACAAGTCAAACAACTGAAAAATGGCCGAAGACTCAAATTTACCTATCTCGGAAAATCTGAATACAAAAAATGGAAATTTTATTTGTGGTGTGGTGGAAGGTAAACCATTAACTTATTTTTTACCTACACAAACTTTAAGATATTTCAATAGTATCTATTTTGTTACAAAACTTAACATCTGCTGCAATTTTCATTAGTTTTTTTTATTTATTGCAATTTTTAGGCTTCTATGGTAGACCCTGGACAACGGAACAAAGAAAAGATTTGTTTCAAAAGTAAGTTTGATTTTTTATTAAATAATTACTTGCTAAGTTTGTAATTGACCCATTTATAATGAACAAAAGGTACATATGCACTTTATTTGAATAATATTTCAAGGACAGACCATTGAAAACTTAAAGCTGAAAAATTACTTCATAATTTGTATATAAATAATTATCTATTGAGTTAGACAAGATTAGTGACTGCCTTAAAATGAAGGGTATTCTAAGTAGTTACTGTTAGTGCTGTACCTACAGGTCTTCTAGATCCTTGCATTAAAACTCAGTCCTTTTATTTGTGAGTACCTGTAGGTATCTCTTTCCAATGCATGTGAATATTTTTTAAATTTTCATTAGATCTGCTAGGTATAGTTCCTATAGTTTCTTAAAATATACTGAAACAATGAATATTTGAAAAAAAGTTGAAAAAGTTTATAATGAACCATATTATCACATTCTAAAGTGGGACCTTTCCTGCTAGGTATAGTACCTACAGTTTCTTAAACTATACTGAAACAATGAATAATTGAAAAAAGTTGGAAAAGTTTATAATGAACCATATTATCAGATACTAAAGTGGGACCTTTTGAGATCTTTGCATTAAAACTCAGTCCTTTTTTTTTGTGAGAACCTATAGGTATCTCTTTCCAATGCATGTGAATATTTTTTAAATTTTCATTAGATCTGCTAGGTACAGTACCTACAGTTTTTTAAAATATACTGAAACAATGAATAATTGAAAAAAAAGTTGGAAAAGTTTATAATGAACCATATTATCACATTCTAAAGTGGAACCTTTCCTGCTAGGTATAGTACCTACAATTTCTTAAAATATACTGAAACAATGAATAATTGAAAAAAAAGTTGGAAAAGTTTATAATGAACCATATTATCAGATACTAAAGTGGGACCTTTCGAGATCTTTGCATTAAAACTCAGTCCTTTTTTTTGTGAAAACCTGTAGGTATCTCTTTCCAATGCATACCTAATTGTATTTGTTTTGTAATTTTAATGCATGCATCTTTTTTTCCAGTTTCATTTTAATAGGTACTATTTATGAAATGAAGTAAGCCATCTCTGATAATTATTAATAGGCATATTTATATTAAAAAAATCATTTTGAAATTGAAATTAAGTATCAGTACTTTTACATTTTTTTAGAATGAAGAAATGGGGAATGAACTCCTATGTCTATGCACCAAAAGATGACTACAAGCATAGAGCTTACTGGAGGGAATTATACACTGTAGAAGAAGCTGAACATCTGACTGGTTTAATCCAAGCAGCAAAAGATCAAAACATAATGTTTTATTATGCTTTATCTCCTGGTTTAGATATAACCTATAGTAGTTCCAAAGAGATAGCAACTTTAAAGAGAAAACTAGAACAAGTTTCACAGTTTGGATGTAATGCGTTTGCATTATTGTTTGATGACATTGAATCTGAAATGTCTGAAGCTGACAAAGAAATTTTCCAATCCTTTGCCCAAGCACAAGTTTCCATTACTAATGACTGTTACCAACATTTAGGTCAACCAAAATTTTTAGTTTGTCCAACTCAATATTGTTCAACTAGAGCAGTGCCTAATGTAACTAATTCTGAATACTTGAATACTTTAGGATCCAAACTAGCACAAGAAATTAATATTATGTGGACGGGTGAGTTAATTTAATTTTGTGGTGTTAATTAATTTGAAATATTTGTATATAAAATATGAGTATAATGAATCTTGTAAAAATTGATTTTTGGTACCATGTGGTGATTTTCTTGTTTTTATTTATTTTCGCCTAAAGTTTGTTGATTCTCTCAATGATTTTTGTGTCACATCTCAAACAATTATCCTTCATCTCCCATGTTAATAATGTAACCTTAAAAGCTTTCAGAATATTGAGATCAATTAAAGGGCATACTTTTTGTATAGTTAATGTTAATACTAAGGTTATACCTTTAATATACTATTTCTTAATTAATAGAATACAATTTATTTGTTTGGATTCCTTCTTATCCATCATATTAGCGTGTTTAAGTCGACGGAGAGCTGGTGACACAAAAGGGGTGACTTGGTAAAGTCAAAATTTTGTTATTTACATTTTCGATTTTTACTAGTGAGAGTCGGGCAGTTAGAAGTCACCCTGGAACATGCAATTTTTTTCTGCAAAATAAGTGATAAAGTACAGCTCTGAAAATTTGCAGTATTATCAGAGATAGTATAAAAAAGTAGGAGAAAAATTGTCAGAAGTCTAGGTGGAAGAGAAAAAGTCAGAAAATTTAGCAACAATGATGTCACTAGGTACACTTCTGACAATTTGTTATTATGTGATCTTCAAAATTTCGAATGTCTTTTTCTCTACAAGATTATCCATCACTTACTGCTTGCTACTATTAATATTTAAACCCCAGGAGGAAGATATTTGTTCCAAATCCAGTTCCACAGTACTGACTACTGTTCAGTTACAATAATTAATTGATTGTGTAGACATTTTAATGAAATCTTCACTACTTTTGATAATTTTAATATTAGTTTATTAAAATTAAAACCTTGTGTCACTAAAATTGTCTAACTAATTTTTTATTTTACTGTTTTGTATGTGTTACATTGTATTTGCCATTTCTCTTTTTATTTTAAGTTTGTGATCATAATTTCTTGTATTCCTGCTATTTAGAATTATTTCTGTAATGTACGATATCTAAATAAATAAAAAATAAATACAAATACCTATCCTTTTTTATTGTAGGACAAAAAGTAATATCTAGGATACTAACGAAGGAGAATATTCAGGAATTCACTGAAGTTTTACGTCGACCACCTGTTATTTGGGATAATTTGCATGCCAATGACTATGACCAAAAGAGAGTATTTTTGGGTCCCTACTCAGGAAGATCACCTGACCTCATTCCGAAATTAAGAGGTGTCCTAACCAATCCTAATTGTGAATATGGGGCCAATTTTGTAGCAATTCATACTTTAGCACAATGGTCTAGGTGTAATGTTGATGCTCAAAGAGATCCCTCCATAAGTATGTTGTTCTTTAAATTATTTCACCATTATTTTAATTTTTTTAATAATAACTATCAAAATTAAAGTTAATTTAAAATTATATTATAGTTGGTTGTTGTAAAATATAGACAGGGTATTTGTAAATAAGTTCGAAAAAAAGTCCCTATAAACGTAGGTCGAAATATGCCTCGTTTCCGAGATACAGAGTGTTTTAATTTAATTTTTTTTTTTTCATTTTTATTAATTATTTTAAAGAGTTAAAAATATTGACTCGAAACGTTTTGAAGGGACAAATGTCCATTTTTTTGGGGTGGTCCGAATATTTCTACTTGCACCAGTGGCGTTCGTGCCAGAATGCCACAACTTTTTTTAATAAAAAAATTATGCACCACTGACTTTTTCACATTTTTTAACAAAATAAATTCGACAACCACCTCCTAAAATCTTTTACACTCGTTTACAAACATTCTGTATTGTTTGTATGAATATGTGAATTTAGTAATATCCTACAAGATATTTAGTTTGTTTATATAACCCATTCCAGTCCAGGATATTTCTTAATATTGATTGTATCTTATTCTTCTAATGTATCAAATGAAAACAATGTGTTGGATTAATTCAAAGACATCAGTACTAATCAAGGACATGACCTGTATCTCTATGTTTGTCAGTCATGGCCTATTTTAGATCGCTTGATATACCTGAATGTTAAGCATAGGGTGTAGATTGAACGAAAATTATCAAGATTGTGAGGTACAAAAAAAGAAATTTATCAACAATAATTATCAACACTACTTATTTTAAAACAAATTACCTACTAATTCCTCATTTTTCTGGTATCCATTTGTATTTTAAAAAATCTGATTTTTGTTTAGATGATACTGTATCTGCTGATATCAAGTTGGAGACTGAGACTGAAGATGGCCTATCCGGCGAAGATGTACCATCTACATTATCTCCAAATATGTATCATCCACGACAAGCTTTAAAAAATGCCATAAATGAATGGTTACCTGAATTTTCCAAGCACAAGTCTGCCTGGGGGCCAATAGTAAAGCCCCAACCGGCAGTTGCTGGTAAAAATACTTTTCATTATTTTTTTTTTTTATTCTTATCAGGATACACAGACTAACGGTATGTTCCTGTGCATGCAGCTGACTGACGGTGACGTCACGTGGGACATAGAATTATAAGCATTAAATGGGAGAGTGTTTAAAATTCGATATTTTGCCAATTTTAGATTTTGTGCAGTTACTTAAGCTTTATAATATATTATATAATATATTCGTTTACAAATATGTAGGTTTAAGGTAAATTTAGTAATAAAAATATTTATTTTTCTCATAAATTATAGGTATTTTGTGACAAAATCCATAACCTCGCCCTAAGATAAGTAAAAAATATAGATTAAAAATACAAGTTTGACTCAAATTTGTACTTTCTGGGCGTGGTAGTTCTCTTGCAAACTCTTTTCTTATTATGTGAAATAAAAACAAGTGTGCAGAAAAAAATTATTTATTTATAAAAAGTAAATACACAAAAAAATTACTTTTTATTTGGTAAATTTAAACATTTTTTGTCAAGTTTACTTCGAAAAACTCAAAACCAATTTTTCTGTTTATTTATCTTATTATATATGTTCGTGTCCTGCTCATGCATGGCATTACTTCAAAAGGACCGTTGTATTTGGACAGGAAACTACTGTTTTATCTGCTACAATTTTAAAATGCCGATTTATTTTCTTTGCTTAATGAGGTCTGTGCACCTGGTGAAATTTAGTTTCCTTTTCTTGCGTCTGTCTTTAAGAGGAATCTCATAACTACTTTCCTCAAAGTGGATAGGGCAACTACAACTAAGTTTGTCCTTTCTTCGATAAGAATTTACCTAAATTTTGTGGCATTCGGAAATATCTCCACCGCGCAGACCAGCATTTTAAACATTAATTTAGTTCTTCCCTGTTATATATAGAAAAATATAGTCACTACTAACACAAAAAAAAAATTATTAAATTATTTTACACTATTCAATCGAAAAGTGTCAAAATAACTTGAAAGTTCGTCCCGCATTACGTCATTGCGCGGTTTGGACGAATTTTGAATCGAAAGTCAGCATACCTTTAGTATGTGTATCATGATTCTAATTTTAAAACTATGTCTAAGGACTAACTCAAGAAACTTTTTTATTTCACTAAATTTTAATAGTGAAATAGACTTTTATTGAAATTGTTATAAATTAAATTTTTAATAGGAACTTGAAATCATGTATATGTGGAAATGGCAGCATGGGTTATTTAATGACCTTTTTAAACGATTTGACCTTCGTTTGTGAGGTAAATGAAGGCAACTAAGCTGTAAAAAAAGGTGGTTATTTGTTAGAAATTATCTCATCGTTTATATATAATATTTTTATTATTTTTGTAATAAAACTTGCTACAGAGATATTTTGTCGCTTTAAAGACTGAAGTGTACATGGTGATTCATAAGGAATGAGTAATATTAATTTTTTGCTTAATAACTGAGGGTCAAATAGTATTATTTACTGAGAAATAGGACAGGGCTGTGAACCTAAATATATTTATGGTTATGGTTGGAATTTCGGTTTTGGTTTTTGTTCTAATTCAGTTTGGTTCAATCCGATTTAAATCAGTTTAAGCAGAAATAAAACATATGTATATTCATGTGCAAACAGTGTATCAGAGTATTTTACTGTATTAGTAGAGCATATGATTGCCTGACGCTCTCATTTATTAGAAGATATAAGAGAGGCGCCTTTTAACTACAGGAGTAAAGCCTGTTTCCTTATGCATTCCAGGCTCTGCATGCTGCAAAGCATTAATCTTATTTGAAAACATGTGTTATGGCTATGAAATCGGCGTTTAAAGAGCGGGTATTTTACGAATTTACGTTGCACCCTTTCAATTCTGTTGATATGACAGGTGTACGTAGGTTGCCAAATAACAGAACAGGAAACTTCTCACCAGGCCATTGTAAAGTGTCATGATTGCTTTTGTTTCATTCATGTACTTAGTATGTTTCTTGATGAAGCCAAGCATTCTGAGGGCTTTGCATACTATGGAATATATATGGTTGTTAAAAGATATTGTGGTATCAAAAATAATACCCAGATCAATAACTGTCGAGAATCTATCTAGGTTGTCGCTATCAATACTGTAACAGTTAAGAGTAGGATTGTGGGATCTTGTAAAATGCATGGTTGTGCACCTAGAAGTAGAAAGAGCGTTATTTTTACACCAAGTACCAAACCTGTTTAGGTCACACTGTAATGCGGAGTTATTACCAGTGTTTCTACTAAAAAACTTTCAATCAACCGCGAAAAGAAGGCATTGGCTATTAAGAAAGCAGGATGTAACATCATTAAAGAATAAGGAAAACAATAGGGGATCTATATGTGAACCTTGAGGAACACCTGATAGGACTGAAACGTCACATGATACGGAATTATGCACTATGACACGTTGACACCGATTACTTAATAAGATTTAATCCAGTAAAAATAACCAGAGATACCGATTTCGGAGAGTTTCTTGAGTAGCAATTCATGACAGATACTGTCAAAAGCTTTTGACAGATCACTGTAAATGGTGTCAACTTGGTAACCATTTTCAATTAATGAAATTAAGAAGTCTTGATAGATTGCCAGATTAGTTGATGTCGATCGACCTTGATAGAAGCCATGTTGTTTAGGTGAGATATAGTTTTTATACATGTAAAACTTCATCTGTTAGTATGGATTCAAATAGTTTTGGAATTATCGATATAATGGAAATACCTCTATACTTTATATCGCTTTTATCACCTTTCTTGTAAACTGGCATAAGGTGGGAAAATTTCCAAGCAGATGGAAATATTCCACTATCAAATGATTTTTGGAAAATTTGGCTAAGTGGGATTGACAAGGAGTCACAGCACCCCTTCAAGAACGACGGTGGTACCCCATCAGGGCCCGGAATTTTACTAGAGTCAATACTTTTTATTTTAGAAGATACTTTACAAGGAGTGAAAGGGTGTGTGGCTAAATTGGAATAAAATGGCGCAGCGGGAAGATCAGTTTTTCGCTTTAAGTCGTCTTTAGAATAGCAAGTTTGGAAATAAGATGCGAAGGCGTTTGCAATTTCTTCAGGATCACTGAGTTCATAGTTTCCATATTTCATTAAATTAGGCAATCAGTACTCTCGCTGCAAACTTTTAATAAATGTCCAAAAATGTTTTATGTTTTGTGTCATTAAGTGCTCGGAGTTCGAAATAAACATTAAGTAAAACCAGTCAGTTCGAAATTTTACTTCACACCTTTTAATGAACCTCTGATATATTTGATGGAGCTTATTCTTTTCAAAAATGAAACAAAGATTGAGTTATTGGAATTGAAGTTTTTTGGTCAAACAGTATTTAAGAAGGAGCCTATTTAAATAATTATTTACCTTAATTTTTTTTGGAAGTTTTAGAAATTTTAGAGTTATATTTTAGTTTTTTATTTCTTATCTGGAAAAATGTAGACCATATACCTATTTTTACTTTTAAATTAGGTAAAAAATGAGTGGATGATCTCATCGCCTTCCACTGCGCCCCAAATGGATCTATTGTGGCTCATTGTTATATATTTATTTAATTTCCTTTAAAACAGTGATCTTTAGCAGTGTTGCTAGGTGCAGATACACATTTTTCAAAATAGGTTTGTTGTAGAAAATATAATAGATCATTCATAAATAGAAATAGATTTTCTTAAGTAAATGATATGTCAATTTATTTTACTCTAGACTTGAAAATGGCTAGATTTTTTGTTCAACCATATATTTCATTTAAATTTAAAGCAGTTCATTTTTATTCAACCAATTTGGTTACAATTTCTTAAATAAAAAGGATTCACTTTAAATTTCAATGATAATAAAAAATAAGTGGTTACTGTTTGCCAAACAATAAGGTATTAAAATTACAAAAATAATTTAGTAATGTTGTATTTCAGTTATTTTTTCACACACAAACTTAAAAGTCGTTATAATTAGATGTGTGAAGTGAGAAAATCGAATAAGCATTTTTGGCGTATCCATCATAATATTTGACACCCGGTTATTGAGCAAAAACTTACAGTTCATCAAATTTCTAGAGGTGTTCGACGCCCAGACAGAGAACGCGCTACGTGTGACTAAGATAGCTATTGTACAGTCTGCTAAACAAGTTATTTTAAATAGTTTTTAATATTTTTAGGTAATTAAATTTTAAAAGTGTGGAATAGTTTAGGGATTAAATTGGTCTGATTGGACTTTCTTAGAACGTTTTTAAAAGCAGGTAAAGATAGTATGTAGAATTAAAAATAATTATTATGCCATAAAAGGTGTTTTGGAATTCCTTCAACCTTTTGAAATTGAGTCAGAAAATATAAATTTTATAGGATAGCGGAAAATACCTATAATTTTTTTGTAGGCCTTTGTAAATCGTGGAAATAGTTTATATTTTATTTCTACCTTATTAAGGAAAATGTTACCTATTATTAATAACGGTTGTTTCTGAAACATTACTAAAATTTTCGAAATTTTGTTTTTCTACAAAATAATAAACTATACTATTTAGAAAAAAAATTATTTCTCTTATAATTTTATAAAAAATAACAGGGGAATATTTACATTTCTTGATCTATTAAACAAAACGATAAATTATCTCGACGAATGACACCATGTTCTAGTACATTTTTGTTGGTGGTTTCATGGGTTTCATATCAATTTTTTGTAATTGTAGTTTACACGTACATATACCTCTTAACACTTGTTTGCTTTATTAAAAAAGTGTGTTGTTGTGATTTACGTCGAAATAAGTCAAAAACAACTTGAAACCCCATATAAAATCAAAAAGGAGAAACGGAAAAAAATTGAGCCTGTAAATGAACACAACTCAGAAACAAAAATAGCTATCTAATAATAAAAAAATAAAATTTGATTCTTGTGCAGCTTCATCTATATCATTAACTGTTTTTGGTTTTTTAATGGTTTTTCTTGGTGATGAAAATTCCGATATCTCACGGTTATCGATTCTTTTTTTCTCTCCAGAAATGCGGACGACAGTGTTTTTAGATACTCCTGTGGCTGCAGCAACACGATCATTTACATTTTTAAATGGTATTGAAGGTGAATTAAAGTTTCCTTCTCTTCTCATAAACTCTATAACATTGGCTAGTTTTTCGCGAGATTGACTGTTAATCACGCGGCCTCTTAATTTGCTATTAAACTCCATACTTAGGTTCTATTAAACTGTAATGAGCAAAAAACACAAACGAAAATAAAAGAAATGTTTTAGCGAAATTTACATCTGACATTTACGTCTGAATGAAATAGTGAAATACTTGATGCGCAGAGTGTACTTTCATTGCGTAAATCCGTCGGGATGCCTGTCAGTAGTGCTTTCTCTGCCTAGCCGTCGAAAGCCTCTAGAAATTTGATGAACTGTAATATTTTTTTGCTACAAACTCTGTAGTTAGAATATTACCTAATCCTTACGAATCATGAACCATATTCCAGAAAGATTTTGCTTTATTATTTACATTTTTTACATTAGAATGATATACTTTTTTCTTTTCATTACATATTTTTATATTAAGAGTTAAATACTTTGTGTTTTCGTAATGTTCAGTTGAATATGGGCCATTATTATCTTTTTAATTCTTTAAAATATTATTCAAAAGGGAACAAAAGTTTACAGCGAAATCTAATGTGTGGCAAACTTTTAATAATTTTCTCATACTTATGTAATTTTAGTAATTTTTATTAATTTTATTTAATAGTTGTTCCTGTACCTATTATTCCTTCTATAAATACTTGTATGAGCCTAACAGCAAGTACTACAACTTGTTCTACCACTACGGCTGTGGTAAATTCAAATCAATTACAGGCTTTAGCAGAAGTTTGTAGCACGGTAAGTTTTAATTTTTAATTTATTTTTAACTCAGATGTCAGTTAATAAAAATACCAAGATAAAACTATGTTGTATTAAAAATAGAACAAGTTTGGAGTAAAAAAATGTAAATGGGTCTTATAAATGAGTGCCTTTAATTATAGAAAACCTGTTTTAGGTTTCTTCTTGTAGTGATAGTTCCCTAAACCCAGTTCCAGGTCCTGTAATGAACTCCCTTGTATCTGCTACAAAAGTCATCTGTAACGAATCTATACCTAATCCCATCACTACCATTCCGATTCCTGTTCCCATTGCCCATGCCGAAAACAAAACTGTCACTATGCTTAGTGGGACAATAATTAAACCCGAGAAACACAAATTGGCTCAATCTGAAGTCGGACAGATCCAAAATAGGAATCTCATTAAGGACAAGGAGGAAACTACAATGAACACAGATACTAGCTTAAGTAATGAGTCGAGTTTGAGTCCTTCTGAACCAATGGATTGCAACAGTACCCCTAACATATCACCTGCTCATGGTAATAAATGTGCTAATGGATCAAACGAAGATGTAGCCATGAGTGAAAATTCTGTAAGTATATTATAGTCAAATATGAAATAAAATAAATACTTTTTATAGTATGTTTTAAGAAACTCTACTTAATAATTGTTTTATTGCTTCAGTTTTAACTCTATGTGACATCATTAAATCTTTTTTCAGACATCCAGTGGTAGTATGCAAGTAGATCCTAATCAGATGGTCATAGAAAACAACAGTGAAAATGAAAGGTAAAATAAGTATAACACTTTTTTATTTTCTGTGTCTCAGAAATTTTGATATAGTCGTTTCTTTTAAAAAAAGCATTTATAAGATCAAAAAATTGTTTGGCACAATCTATTAATCAAAATGGTGCAGTATCTATTTTTCCTCCTCTATAATATGAAAATAAAGAGGTCTAAAAAATTGTAACTTACAGTAAATGACTAGTTGGCAAAGAAAACCGCAAAATCCCTTTTTGTGTTTGTGAGTATCTCAGAAAATAAAATCATCGCAAGTAGTAAAAGTACCTACATTATTGAAAAAAAAAAGGGTTTTGTACAGGAAGTTTTTAGTAAAAAGTAGTTATAAGTAATTTTATAGAATAAAACAAGGACCCGTTGGACTTCAGAAGAAACATACAATGAATATTTATATCAGAAATAAAAGATATATTTTGTGAGTTTCTAGGATATATGAACAGTATAATTTACTTAAAAAAAAGACAAAACAACCCAGTTTTATTATAATAATCTATAAATATAGGTACCAAATTAGAGAAAAACAGTTTTATCTATTGTGTCTATATACATACCGTTGTATGAAGATAATATAGTAGGATAATGCAACAGTAAAAAGTGTTGGATGCAATCTCGAGCGGCATCTAGTGACGATTTAATGAAGTATTCAATTTTTAAGGCTATGCAGATACGCCATCTACGTCTTCTTTTCGTTCAGGCACATGGCCTCTATCACCTACCTATTATAGTTAAAAACATTTAAAAATAACAATTTATGATAAAAGACTTGAAAAATTAAACATAATAATGAAAATTTATTCCAGTTGACAAAACCGTACAAATACAATTTTTGGATTAAGGTGATAAAAAGTGGTTAAGGACTTTGGTTATGTGCGGTTATGTCACTGATCTGTATTATTTTACTGGATAGGATATAGCCCCTTAAAAAACCTTCCGAAAAATTGGCCGATTTGGGCAAATAATATGGCGGACCGGATGTTATTTAACGTAACCTCTATTTCCATTTGTCATCACATTTGTCATTTAATTGTGTCAACAAGCTACGATGAGATGTTTTTATTGTGGAAAACAAAGTAGAAAGAGTATGAAATAAATAATAAACGTTCATTCCTGAAGACACAATATGCTTCACGTTTCCATTTTTATATTTTCTTTCATAAAAAATTAAATCATGGGTGAATTTTCCCGAAGGACATCCCCCGCAAAAGAAATAGAAGAAGAATAAGAAGAAAAACTAATCAAATTATAAGTTAGGTATGTCAAATTATCCCAAATTTCAGTTCTGTAAACCCACCATAATTTGCCCAAATCGGCCAGCATTGCTGCACTTCCGGTCTCCTTGGTGGAACGGTTTTTTAGTATGTTAAATATAGCCTATATCCTATCCAGTAAAATAATACAGATCAGTGGGTTATGTCAAAATATATAAACAATAACAAAGAATACCTAATAACAACTGATAACAATGTCCAATGTTTTAAATAAATTGAAAAGTTCCAAGTAGAATACAAAAAAGGAATAAGCTTCTGAAAATGTTGCATGTAATCTAAGTACCTCTAACTGAACTAAGTGTTGGAAAAGTTTATAACCATAAAAATAGCTGAATATTTTTATAGTTTTCAAAATTTGAACAAGCTTTGCTACAAAATTTCATCAAAGCTATCAACAGTTTGCAAGATATTGAGTTAAGGAACAAGAAAATCACTAATCAGGGAAAAATCAATCAACCATCAACACTGGAAAACAAATTAAAAAAAAATAGTCACAGGGATATATTAGCGACTTCCAAATGTATCTTGGCTGTTGATCATGAATATAAGAAAAAATGTTCTCTCGGCTGGCTCTGAGTGTTGAAATAAATCACCTTGAAAGAAAGTTTTCAACAGCTCCACTCTTTAGGAATAGCTCAAGACGAAATCGATAGACCTACAAGTGGTCTATCTGTGGCAAACATATTCAGTTAGTCTTTATATTTCATTATGCAATGTAACAAGGTTCAACAACTTGCCAAAATGGTTAAAATTTATTTCCAAAATCAGTGCTCTTATTTAGTACAGAATTCTATGAACGACACAATATTATAAAGTCCTAACTTTGAACATAAAAGAAAATCTTATAAAAAACATTTTTTTTATACAATTTATCACTGTTTGGAAAAGTATATTTGTTTGTAAATATTTGTATTTACAGTTATATTTAATCCAGGTTAAGAGTCAGTGCGCGAGTGTAATGTTAAGTATGAACAAAATCCGCCCATTCTGTTTATACGTTTGGTTACCGACCCTAGTAGATAGGCAATTTGTTATTATTTTTAATTTAGATTTTGGATTAACGTTTTTGTATATGACTTGGCTGTTCAGTAATAAATGAAGTCAAAACTGTAACACGTGGTTTTATTGTGGAAAGTATTTTTAAATTGAATCACGCTTGCCATTCGAGTGAAAATGTTTTAAGTAGTTCAAAACAACAATAACTATTTTTCATTGTTTATAGAATACAGACTTTTAGTTAGCTCAGACAAAACTGATTAAATAAATAAATTAATGTCTTATTATTTTTTGAATTTTTTTTATTTTGACTGGTTGACCATCTCAAAAATTAAAGCCAATCAAGCAAAACGTGAGTCATATTTCGCTTTTTTAGAAGAACAATAACGCAAGTGAAAATTAATGATTCCACAGAAATAGCAAATTAAAAAAAATGTGATATAAAACTTACAACTAAGACGTTAAAGAAAAGTTTGGAAATAATCGATGGGGACTTCGAGATAGCAAATTTATTTTAGTTTTAGACAGAACTACTTTATTTTATTCTTTTTGAAACAATTGAAGATTTATAGGCCAGAGAAACGATTTTAAACTGAATATTCAGTCCAATAGGCTCTCGACCGAAGTCCTTTCCATTTTTAGAATATTATCTTTCAAATTCAACAATTTTATGTTTTGTTCCAACACAGATTTTAATAATAGATTTATAAATTGTTTTTGTTTATTTGAATGTAAAAAGTTCTTAAAACTAACTTTAACATATATTTCCCATGCTGGCGCTTAGTGTTCAAATAATGAGACGATTAAACGAAAAAGGCTTACGAGAGCCAGTTGCCCTCTTTTGGTACACATTTGTACAAGGAAACTTTACAAATGTTTCCTTCTTTTTTCTCTTGTAGAAGATGGACACACCAGCAGTGGAGCGCACAATGATGGTATTTTAAAAAGCCACGTCACATATTTGATTAGATAATTAACTTGATATAAGTGCCTTTAAGACTTAAGTCGTTAAGCATTCAAGTTTGAATTTCCCAACCCAGATTCAATTACATATAAAACATTCTTTCTTATTTTGGAAAAAATATGAAAAATATAATTAATGCAATCTTTCTGCTAAATTTTGTAGTATTTTGATAACAGTTCAGAAAAAAATGGTAGTAGTCAGTAACTGATCTTTACGAAATCCAAAGTTGAGCACTTAACGTCCTGAGCAATACAAGTTTATGTCAATGTTAATTATCTAATCAAATATGTAACATTCGCATTTTTTATAATTTATTTTTTAAGACGCCTTCGTTGAGCGCTTCATCATTGTAGGACATGCAGCAAAGTCTTTCCATGTACAAAAAAAAACAATGAAAAATTTTTAATTTTGCCTTTCGAAAATAATACTCCTAAATGTGCCTACCATAAATTGGTACTCGATTCGTTTTCAAATGGTGTCAAAAGTTGAAAACTGAAAATTAGTGGCTTACATGTTTTTATTACTTAGTATAATTTCACTAAACGTATTTAGTATTATGTTATAAGTTTACCTAACAGCAAAAAAATCTGTTAGTTAAATTTTGTTAGTAAAATTATATTGAATAATAAAATTATAACTGCCTATATAGGTATTTACCCATTATTACTTTTTTAATTTTCAACTTAACATCCTGTATTTCAGAAAATTTTATCCAAGCATTTATTATTTTCGTCTATTCGTCTCATTTTGAACAATAATATTCAGTTGTTCATGTCCTATTCTTAATTTGATGATACCATTAAATAAAAGTGAATAAAAATTAACAGCGTAAAACTGAAGTTTAATTAACCATCAGCGATCAATCCAAAATCCAACCACAATATAGAAAAAAATGTTCCCTATTATAGTAAAATTCCACCCAATCTCAACTAATTCAATCTTTTTCAAACAAAAACTGGTTTATTTTATTATATCGATTATTTTCGCATTTTATGTGACCTTCAAATACCCTTTTATAATACAGTAGAACTCCAATTATCCGAATTAATGGGGACCGGGACCCATTCGGATAATCAAATATTCGGATAATCGGATTTTTTTTAAAAAAATTGCCATTGGAGAGAATAAAAGCTACGTTTTGATATTGCACTATTTTTTTATTGAATTAAATGAAAGAAACATGAAATTTTCACATGTTTTAAATATAAATAAAATGTACTTATGTACAAGTTTAGAAATAAAAATCATTGTTTTTTAAACATCTCCGTCAAGACTTGACGCGCATTTGTGATTCGGATAATCGGCGATTCGGATAGTCGGAGTTCGGATAATTGGAGTTCTACTGTAATTTGAAGTAGTAAATTGTAACTATAAAAATACATTACCGAAGACAAGTAGAAATGAAAAATAAGATTTTAAATTATAATTCATACTCAAGCACAGACATGACCTAAAGACCTGACTTGGACCACAAATACAGTATCGCCATCTACATTCTATGTCCATCATCCTCCAATGATAAGTCCATAAGGTTACCCTACTATATTATCTTCATACAACGTACATACAATACACGGAGAAGATATTACATATACATGGAGTACTTAAATAAATTATCCAAAAGCCCATATCTCAGATTTATTTCAGCAGCGCACTTTTGTAAAGTTAAAATCCCCAGCAAGGGGTACTTTAGAGCAGGCCTGCACAACTCATATTTTCAAAGGGCCAGATTTGAATAACCGTAACTGTACGAGGGCCGTTAAGAGAGGCCTGAGCAGCCTACAATAGTCAGTTCATATTTCTAAAAAAGAAAAGGTCAACACCTTTCATTTATAAATCCACTCCTGCTGATCGAGCTTCTAAAAAAAAAGTCGTCAGCCTATAATGTATAAACAATCCTGCTGATCGAGTTTTCTAAAAAAAGTTTGTTACTGAAAAATGTATAATTTGACGTAGGTGGGTCAAACTGGTCAACGGGCCGTATGTTGTGCACCCCTGCTTTAGAGTATTTCTGAGGTAAAGATAGCATCTTTTACTCAAATGTCTTCTCATGAATGCTATACAAACTTCTCAACTCTAAACGGCCCTTGTTTTCTTCTTTAAAATGATTTGTAACTATGTATTTATTACTAAAAACTTCCTGTAGCAAACCCTTTTTTCAAAAATGTATGTTATTTTAGAATAGCCCTTTGACTATTTTGCTCTCGGTTGTTTTTGTTTGTAAGAAACCATCTCACCTGATTTAAAATGTAGGGTGGACAAAGCTGCAATTAAATTAAAAATAGTGAATGATATTTGAGGAATAATTACTCTAAAATCGTACCATTAGTCATTAATTTCAGTTCAGGCTCGGTACAATTATTTATTCTAACGATTTTTGTGTGTAAACAGTAAAAATTGTTTGCCAACAGCAAAACTACGGCTCACTCCAAGTTTGCCAATATTTCAAAAATATTTCGGTATATAAACAAAGTGATCCGAATTTAGCAAGCAGGTCCTACCCTAATCCAAAATGTTTAAAATAAACCATTCACACAATAATCTTTCTCTTTATAATTCAAATAAAAATTAGTTCATTTGAAATTTGATGGAAATCATTTCATGATTTTTCCATGCCGTTTTGTAGCTTGGCTTTCAAAAAAATCAAATTTTCGATTTTATAAAAACTCCAACACAGGTGTATAGTCCAAAAATAAAAATATAAACACCACTAAATATTAATAAAATATTAGATTTTCTAAAAAATTAATGTACGAACCGCAGCAGAATATTTTCTGTCAACTCGATTTTTAATTCCGTGACGTCACATCCTTCCTTAGCAAGATGAAGAGACCACCGTGTTGTCTATGAACCGTGGTCTCCCCCCCCCCCTTTCATCACTACTTATACCTAACCGTAAATTGTAAATAGACAAATACACACATGCAATGTCAACTTCTAATGAAAGCCATAGCCCAATTAAGCAAAGTAATAGAAAGAGGGATGTCACGTAACACAGTTTTGTCCCTTTTAACACTGTATTAATGATGACTTAAAGTGTGTTCCAATAACAAATGAGTATTCATTATCATTTTATTTCTATTATTTTCAAGATTGTATTCATTTAAACGTTAAAAATAATTTGATTACATTCCTTTAAACTACTTTTTTTTTATTGGTACCCTATTTTACTTATTTAAAGTACGCCTCGGCGTGTTTAAAACGAACTTTAAAAAACGCGCATTTTAAAGTTACCATGGCAACATCAACAACCCGAGAAACGTGATGTCTAAATGCCAACTTTTTAAATATTGATCTGACAGGAGTGCCTTGTAATGTCAAATAAAATATTTCTGAGAAATTTTTCAAAAAATTTATTCAAATATTTTTTCACATTCTTAAATGAATGTGGAAAGTACAGTTAGTATTGTTTGAAATATTAAAACTTCTGTTTTTTAAATCAGAGGAAATACTGTTCAAATTAAGATTGCTAACATTATTGGAAGTCAATGAAGTTGTACTTCCATTAATAGCACTTCCAATAATATTTGAAACAGTATTCTTATTGCTAATGCTCTTTTCAACGTAACCAGTCGCCACAGCTGCCGATTTCCATCCTATTTGTCGTTGGATTTGATCTATTGTCATGCCATTATTCGCCATAATGGTAGCGGACGTACGTACTGTTCCGACATTTTCTGGAGATAAGCGAGAACAACTCGTTCATCTATATGTGTAACCATTTGCTCTTCCATCCACGTGTTGAATTTATCGTATTCTTTTTTATAAACCGCTTCGGATTTTTGTGGTATTAAGCGCGATTCTGCTTTATTATTTAAATACTCAATATTTGAACTCATTTTAAACAATAACAACTGTTGCGACAATTAATCTTACGTGACAGATTGAAAATAAATTTTTGTTTGTCTCATTTTCATGACAACGAGGTATACTGATGTTACATCACAAATTCAACCATTTTCAGTTATTAGTTATTTCGATTTTTTTTGTAGAAATAATACCAATATTTAGGATTTCAAAGTATACCAACAAAAAAAAAATAGCGTAAAATATTCGTGGATAACTGGTCTTTAAAACACTTGCTCTCTTTCGTGGGTGTTTTAAAGACCGTTATATCCTCTTATACTTTAATATACTATTTACGACCTGCATATAATAATTTAAAAAACTATAAACATACCTAGATGTCAATTTCAATGACAGAATTTTTTTTTTTTTTTTAATCGACTGTTATTTAAACACGCTAATATAGTGTATACTTTCTACCAGAAATTACTTATAAAATCCTCAAACAAAAGTGTACTTATTTTTTATTCGAATCTTCAATTAATAAACAAATATTTGTAAATTAAAACATTATTTATCATAATTTTTCTTTTATTTAGCAAACAACAACAGCTCACTTCCGATGATTTAGCCTTATTATGCGATTTATTCTATTTACCTTTTGAACATGGCGGACAAGCATTACAATTACTTCAAGAATTTAATTGGTTGAAATCTAATGCGCACCTGGTAATAATTGCTAACCAGAAAAAAGACCAATCCAGTCCAGAGGTAAGCAAAAACTAATTTCACATGTTTTTTTTAATTATATTTAATTTATTTACATTTTAACAAAACCAATTCAGTTTTTGAAATGTTTTTCACCTCATACAATTTTCTTACATGTAGATGACAATAGGTGCTCAATTCTAAAAATATTCTCTTTTCTCTGTTAAAAAATAAAACACTTGATAAAGTTTTCGAATAGACTGTTCCTTTAGTTTTACGACTCCTTTACTTTGATAAAAAGGTACAATCAAAATATTCCTGTAGGTACATAAAATTTGATTGGTGAGGCATAACTGCATGATTGAAGCCGACTTGATTGTTCTCTTCTTTAAAAGAAAACGATTATATACAAATCTTTAAATTTGAAAAATAAAACTAATGTCATGTCATAACCAAAAACGAATTTAATGAGTGAATAAAATCCAAAATCGATACCACATAAAAGTGTTTTAAAAATAAATTGTTGTGACTAGGCCATCTTCAGGCAAATGTAATAACGAACAGGATAAAACATTCCATATTATGGTTAAAGTAAATGTAATCTTAATTTAAATAGTGGTATCAGGTAAAAAAAAAATATGGAAAATATTGGTTAACTGTTAATGTAATTATTACAGTAGAAAAAACTTATAATTATCACTCATGAAAAGACATTTTATAAGATGGTCAAAAAATTACACTTACAGTGACAATGTGAATGTTTCCACACTGGAAAATTGCCGTAACGATTAAACAAGTGAATCTTAATCCGAAGATAACTTTGTGGTGAGCTACCAAAATACTTGAATCATGACCAGGCATCATCTTGATGCAATATCAAAAGAATAAAATTGCCTAAACAGATTGTCTGGAAGAAAAACTTCAAAACCACACACCGCAGTAACGATGAATAATGATTGATAATAATGTTAACTAATACTGATGCGTAGTCGTCTAGACAACTAATTTGTTTAATATACAGGGTCTATTTTTAAATGACAAATATAAGCCTTATTTTAGAATCAAAGAAAAAAGTCCCTTAAATTCTACAAGATACATCCATTCAGATTGTGTGGCTAGCCATTTTGTAAAGGTTATCCATGTGTTTTGTTAATTTTTAATGTAACTATTAATTGTAACTATTGTCCAAAATTTGTTCTATTTAATTACCATCAACTCACACATGGCAACCCCCATTGTCAATACTAGCTTTACCTGATCAATATTAAAATCCTAATAATATTTCAGAATCCACTCAACCATTCACTGTTGGGTTCTAATTAACAGTGCTGTTTCTAAAGTGGCGCTGGGAAACAGTAACAAAGCCTACATAGAATACGAGGCTAATGACCTTAGCAGTCGATGCAGATGACACCAAATTAAAAAAAAAAAATTTCAGAATCAATAAAATAAAATATAAAAATAATTTTATTGTAACACTTATTATTTCAAAATATAAAATTAATTTCTATTGTGATGCCAATTCTCAATATTTGGACTACCCCATTATTACTTAGACGCATTTTAGAGTAGGGACAGAAGTTGTACAGGCTTCTGGTAGGTGGAGAGCTGGTAAAGGTGAAACCCTGTCGAACGACTTCGAGAATTTTGCAGTAATGTTTGTTTCCCAATGTCGTATCGTAGAATAAAAGTAATATTAAGGAGGTCCTTTCGTCACCAATGTTAAATAAAAAATATTAGAATATGACTAAAATTAATTTTTTTCTAATAGTAGATGTCCTTATTTATCTAATAGTGAACTTTTAACTATACCTTACCGTGCAAATTTTTGAGAAAAAAATTTTTTTTAAATGTGTGTGTTTGTACAGTGTCTTATGAGAAAGTAAGACTTCAACAACAATTTTCGAATTATAATTAATTTTACTATTATTTATTGATTAGATGGAGTAGAAAAAAACTAAAAATAAGGTTTTTGAAATATTTAGGTTTTGTTTTTTACAATAAAATATATAGGTTACCGTGGAATTTATTGAGAAATAATTATTAAAAAATCACAAAAAATTTTCAACTAGGTTACTTGAAAATTTTTTGTGATTTTTTAATATTAATTTCTCAATAAGTTCCACGGTTTACTATATATATTTTATTGTATAAAACAAAATCTAAATATTTCAAAAACCTTATTTTTAGTTTTTTTCTACTCCATCTAATCAATAAATAATAGTATAATTCGAGAATTGTTGTTGAGGACTTACTTTCTCGTGAGGCACTGTACAAATACTCACATTAAAAAAAAAAAATTCTCAAAAATTTGCAAGGTAAGGTATAGTTAAAAGTTCAGTATTAGATAAATAAGGACTTCAACTATTAGAAAAAAATTAATTTTAGTCATAATCTAATAACTTTTTTTTAACATTTGAGGCGAGAGGTGTGGCGAAAGGACCTCCTTAAACATTTTAAATTAGAAATAATTATTTAAACAAGTATTTTGTAATATTCCAAATCATAATTCTGCAAAATTCATACTTTATTAAACTATTTAAACGAAATTATTAGCATCTATAAAATAATTTGTTATGCCAATCTATCGCGTTCAATTTGGTTAGCTCCGCGACAAAACCCGAGCAAAACTGTCAAATCCTCTGTACGAAGTTAGAGAACTATGAACAACTTCTGTCCTTGCTCTATTAGATGAATGCAAAGACAATACAAATGCAAAATTTTAGGTTCAAGAATGGTTTTCAAGAGCTGAAAAACTGAACGAAATATCACAAGCAATGAATGCATTATTTAAACATATTTCAAGTTGTAATAACAGAGAAGCTGTTTATGATTTGTATGCTTATATTTGGGACATGAGAGGAGTGGTTTCTTTGCTTAATTCATACGTCAAGTGGTTAGGTATGTAGTCGAATTATATATTTTTTAAAACAAACCAAATGAATTAGAAGAATTTTATTAGATTTAATTTAGAATTGTTTTGTTGGGAAAATTTTTACAAAATGTTTTAAATTTAGATAATTTTGCATAATGATAGTAGAAAATGTAAAATGTTTAGTAACAATAATACATCTTTAACACATGTATATTTTTTAAATACTAATAAATTCTTCTAATTTGGAATAGGCATTGTTATTTTTTCGCTGATGTCATTTTTGATTATCTCGTTTTATTACTCTTAAATAATATTTTTTTGTTGTATCATTGATTTAAATATTAATAAATATCAAACTTTCATGTATTAAAATATAAGTTTATATCAGAAAAACCATAAGGTACTATGATTTATTTATTCTCATTTTAATTTTATATTCATAGCAAAACTTTTGATTTCTTACTCATACTGACTGATACTGACATATTCATTAGTTATCTGCAACAGGATTATCTAGCGGAACTCGTAATAACCGGTAATATAGTGGTTGTCAGGTTTGTGGATTAATATTCAGTGTGCGAATTTACATGAAACATCTTAGGTGTATAATTTTTTTAAAGGAGTTTGCAGTATTTTATTTAAAGAACTCTTCAGCTTATATGCTCTTTTGTATTTATTAACAGAACATTTAAGACCAAAGCATGATAAAACTGGAATATTGGATTTTTTAATTATTTGATATTAATATAATAATAGTTTTTATGGCGAGTTAAATATCATTATGACATCAGCAATACCAAAAATGTATTTCATTCCATATTTTTATAAATTTGGCTCAAAACTATATTTATTATTCAACTTGTGTGCGAAATGAGTGTTCTCGTTGCGTAGATGTTGTAAAATGCGTAATTTTATTTTGGAGATTGTTGCAGAGAGGCCAAAGAAAAAGGTGAAGGAACCCAAAAGAATAGCGCTTGCGTAAAAATTTCAAAAAAATTAGGAACACTTACTTCTTACAGATAGTGATAAAGGCTAAATTCATGAATTTCGAATTATAGGAAATACATTTTTGAATTTTAACAATGCTATTACTAATGAATGTACTTTTTTTAGCTTTGGCACTTCATAATTGCTTGTTATAAAAACGTTTTTTTTTTTCAAGAACGTTTGTATTATAATTTTTTTACGTTAATATGTTTATTATATTATGTAGGATGTTTCCAAAATAATCTAATATATTAAATATATTAAATCTGTAGGCTGGCTCACGAGCTAGGAGGTGCCTATCTTCTCAGGAGGATGCACAATGAGCCTAATGAGGCCTAAGTGCCGTGGAGTAACCCACCCTCCATTACAGATACAGAATCTAAAATATTGATGGATTCTCATCCAATTTTATAAATTTTCTTGTGAGTATTTGTGATAAATTTTCAATTAATTATTTTTAAATAAGTTTTTCTTGTAGAGTTTGGATTTAAATATTTCCTCTATGTTTAATATGGGACATTTATTCCATAATGTGTTATTCTGGTATGTTTTGTTTCCCAACAGTTTCCAGTTGTTGAAGATACACTTATTCTGGCCACCTCCTTTATGGCTAGGTCAATGGGTGGGAGGTTTAGAATGATTTCCATAGAGATGGTCAGTGTACTTCTGAGTGTTCTTGTAATATAAAGGCCTCTGTACACATGAGAAGGTAATTGAGGACTATTTTCTTGTTAACTTTCGGTCACCAAACAACTGATCCATAGGTTATATTATGGGTGTTATTACCGAATAAAATCAGTGGACTATTTTCGATTTTAATCTCAATGTTTTACCAAATGCCCGTCTTCCTAAAATGAAATACATTTTACATTTGTTGGTCATTTTTTGTAAGTGTTGGTTCTAATAAGTTTGCTAACTAAGATTAGACCTATATATTTTACTTGGTTTGTTTTTAGTCTTCCTCTCCAAACAGGGTTGGAATTTCTCAAGACCTCAATTCTTGTTTTATTAAGTAAAGGTTGAGCTGTGCCTTGCCAGTGTTTCACAAGAGGATTTCCCTAATTTACTACATTTATGTCACCCTTAGAGTTCTTTCCATGGGTTCGAAGACTGTGATTCGATGTCACCCTTGGATAAGGATGTCATTTACATATCCTTGGGCATACACCTCTTGATTGTCCAGTATTCTCAGCAGTTTATATGCCACTCAGTCTGGTCATAGTTAAGTATTTGTTTGCTGTAGTGTTGTCAGGGTAACTTAAGAGCTCCCTAGCAACTCTGCAGCTTTTTATTTAATCTTTCCTTGGATTTTACAATTTTTTAATTAGATTTATGACGACCCATGTTGTTAGTCTAATAGAAGGCCAGGTGCTTTCTTGGCTAGTAAATTGATAAGACCGTTACCTTTCGATGTGATGTGGCCTTTGTTCCACCTTAATGTAACCACATTGTTGATAGATACTTCGAACAAAGCTGGATGACGTTCTATCTCTGAATACATTCGTGGTCTATCGAGGGCGAATAGTGAGTAGAATCTCCGTAAGCTATAGGGAGTTAGTAAACGATGAGTGTTTTTATTACCTTATGGGGGCTATAAATGGGGACCCCTTCCCATCTAATGGTCAAGAGATTATTTAAAAACTCGTACATATAGGCTAAAACTTCGTGGTAGTTCTTGCTTTTAACCTGACGGTTGACAGTTCCATTTTAAACCTTGCAATTTTGTTTAAACAGAAGTTAATTGTGTGACAAATGGAAATTATGAATATAGTTTGTTATTTGGGGGATGAAGCGCCCTCCAAAAGTATGATTTAAAAATAGTTCACACAATACAAACTTGGAAAACCAACGTATGTAAAAGTGTATAGATTTTAAAGAGCAATAACACGATTGATTTTTGTTTTGCTTTATATTTACCTGAACTCTCCTACATCAATATTTTAGGTTACTTTGGAAACACCCTGTATGTAAAAACACGTGAATCCGTATAACGATCTTTTACAAATAATTATGAAGTGCATTTTAAAAGTGGAAAATCAAATTTCTGCTCGGTAAATTCGCCAGGAATCTGAATGTTTCGCTTGAACAGCTGTTTCTAGAACAAAGGCTCCAGATTTACAATTGTGAAATTAATTTTGTTTTATTTTTTTGTGTTCTTAAGCTGGCGGTCATTTTCCTCCATCGATGCCTTCGTACACCCAGGGGACTTATACATGTACGCATCTTCCAAGGAATTTAGTATGCTTTCCCGATGCTCAAAGGTCGCTTTTGGCGTAAAATCATCATTTATTTATTTAGTTCATTCTGATCCTGTTTTGGCATAAATTGCGTATGTTTTGCATCGATTGCGTAGTAGATAGACAAATCATGATAAATTATTACAAAAAGGATATTTTTTGTACAAAATTCTAACATTAAATTACGCATTGTAACTTAACACGTACAAGATCTTAAATACCAAGAGAAAACATTTAACTAGCATGCTTCTAATTTCTCCATTATTTTTTTTATTCTGTAAATAATCCGAATTGAACAAGGAAAATAATAAATTTCATTTGAAAAAAATAAAAGCTGAAATCATTGATTATTGATTAATATATTAAATATCTAATTTCAATTTTTTTGTGCATTTTTATGGTATTTTGTTATTAATTTTAATTTGAAATATCATAAAGCTAAGAGGTATAATTTTAATAATAAAAAATGCGTGAACCGTTGTTAGTTAAGAAATTATCAAATTATCATCAGTTATCAATAATAAGTTATAAATAATGAGACTTAAAGTTAGAATTTTGTAATTTTTACTGAATTACATCAACCTTTTTTGTGCTTGTGCAAAAGCAAATTAAAATAAATATAAATTACAGTAAAAATATATAAAGCACTAAACTAGTAATCGTTTTCAGAAAAATATATGTTCGTTTCTTTTGATAACAAAATTATTTTTTTATTTGAAACTTGCTTTCTTCTTTTTTTTTTTTTTTTTCACCATACAAGTTAGTCATATCACTAAATGGATTTATTTTTTATAAGGTTTCCATCATATACTATCTTTGTCATACCTCTTTATATTGATGAAATGTTAAATTATTAACCCCTAACGGGTCATTTTCTGGCTTTGATAATTCAAATTTGAAATGATTCCTACTATGTATACGACCCAACTCGTGTTGTAGCTCTGGATATTAATTAATCTGTCCACCAAGGCTACCTATTTGCGATTCAAATTAATGTTCCCTCACTGTTTTCGATAAGTTGATTTGATTTTAAGTAGGCAAGATATACTACAGTGTTGTCATACCAATTTATTTTTTCGTAATAGATAAAGTTTTACTTAAAGATATAATCCTAGTGTCGTGTTAAGATTTCAGTACAGCAGCGGTTACCTTTATCACTAAATTTATGACATTCCGAATTATATTTTTGGGTTCCAGATCAGTGGCATAATTGATGGCGGCGAAAGCATACTCTTGGTACACAGGCACATAAATTCAGTGCGCAAGGCACTATACAGAAATATCTATAAATCTGCTTATCGATTTAGCATCGTCAAATATGGATCGATTTTAAAGAGTTTTTCACCAATAGATGGAACTAATTGTACTCTTTCAGGCAATATAAAATATAGTACTCCAAACGTCGAGTTTATGACGACTATAGTCGCTCACTTAAGAGATTAAGATTTTACATGTCTGTAAATAATTGTTTTTTTATAATAGAATCCACAGCCTAGGTAGGGGCTCTGTTCTGCAGCTATTTTTTATCTCCAATTGTAAAGAATTTCATTCTTGATATCTTTGCAATAGCACAGTGCATAAACTCTCTTTGCAGAAGGTACATGTATCTACCAGGCTTGCAATGCCCTAGTAATAGGTATACTAGCTCTAGTTGTATTTTCCTATTCCCGTAGAAGCTTACTGAACCTCAGTGTGTTATTGCGTCTTGATTACCCAACTCTGTTAGCCCTTTTAACTAGTCCCATAGTTTTGAGTATACATGCATCTTTATTATTGTCAGCTATAAGGAGCTAGGTAGCGCCCTCTTGGGTCTATTGGTATTCCCCTGCTTTCCCCCTTTTAACAAGAATTGTGTAATCCCATAACATAAAGGTGTTTCAGTAAACACTGTCCCATTAGTAATTCTACAAGCCACAGTATCTCAGCAGCCATGGGTGAGTTTGGTCTCAGCACAAGCTTATTAATTCTATGTTCTCTTATTTGTTGCCAGTGAATTTGGTATTTAGTGGTTATCCACTGTTCGTTACCTGTTGAGCAGAGGTTTTGCTTATTCCAAATTCAAGTTGGGGTCCTATAAATGGTAGTTCTGATTCCTCTTTGGCGAGTTTATCAGCCTTTTCATTTCAATGGATACCTTTATGTTCTAGTACCCATGCCAGTTTTACCATAATATGTAATCATGGGTCTTGTTATTGCTGATTATAGCCATTTTCGGTTTGAATCCCCATGTTTTCCCTAATGCCCTTCTTTCTACAATAAGAGACATTTTGCATTTGTTGGCTACTTTTTATAAGATCAAAAGGTTTCCGTATTTCGGAAATCACCTAAAATTCGTATGATTTCGCTGAAATCCACCTTAATTTTACATGAATTCAGTAATTTCCCTTAGTTTTATACGATTTCGGTGATTCAAGCGAAATTATTATATAACATTTTCTCTAGATTTCTTTATTGTCTTTTGATTGCATTTATGGTTCTGAGCAACAAATTGATTTCAAAGTGATTTTGGTGATAATTACGACCATAATTTTCGGTGATGATTTCGGAAATTTTTGAGAGAATTTGTAGTGATTTCGAGTGAAAACGCATCTGTATTTTGATTTGTTCTATTTAGCCTTCCTAGGGTTGGACTCGTACATGCATGGAACTGAAACGTCTCTTGAATGGCATTAGTGTTTAATATTTCCTTTGTGCAGTGACGTATTGCTGCTACTTCTGCATAAAAAAGCATCACATATTTAATAGCTGCTTACTTAACTTTCAGTGCGATTCTTGTCTTTGGTTTGGCTTGTTAATATACATAACTATTGCTGCACGTTTGTTATTTTTATTGCCTTCTGTATGCCAGGCAATTTCTGCATGTAAAGAAGGTCCTATCTTTTTTGAATGGCTTTGAACGGTATATTTAAAACGTATTTCGTTTGAAGCTCCTTATAACTATTCTAGTCAGATCCATGAATAGTTCTTCTTGCAGTCCTTTAAAGCCCGCATCAACAAACTACCACAGATTTTTAATTAAAAACGTTCACTTTCGTAAAAAAAAGAAACGAACATTTCTCTATATTTCAATAAAAATAGTTTTCTTACTGTATTAAGTATCTGTAAGATCATTACTTTTAAGAAACGTTTAATTAGATATCCTCACTATCTCATTTACTAATTTTTTGCTTTGTATTCAGGTAAGTAATGCTTTCATTTGGCGTATTAAAAATACATAATTGGCGTTAAAATTGCAAACAGCGCTGCGCTGCGACTTATTGATTTTTTTTTCATAAAATGCTAATTCGTCTTTAATATTTACCAACTAGGGTTCTCCAAAGGATGGAAAGAGACCTTTATGAGCGGAGAACAAGAACCATGGGTATTCAGGGGAGGCCTGACTGCAGATTTACAGGTAAGTACATCGTAACAATTATTGTAATTTTTGTTTTATAAAAAAAAAAAACGTAAAATCAAATGAAACATTACATGAAAATGTGATTAAATGGTGGCAATGGGTATTTTTACTGTAATTTTTATCTGTATTAGTCTTTTAACATCGTAAGTACGAGCGACAGTCAAAACAGAAACGGATATATTCCAAAAAGTGGTGACATGGTGAATTTGTGGCGAAATTATAAAACCTTATTTTAATATTTTACTACTGAATTTACTTTAAATGAAAATAGTATTTTTAATATCTTGATGCACTGTGAAACAAAGTGTGAACATGTGTTTAAAAAATTATGTCTACCTAGCAGTGGGTAGTTATAGGAATTTTATTATCTTTAAATTGAATTATTAGTCGTTTTCTTTTAACAGACATACTTGACTAGCTAAAAGTTAAATTCTGATCTGAGCTTAGTTGTAAAAAGAACGCGAATTTTAGTTGACAGATGACGAGTTCCGTTTCATCCGTTTTAAAACAACAGTTTTATCAAATTTATCATTTCTTTAACATTCAGTACTACGGTCCTACCCTCTGTTATCATATAGTCCTGTTACTCTCTTAAATAATAAAATAATATGATATTTGCTGGTATGATGCACAGAACACTCACTTTATGTTATGATGTAAGGTTACGTCAAGATCTGTGTCACTTAGAATCGCTAAGGGGGAAGGAATATTCTGACTTACAATTACAAAAAGACAACTAAGCCCAGTCGATGTAAGTTAACTCAGAATAGTGGTTAAAATAAAGCGACTATTGTCTATATCAGCCATACTCAACCTGTGGCCCGCGGGCCGCATACTGCCCTCCAAGCTTTTCTTTATGGCCCGAAACACTATTATTAAGAAAGTGCTTTTTACAACTATTGGTTTTTGCTTTTAAAATCTTGAGTTAAACGCGAGAAAATATTTATCGGTCGCTGCGCTAAATATCACTGTAAAAACAAGATAGCTCTACTTTCGGCATTTTCGAGTTAAGTACACTTTTGTCGACAAAATAGTTCAAATAATATACGGCATAAACAAGACAAGTGTGAACGAAGTCTATATTCATGATAAACAGATGGCCAATAAAAACTAACTCCATATTAATACATTTGAACAAACAAGATGAGTGACATTTATACTGAAATATAGTCATAATATTGTGTTCATTGCTAATAGAGTGTCTACCAAAACCAGGTAAGAGACATATAACTTATTTTTGCTAAATGTATTTAGTCCGTTTCCTAATATTGCTTCTACCAAAACAAGATAAGGGCCAGAACACTTATTTTTGTTTAATGTATTTGTTGAAATACTTCAACAAATTGCCCCAAGCCATTTGTTTTGCCCAGAGCCGTCTCTGGCCATTCTCGATTGGTCCGAAATCAACAAGGTGATTACGTCACCCTTTCTTTCCACGATAAATCTAACCTAAAAATCAATAGATGGATAACACGTGATGCCCGAATCGCCGTAAAGCTGTAAAGAGCGGGGATGCTGACACTCATCTCCATAGTATTTGCACGTTAAAACGACCAAAAGTACTTCTTAAATCACCGATACAACAGCTTTTCGCATTGCTTGAAAAACTTAAGCCATACCGGTAGAGGGATGCCTGAAAGGATGAAAAAATATTTACAAAAAGTGCAAGATATAAGTAATGCCAAGAAGAAAGGTTTACTAAAACTTTGCAAATTAGGTACTACATCTGATGAAGTTCACCATTAATATCACAATCTACCTGTATCCAATAATTGTAAGACACAGCTCTTGAACCTTCCACAGAAACTAGTGAAACAGACACACATACTTTGATTTTCTCTTACTATACGCGCAGCAGAAGATAGAAAACTCCGCCATTTTGATGCCTTATTACGTGTTGCCTACATCTTGGCGCAATATTTTTAATAGGTGCGTTTTAATCATCCGCTTCTGCTTCGGAATTGTTGGTTTTCTTGTTTTAATCTGACAGGTTAAAACGACTAAATCGACAATTCCGGAAGCAGAAGTGGATGATTAAAACGCACCCGATATTTTGCTTGCTGCTGTCAGTGTCAGTAAATATTATTTTTGGAGTCACAGTTTATTGATAAAGAATCAGTTAGCTCACTCGGACCAGTTGAAAGTTCCAAAATAACATCCACTCCAGGGATACAAATTCAGGATGCGCAGAAGACTGCTGTTTTAGTATAGGCGGTTATCATATATTGTATTATCCGAGTTGCGCAGTGTATAAACTGGAACATTGAGATCAAAAGTGCCGACGCAGAGTGAGCAAACTGATTATTTAGCTATAAACTGTGGTAAAGGCATCAAAATGGCCGCGCCCTATGTTGAGCGTGTCGGACCTCTCTCTTGCACCGTATAGTAATCAAAGTATGTGCACAGACATCGAATAATAGCTTCGTTTACGGTAACCTTCCTGAACTGATTCAGAATTACTAATTCATATTTTGAGTGTATGTCCAATTCATTATCAATTCTGAATTTTTACAGCGCGCGCAATCCCTATTATATCTTGGTGTTCCAGGTATATCACAAGCGGTTCAAAACCAATAATAATTTTACCGCGAACGCAGGATAGAACCAATAATTCAGTACTATTTGTTCCGCGAACAACTACTGCGCCTGCGAAATCGTTACTATTAGTAATAATTCGCTTCAGGATTCTTACCGCGAACTATTATGACCTGCACAGTGCACATGAATTCTTGTGTGCGTCCTCGACACGATACGTATCGGAGAGAGAGAAACGTTACATAAGAATTGCAGTCTGTCGAACGAAGATAGGCGTCTCTATACGTGCCGTATCAAAAGATGAGAATCCAACTGCTGTATATAGATAGCTAAAATAAGCTAAGTGGCGTTTTTTCTCTTTTTTTTTTTTTGTTACCAATCGATAGATTCTTAGTTTATACTTTGTAAAGACAAATTATGTACTGAATACATTTTTTTTTTTCATTGGAATTATTGTTTATTAACCATTTTAAAGCTTTTTTATTTAATTTTACACTTTTATGCATTTTCTCGGAATTCTAAAAATGTGAGTTATATTGTTTTTGAAGTAACCCGACATGATATATTTATGTTTTGTGATTTATTTATAAGAGGTTCCCACTAACTAATTTTAAATGGATGGCCTAAATAAGGGGTGATCAACCAAAAATATTGTGGCCCATATAACATAGGTAGCAAACATACGTATTTGGCTCGAAGGAAAAAAGGTTGAGTATGACTGGTCTATATAATCAGAAGTAGCTTTTCCTTGGCCACAAAATTCTGATTAAAAGATAAACTTTTTTAACTATTTTTTAACTGAATTAATTTTTCGTGAATTAAATCCTTGAGGCAGAATAAATGAAATTAACCCGAATTCATTTTAAAAAGACCAATAACTGTATCTAAATTATTAATAATTATATACGTCTCTAAATAGTATAAAACAAAGTATCCACTTCTAAACCACGCAATAGATTCTGATACGGTTACAACTGATAGAAACATCTATAAACGAGAAAGGTTTATGTATATATTGTAAATATTTTGTATACAAAATGGCTGAACTATAGTGTTTTGTCAAAAAAACTGTTTCCATACGCTTACATGGTCAAATCTTAAGAGATACATCAAAACAATGTAATAGAAAAATGTAGGTCTTAAAAAGGCTTACAGAAAAGTCCATGATAGCATCTACCTGTCTCCTAAGGTACACTTAACAATAACTATTTTTATCTATTACAGATTAGCGAAAAAATATGATTATCCAACACATGACTTTCCTGTCTAGTTATAATAAGGTTTTACCTGTTATTTTGTACAACCTATTGTATCACCTCTGTAAATGTTTAGAGGATGAACTAAATGCATTTTCCACAAACATTTTACTTGAAACATTTTTCTATATATATTCATAGCCAACGAAAATACTGAAAAATTAAAATTTTACACTTTTCCTCCCATTTTTCCATGATGGTCCATTTTAGAGAAATCATGAATATAACAAAAATTATAGAGAATGACATCACAAACAACTTTTATTTGAACAATTTTCTTAAATATTCGAATTTTACATATTTTTTAAAATTTCTCGAATAAGGACCATTTTAAGAGAATTATGTATCGAATAAAAATTATGGAAAATAACTTTTAATTTGAAGAATTTTCTTCTCCAAGCGTGAATAACAGATATATTCTATAAGATAGAAAACGACTTTTTATAAAATACATCCTCCCTCCTTCCAGATGTTTCGATTATTCCCAAAATTTAATTAGTTAACCGTTAACAGCAGAATGGATTATAGCTTAAATTTAAAATTTGGTGTTTTTTTTATTCTTATTTTCGAAATATACACTTTTTCTCAAATATCTCGAATACGGTCCATTTTAGAGAAATTATGTATGGAACAAAATTATAGAGAATGACATCACAAACAACTTTTATTTGAACAATTTTCTTAAATATTCGAATTTTACATATTTTTTAAAATTTCTCGAATAAGGACCATTTTAAGAGAATTATGTATCGAATAAAAATTATGGAAAATAACTTTTAATTTGAAGAATTTTCTTCTCCAAGCGTGAATAACAGATATATTCTATAAAATAGAAAACGACTTTTTATAAAATACATCCTCCCTCCTTCCAGATGTTTCGATTATTCCCAAAATTTAATTAGTTAACCGTTAACAGCAGAATGGATTATAGCTTAAATTTAAAATTTGGTGTTTTTTTTATTCTTATTTTCGAAATATGCATTTTTTCTCAAATATCTTGAATACGGTCCATTTTAGAGAAATTATGTATGGAACAAAATTATAGAGAATTACTTCTCAAACAAGTTTTATTTGAACAATTTTCTTAAAAATTCGAATTTTGCACTTTTTGTCAAATTTCTCGAATACAGACCAGTTTAGGAAAATTATGTATAGCACAAAAATTATAGATAATTATATTGCAAGCAACTTTTATTTGAAGAATTTTCTTCTCCAATTTTAAATACCATATATATTCCATAAAGTACCTCCAGATATTCCGACTATGCCCATCATCTAATAAGTTCACCGCAAGATGGATTAAAGCTTAAGATTAAAATTTACTGTTTATCTCTTTATCAGTTCATGAGTATTGGTACTTGAAAATAACTTTTAGTCATTTCTCTTGATTTTTATTTTGATTTTTTTTTATCAAAATTCTACATAGCCTAATTTCTGATATATAGAGGCTATTTGGACACCCGGTACCGTGGAAACCTTTCATTTATATCTATTTTAAGTTATAAGCCTTGAAAAAGGGTTAAAAAAAAACTTGGTCATCTGTTAGTATCTTTTGATTTGAAAATCAAAACTTTAATTTTGTTTTTTTACATGGAAGTTAGTTTTAGTCTTTTTGTAATAAACTCAGAAACCGAGAAGGGAAATTTCCAAAGGAATTTTCTGCTTGGATAAAAAACTTAAAAAAATTGTATAATTGATTCTAAAACTTTTTAAAATTTTGAACATACCGGATTTTAAAATGTATGTTTTATAATATTAATACAATAAATATTTTTATTTTAGCGACTTGTTCCCGTTGATTCTGGTAATGACCTCTTCATGTATAAAGTTCCCGATGTCCCTACCAGCAAAGTGTTCACCATTCGACCTTATCTTCCAACAGACGAGCAAGTAGTTTATGATGTTTGCATTCGTACTTGCAAAGATGGACTTGAAGATCCCATACCCTATCCTGAAAATCTCAAGGTAATACTAATTGGAATAACATGACAAGCCACAACACGCGTCTTCCAAGGTTAAAATAAACTTCTAAAACTACTAAACCTTTGTTAAAAATGCAATGACTTGATTTATTGGTCATTGATAGTATTTTTCGAGAATTTATGTTTGGTTTATAGCTTTTGTAACCTTATTTTTGATTATTGTAAAGTAAAAATGCCTTTATTTTAAAAGGTGTGGTTTATGTTTTTACAATAAGCCCTTCAATTTAATTTATATATTACAATGATTAATGAGTTATGCTAGTAATTATTATTATTACGCATACAAAGCACAATATTGTATTGTACAAAACAATCAGATGTATCTTTATTAATTTTTATTTAATTCTAGGATCTTCATGCGGATCGACTCATAGGACCTTACATTACTCTCAATCCTGAATTCTGTTTCGTTGTTGAAGATGATTCAGGCATCGTCGGATATGCCTTTGCAGCACCGGACTACAAAAAGTTTAGGGTAAAACAAGAATTAGCTTGGATACCTGATATGTGTGAAAAATATCCTGCAGATTGTGCCAAGGAACTTCATAAGTTTGTTCAAGTAAGTTAAGGTTTCCTTTATAACACTAATTCTACATTAATCCTTTGTGAGTGTACTATTTTTTAGTTTTGATTTTGTTTCAGGAATCTGTTTTGCATTTCCATAATTTCAAAGATGATATGTACATTAGCAGTCCTTCTCATCCTTCTAGTATGGTTTGTAGCTTACTGCCTTCTGTTTTGGATCAGTCAGTTAGTAAACGACTTGTTACATGTTTATTGGCATCGTTAAGAGCAAATGGTAAGTAATTTCTTGGTAAACAATATATTAAAAAAAAAATTGTATCACATTTATAAACTTTTTTCTACGATTGCTATACAAAGTTCTATTTTTTCACAGCTTCTGTGAGAAATCATTTATTACAACTTGTCTCTAAAATATGCTTCAAAATATCTTCCTAGATATTACATATATCGTCGGCTTACTGCCAAAACAAGATAAGTGCATTTTTAACAATTTTTGCGTTAAGTGTATTCTCGTACCCAAGATGGTTATACAAATTACTGCAAAAAACAGAAAAGTGTTGGACAATGGAAAACTAATGAAAAATGTAGGCTTGTTTTGTCAATAATTCATTTTGCCCAAAACTGTACAGTCAAAACAAGTTAGGTGCACATTTAACGAAAAGTAAGAGAATTTCATATGCAAAAAGGGAATTAATTCTTCTGGAAAACCGGTTAGGTGCCATTTAACTTATTTTGGCTGTTGAAGTTGAGAAGATTATTAGAATGCCTATGCTTATAAAACAAATTATATGCGTATAAAACAATGGGACATGTTCAAAAATTTTGAATTTTTTTTATGAATAATAGAGATGAAAATAAAGCTAGAAAGTTTACGAGAAGTGATGTACGTTCGTTTGTGTACTCCTTCTTACTTTTAGACTTCTAAAACATCGTTAAACAAATATCTTTTAAATATATAATATCAAATGTTTTTTGAAAGTATTATTTATGTTTAAACTTTTACCATATTTAAAGTGTCATTGTTTTAAAAGTCACTTAATAATTCAGAAAATGGCTAAATGGTAGCACTGTGTATGGCATCTGTCATCATAGTGTCTCGATCAAGAATTTATTTGGAATTTGAGTGTTTAATTTTGTACTTTTTATAAATATTATGACTACGAAAAAGTGTTTTGTTCCAATGTAATGATTCACATTCATCTTCAAAAATATTTATTAGTGTTCCTAGAAATTTGGAAAGAAGAAAATCAACCTTCTATTAGCGATGTTTCTCGTGAACTTTTTAATAAAAATACACCGGATTATCAAGATGTAGCAGCAATTTCTGCTAATTGTCCCCTTCAGGAAATTGAAAATGAGGCTACTATAAATTCTTAGGTGTATAACCTAAAAACCCTTCTGGAAGAAAATGCAGAATCTCCTGAAAGTTTTGAAGATACCGATTTTATTCACAAGAACTAGTGATAAAGAAATAATAGAAAAATGTGTGTATTTAAACAAACTGGTTCCTGGATCCCATATAATGGCAGATAGGGGTTTTAGAATATTTAGCTACTTGAAAACATGGGATGCACTTTAGTAAAGCCACACCTAGTGTATCACAGAATGAAAAAAGTTCTCCAGAAGATGTACAATTAAGTAAAAGAATAGCATCTCTAAGAATATATGTGGAAAGAGTTATAAGAAGGGTTAGTTAATTTAACATGTTAAAACCACATTCCTGGGTGAATTTTAAGCAAGTACATTTACTTAGTAATATCTGCATAATTGCTTGTTAACTTACAAGAACCTATTTTGTAAGAGTAAATATTAATTTAATAAACTTTTTTCATTTGTTTTTTAATTTAATTTACCTAATTATCACATTTCAGGGATTATAATGAGTTTTTAAACAGCCAATGTAATTTTTTATAAAATTTTAACTTTTCGAGCAAATCAAAGAGGAATGAGTACCTATATATGCATAGATTTTTTGGGACTAAAACTACCAAACCAAAGGCACCTATTTACAGCAGTTTAAAATGAAACATTTTAACAAAAACGCCTATGTCACTGTGATAAATATTAAAAACAACCAAGTTCAGCTGAATGTGGTAGCAAAGTCTATATATTCCAATAAATCGGGTAACTACATGTGGTATCACTGGTGATAAATTTAAAAATATCAATTCTTGCCACCTTTTTCAAATAACCAGAAAGTGTGCCTTCTTATCAATCCTTTACGAAAATGACAACAGTGATAAATTGAAAAAAAAAAAAATTAATATTGCTATTCGTTATTACGATAGTAAAACATGTTTGCAGTTCCGTTTATTTTTTATGAAAATCTAAGTAAAAACAACCAATGTCAAAGGGTTATAATTTTTTTCTGTCAAACCAAATATATCACAAAATTAAAAATTGATCGTAGGTCAAGCTAAAGTAATACCTTTATTGATAGTAGCTTTAAAAAAGGAGAAAGAATAATATTGACTTAAGTTATTATTATTATTATTATTAACATTGGTGATTTTTAATAAAAACTCTTCAATTATTGTTTACAAACAAAAATATAAAAATCTGTGAAAATTTTATTTATTAACCTTTTAATAAAAAATGAGAAAAATTAAGTAAAAACAATTTATTTACAAATAAAAAATATATATACAAATCCTAAGAATATAAAAGTAATGATTTATTTTCCTGTAGTGGATGAAGAGGTTTCTTTAACAATCTAGCCAAGTGTACATCAATATTTACGCATTTTGATAAATCAGAGCCTTTCCAATAACACTGAGTAGATGTTACAGATGGTTCCTCACTTCTTCTATGAAGCCACATGTTTACAACCACCTGAAAAAAATAAAAGGGTTAGATATGCAGTTTCAAAATAACTATATAACCAGCTACAAAATGCCTTATTTTATGTAACAAGACGAGCAGAGCTTTGGTGCTTTGCTGACTTCGTTCGAAGCTATCAGAGCATTTTAAGTTTTGCACAAAACGAGGAGCATAAAATTTTTGAAAAGGGTATAAAAATATCATAATTATTACTAGGTTCACTAACAAAATCTATTTCTAGATTATTTTAACACTTGCTGCGATTACAAAAAATGTCTCTTTATATGTCAAAATTAGAAAAAAAAAATTTATAGGAATAAAGGGCCTTATACACTGTTTATTATATGTGATATAAAAACAAAAAAGCATAATAAATATTACAAACCTTGAGATGCAGCATATCCTAAGCATTGTGCACTAAAAATTTCATTTTTGTTAATTGCAACAACCACATCATAAGGTTTTTGCGGTACTTTATGTTTAGGTGTAATTTGTCTCCTTCTCTCTTATGGAAAAAGTAATTATCTCCATATTCTTGCTTGGCAGATCTAAAAATAAAACCTGAGATAAATATGTTTTACTATAAGGTGTATTGCTCCATATAAACTGTAACTACCTACTATTATAACAAATTACAAATAAAGTCTTACCTTTCTGACTTTTGTAAACTGAGTATTGTTAAAAAATGCAGTAATCATCTCGGTAATCATATTTTCGTTTACAATGGGTAAAACACTTGATTCAACTTTTATAAATCCAGCTGATAAATTCATAATATTAATAAAATTAAACCAAAACAAAAAACTAAGGTTAGGTGTTAGGTGGTGTCAATTTTAATGTCACTTAGATGTGCGTTCACTTCGACATTCTGTGTGTCGGTTTGTTCGTTGGCTTGGTTTTGTATAACAAAAAAAACTTCGACACAAGATGATTGGTCTATTCCCGATGACGTATAATTTCAAATTTTAAATTTCAATTGGGCTTAATTTAAAAACTTTTGGCTTTTTTAACGATCTGACTATTTAGAATAACTTGTATAGCGACTAACTATTACAATATAATTTATAAAACAGCATATCTCACATGTGAACATGGCCCATTATCTCATTTTTGCAGTTTATTTTATCTTATGCCAAATAAGTCTCACATCTTTTTTTTTTCCCTGAATTCTTAATTTCAGCCAAAATAGGTTAAGTACAGAAAAAATTGTTCTACTAGTTATACATTTGCTAATTATTATTTTTTTAATTTTTGGTAATAATTATGTTTATAGTACCACAATCTATGTTATTTTACAACTTAATAAATGTTTTCTTTCATGAAGTTGTTTTAGTGTAGGTTAAAACTTTTAAACTTAATTTACTCAAAACTAACAAAATGTAACTTATCTTGTTTTGGCAGTAAGCTGAAGATATATTGAATTAACATAATTACCTCTTACTTATGGTTTAAACTACTATTTCTTTATGTTCCAGGATCTTTTGGTGTTCATGTTATAATGAACACATCGGATAGTTATACTCACGCTTTTTATGGGAAGTTGGGATTTATCGAAAACACACAAGAAGTAATCAAAGGAAAAATTGTGATGGGTAGAACGTTTTGAGAAGTATTTTCTTCGAGATGTTCCTGGACTGATTTGACAGTGAGAGCTGGTCTTTCTTCACAATTGTTATTTTATTTATATAAAACTATTCTATTTGTAAAAAATAATGAAATTTGTTTTGTGATTTTTAGTATTATATACTCCCAAGTTATATATTTTGGTAACAATTTATTTCATCAAATTTTTTTTATTGTACTATAATTTATGATTAAGAAATAAAAAAAGACTCATTTCATTTCATTTTTTTTACAGCGTTGTATCGTTTAAAGATTTTAAACTCATCAGTTTCTTCTGAATATCCATCATCTGAAAAAAAAAAAACTTTATTATTGTATTTTTGTAATAATCTCAATACATTTTAATTTAGGACATTAGTGTGTAAATTGTATCTAATTAACATTTCTTTTTTGACAAAAAATATAATAAATGAACGCCTATGAATTTGTTTTGCCTTTGATAGGATAATAACAATGGCGTGGCGCAGTTGATAATGTTGCTGGCCTATTTATTTATTTATTTATTTAACGGATAAACCAATTTATAATAATAATATTCTTAACATTCATAATTAAATATAGAGCTACATAAATGTACTAAAAAGCTATGAAAAACAATATAAGATTAAAAAAAAAACAGTTGTGCAAGGTAAAAAAAATTACATTTCATGTACTTCAGTTCAGTAGTTTTGGAGATTTATTGATTTAAAGCTTAACGTAGACTTTAATTGTACATCAGATTAGTTTGTACTACTTTCAGAAGAAATTTGAGTAAAAGCATTTGAAGGGTACAGGCAAAGAAAGCGATATGTCAATTTTTATCGAAATTGAGGTAATCATGCCATCTATGAGATTGAGCTGTAAACATTTCCCCTGGAAAGTGCCATACAGGGAAAAAATGCGGTATGTCACGGCGGAACCACGTAAAAAGGTGTCGTTGGTTAAAACAAGGTTAAAATTTTTCAGTTGGTGCATGCATGGTCAATTAATCAGTGTTTATTGCGCCTGTGTTTGTGCCGTTTTGTTTAAAATAGCTGCTTTTTGTTGTTTAAGTTTACGTTTGTAAGGTAGAAAGAATATGTCTAAACTAAACAACTCTAGTAAAAAACGAAAGAAATGCGGTAAAATGAGTGATGTAAATAAACTGATAAACCTCAGAAGTCATTCCCTAGGAGAAGACTGTAAGTGCAAAATGTTTTGTACATGTACCGGAGTCGTCTCGAAGAAAAATAATTCAAAATTTCAATTTGCTTGGTTCAGTCAACGAACAAAATATTTATTTGTGTGGTCTTATTTCGGTTTTGCCTGTTAAACAACGCAGGCCTAGACAGCATGAGGAGCACGCTGTCCTCCATTATGCTACTTTTAGCTATCGCGTAAGGTTTCAAAGTGCAGAAGAAAAGACCGAAGAGGTGCAAGTATGTCAAAAGGCATTTATGGCCATCCATGGAATTGGCCGAAAGAAGTTGGAAGTGTTACAGCGATCTTTAAAAAGTAAGGGCGAGGCACCAAAAGATCAAAGAGGTAGTAAGCACAAAAACCGTAAACACATACTATCTGATGAAACTCGAAATGTAATCAGAAGTCATATTAAGTCATTTAAAGGTCGCAAAAGCCATTACAGCTTACATGATTCGAATAAAGCATATTTACCGGAAGAACTTAATATAAAAAAATGTACACATTGTTTTGTCAGAAGTTCCCAAATCACCCTATGTCCTATGAAACTTATAGAACTATTTTTTCAAAGGATTTTAATATAGCCTTTGGCTATCCAAGATCTGACACATGTAGTCAGTGTGATGAATATCAAGCAAAAATGAAAAGTTTGGAGACTCAAAAGCTGAATTTATCGCAAACAGACACGATGGAGTATCGTCAAATAGACAGAGACATACAGCGAATATCCAACGAAAATAAGGTGCATAAAATGAAGGCTGAACAATTTTATAAAAGAAAAAGAGAAGCTAAAAGAGAAAGCCAACAATCTGAAGACATGGAGGCGATTTGCTTGGATTTCGCCAAAAATCTGCCTGCCCCGAATATAACAACCAACGACGTGTATTATAAAAGGCAGCTGTCAACGTTTTCTTTTAACATTCATGTTCTTTCTACATCACAAAGTATTTTCTATGTGTATCCCGAAACTGTGGGGAAAAAAGGCAGTGATAATGTGTGCTCTTTATTGCACCACTTCTTATATAATTACCTCGACATGAAAGTACGTAAGCTTGAAATATTTTGCGACTCCTGCGGAGGACAAAATAAAAATTATACGATGATGCGTTTTTTACACTATGTAGTTCATGCGGAGAAAAGGCTAGACAGTGTAAAAATTACATTTCCGATACGGGGGCACACATACTTAGAGTGCGACAAGTTTGATTAACCAAAAAAGTAGAGTCGAAGTTCCAGAAGAGTGGTATGAAGTGTTCAAAATGGCAAGGAACAAACCATTTCCTTTTGATGTTGAAAAAGTTACACAATCGTACTTACAAAGTTGGACTTCCTTTTTATTAAAACGCTACCGACGTATATGCCCTTTTCCTTCTAGACCGCTCAGGGAACTAAAAATAGTCCAGGAACACCCCAGGTTGATTTTACATCGGGATAGCTACAATGGTAGTTGGCAAACCAGTGTCGTCATCGACGCCAAATTTAAGATCGTGGGAAAAAAGAAACTAAAAGAGGGAGAATTTCAACTTCCAGATTTCTTATGCAAAGGTAAAAAACGTTCCTCTTTTTATAGTAAGTGATTAAATAAAATATTTTATGATTTTTATAGATCTTCTGCCTGTAAGTGCACTGAAATGGAAGGACCTTCAGGACCTTAAAAAGTTTTGTCATTCCTCTGCTCAAGACTACTTCAATTCATTACCACACGAGTAAAATGATAATATTGCAGGTAAAACAAACTCATTCTCTCAAGTCTGTTTAATCTTATTTGAGATACATTTTTAGATATCCTGCAATCTTGCCCATAATTGCTGAAATGAGGACAGACCTTTGATTTTTAGTACTGTAGACTCATAAAGCCATTTTATTATAAAATTACTGTTTTTTTTTTTAATAAATATTTCATGACAAAACACCTTTCCCTGTTTGATTGTGACTTTTTTGGAAAAATTGCGTATTTTTCTACTAAAAAAATTGTTAAAAAAAATTAACTTTAAGTGGTATTTATAGCACAGTACCTTAATATTAATGGTATGTAAAAATTTGTCCGATTTTATTTTTATAAATAACTTTTTAGAGCACTTAAAACCTTTAAAAGCGTTTTTCTCAAAACTAACTTTTTTGACATATCGCCTTCTTTGCCTGTACCTTTCATTTACTTAATAAGTAAATGCTTTTCTTCACTACGCCCATGGTTTGTTTATCATTTTGGTGTTGAAAATCGCGATTAGAGCTTTTTTTGTGGCAAAAAAGTTGTTTCTTGAAGAAAGATAAGAAGGGAATGCCTGGTATACTTATTTTAAATAGGAATTTAGTACATAGTTTGCTATTGATTCGACCAAACTTTGTTGTTAAAATATCTTTTAAAACTTTATACATAAATTAACCATATGGTATATGCCACGGCAGAAAGGGTTGAAATTATCGAAATATTTTTCGGAAATAATCAGCACAAATATTTAATGAGCGACATGAGAACAGTAACACGTGTATCGAAAATATGTTCTAGAACTTGTAGCTAAATTTCGGGAAACTGAATCAGCCGCCAATAAAAAACGCAACATTGAAAATCCATAAGGAAAGAAGCAATAGAAGTGGGGGTTTTAGGGCAAGTTTATGAAAATTCTACGTTAAGTACCCGCAAATTGCATACTGTATGTGGTGTTAGTCGACATAGTATCTGACGGATTCTAAAGGCCCATAGTTTTTATTTGTATAAAATTCACCTCGTACATGAAGACGATTTTGATCGGCGATTACAATTTTGTGAAGATGTTAAGAGTGAGATTATAGGCCCTTTTGACTGACCCTAAAGTCCACTCTTAGCGGTAACCACGGGTTATATAGAGGGGCTCAATTTGTATTTAAATTGGCCTCTAGATAATACCCGGCTAGGAGGTTAAGTTACAAAAAAACTAACCGCGATTTCGCGTGACCGACCCGTGATTCTACTTTCCGACACAAAACAACAAAAAAAAGGAACTCACTTAGTACCAATGATTACGACCGCTCATCAACAAAAACCAAAAGGACCTCCCGAAAATTAATTTGTATTTTTTCAAGAATGCTCTTGTCGATCTTTTTTGACCCTGTACTTTAATATTATGATTTAATAAAACCTTGTCCAACTACACGTTTTATTATTTTATTGAAAATATATTTAGCGTGCATGCCCTTAGACAAAACTTTCACAGGGTGTTATATTTATTAGTAACAATATGAGTGAACGAATTATAAACGATGAACAATTTAGAAATTGGAATAGATTCAACACAACACAAGCTTTTCCGACGAATATGCCTTTTTCTTAAATGGCGTAGTAAATCATAACTGCCGATATTGGTCCGATTCTAATCCCATTATTTATCATGAGGTACACACACAGTAGCCACAAAAATTAAATGTTTGGGCTGGTATTTTTGGCAATCATTTAGTTGGTCCTTTTTTCTTACCTGGAAATTTGACCTGTGAAATGTATTTGGAATTACTGCAAGATGCCATAGATCCTGCACTAATAGCCATAATTGAAAATCAGACTGATCGGCGGTACATTGCGAATAGGTTGATGTTCCGAAAGATGGTGCACCACCACATTACGCATTACGTGTCCGACAATATTTAGATCAGACGTCTCCAGGTCGATGAATTGGTAGAAGAGGTGCCATTGAATGGCCCCAAAGATCGCTAGATTTATCACCTTTGGATTTCTTTCTGTGGGGTCACTTAAAAAGCAAACTCTATGCTACTCAGCCAACATCGTTAGAAGATTTGCGACAAAGAATTGTGAATGAGTACCTTTAAATTACTCCTCAAATATTGCAAAATGTGCGGCAACGTTTTCAGCAAAATCTTTATTACTGCATGGAGAGTCAAGGTGGTCATTTCCAACATTTATTTGGCTGACGGGTCAGTTCATACTTTATTTTTAAACCTTTGCTGCTAAATGTATTGGTCTCCACTAATGATGATGTATTAAAGTCTACTTTAAGCTTTAAATCAATAAATCTCCAAAACTACTGAGAAGTACATGAATTTTACATCATTATAAAGGGAATTGAAAGACCTTTCAAATGATGAATCATTCGACCCCCCTTTCCATTTTAGATTTTAGGGATGGTGCCACCTCCGTCCAAGGGGCTTCACGTGTTAACGTGATTTTTTGCCAATTTTATCTTCCCCTCGAAAACAAAAAAAGACGTGTCTAAGTGTTTTTCGCAAAAAAGAACTGAGCTGCCAGTAAATGTCTCTGTTTCGTTTTCGATGCGCCACCCTGTATACAGTGTCATCATCGTAGATTAAAAAAACATTTTCTTCCTACAAACTTTGCCTCCCCAAATTTAAAATATCAAGATCAACCGATTTAGGCTTTACATTGTCTATCATTTAGTCAAGTCAGTCACAATATAGTTATAAGAAAAAATATCCGATAGATTATTCAAACAAATACCTACAGTCTGTTCACTATACTTACGTGGGTTTCGGATTAAAAATTTTATGAGTATTTCCAGGTAAGTGCCCGAAAGTTTGACCTGTTCTTTGGGGAAATATCAACTGGTTAAATGAAATGAAAAATAATGTACAACTTTTTAATTAAATAATAATGAAGAATCTTTTGTATAATTGAGAGCAGATTTAAACTTCTTCATTAATGGAGTCTAATGTGGCTATTATAAACCTAATAATAATTTTATATTACACTTCACACAGAAAATATGGTCTATGTATAATAAGAGGGTTATTTAGCTCAAATAAAATATTTTCTAACATAAAAATTTGTTCCATGTAGAGAATTTCAAATGAAAAATAAAAAAATTGAACTTGCCAACAAAGATGAAAATCAGTCACTATCATCCAAAATATCATAATCGTCATCATCATCACTGTCATCACCATTAATTATTATTATGATTGGACTTATTTCGTTTATTTTATTTTCACGAGTCCACCAATCTTCTATTAGTTTCTCGCACTTGGATATACAGTTTCCCGAACTGCGTCGTCACTATAACCATTAGGCCCAATATGGTTGTCATAATATTGTTTTGCTATTTCCCATATATATTCGATGGGATTAAACTGGCAATGATACGGTGGCAGACGTAAAACTTGATGACCGTAACCTTCAATAATCTGATCCACAACAAAGGTTTTTGGTTTTGCGTCTATAATTGCCAAGCGTAATAATTCTGATTTTAATATATATTGAGGAAATGGTATATGTTCCTTTGATTCTTTAATTTTATCAACAGTCCAAGAATTCGTTGGACTTTTGTTTAATACTTCAGAATGGTAAGGTGCATTGTCTAAAATAATTACGCTGGGCTCACTTAAACCTGGGAGAAGTTTTTCATGCAACCATTTTACAAACATTTCTGTGTTCATATTATCGTGATAGTCACTGGATTTTGATTTAGATGAAAATATTAAATCAGCACCTTCTATAAAACCCGATTTCCCTCCTGCATGTAAAATTATGTGGTGTCGCTTCCCTTCTCCATCGGTATGTTTGGTGGACTTTACGTTATCATCTTGCCATATTCTCTTGGTTGCACCCCTACAAAATATCCATGTTTCGTCTAAATATATAAAATTCGCCCCTTCTTCTTTAAATTTAGAATATTTTCTTAGAAAGTTAATTCTCTTGTGCACGACAGAACTTCTTTCACAAAGGGCCTTTCTGTTATCCTTATTTTGAAATTTGAAACCCAAGTTATGTATCACTTACCATAGACTTGTTCTGCCAATGTCGTCAAATTTTCTATCTATTCCGAGAGAATTGCATTTAAGGTCACATGTTCCTTGTTGGTCCTCATTCGATAAATGGTATCACGAATTTCAAATTTCGTTCCATCTGGAATATCTTTCGTTTTCAATGATGGGCGAGTTTTGCGGTGATCTTCTTTCGGCAGTTCACTATTGTGATTTTGTAATACTCCTCTTAATTTGGTTTCACTAATTCCTAAAGCATCGCATACGCGTTGTTGTACGGACATTACCGATTTTAAAGGACCGCTATTTTCTTTTTCAACCGTAAAATACTTATGTACACTACAAATTAGACTATCTACATCTAACACACGTCTAGGCATTTTTAAAATGTCCACTAAATTTACAATATACATACAATGTCAACACTTGCAAAGAATCAATTCAACTGCAATATTTGTAACAAATTTAGTACCTACCCTAATGATATTTTAATTTAAATCTGACCGTTAGGGCAATTTTACCTAATTTCTTGGGAAGAGGCTTATTGGAATTGGTTGTCAATGACTAATTTGCATAATTTTATTAATCCGAAACCCGCGTAAGTATAGCGAACAGACTGTATACATTTTTTACAATAAATTGTAGTTGTGCTTTTTTATAATATTTATAAAAACATCTTACGGTTCTTATTTGTTTTTCGGCATGTTCCATTTCGGCAAAGTTGTTAGTTTGTTCGCATTGAATGTCCATTTCCTTCAGCTGCTCCATAATATGCTTAATCATAGTTTGGAGTTCGACGGGTGTAGTCAAAGAAGAATCACCTGGTCTAGTAAAACCTTTTTCTTTGAAGTCATTGAGAGTTTGAGCAAGCTCTTCTCGTGTCAGCATTCTGTTATATTGTGGATCTGTATCGTAAGGTGCTTTTGCTAAATCACCGTGCCACTCTTTGGGAAGTTCATTCTTTCGTTTTAATCTCCAGTTGCCGATAGCTCTAAGGTTTCTAAAAATAAAACCGATTTTTTTTTTCTTGCATACAATTTTTAGATAAAATTTAACCATGTAGGTAAATAATGTATCTATGCGAAACTCCTTTATCCGTGATGAGAAAATTATATGGAGAGAATATCTGAGATGAACAAGTGAACACAATCACCGAAATAAATTTAAGATTTAAGTACAAACATAACGCTCAGAACCTTTAAAAAAATAGAACATTAATTTTATTCAAACAACCATCTGATTAGGATTTTAATTATGGTTTCTATAGTATTAGAGTCCCTCAGATGACTGCAAAAAGTGGTACGTCGTCTCCTTTGCGACCTATCGAAAAGCCGGGGTGAACAAAATGCTGAATGGGAAAAAAATACTGAATAAAAAATGCAACGGCATTAGTCTTATTTGAGAAACATACAAAAATGTAAAGAGCAATTACACCACTTTTCGACCTTTGGTTTTGATTTTACACCTATTTCAAAAAACAAGATCACCGGTTGAGAACCACTGGACTAAAGAGTAATTTTAGTCAGGTGGCAAAAGAAACTTTTTTTAGTAATTAAATTATTTTAAACTCTTAAACGGCTCCAGATAGAAACGAGCAGCATTTAAATTAATCAGTTTTGTTCTACATTTCTTAAAAGATACAGGGTGATTCCAGAATTATTAACGGAGGAAATTGAAAACAAGTTTTAAGGGTTGTAGGTAAAAAGCAACAGACTATACTCCGAAATTTATCTGGCTCTCTTTTATATGTACCTAAATTTTCCTAAAGATGGGAGAATACATTTTTTTTCGCAATAAAGAAAGAAATTTTGTCAGTTTTTGTTTTTTTAGGAGGATTTTAAAATTTCGATTTAGTTGAAAATATGCCCTCTGATAGAAAATACCTCGTAGAATCAAAAAATGAAAACGGTTCTTTTATATCTTAATCCGTTTTTGAGTTATTGATGAAAATGTAATTTTTTTTTTTTTTGAAATATCCAGTAAGAGTTTGGGATTTGGAATTATTTGAAAATATGCATATAAATAATGCCTCTTAGATTTAAAAAAATTAATATTGAATGCACAATTATTTAAAATTTTCCATTTATTAACAATTCATCTATATGTTTTACATTTTACAGTTCTTCAGAAACTTCCTCCCATGGACATTTCCCAGGCTTTTACGAACCATCGGTTTGGAACCACTGGACTCTTTGAGTCAGGTGGCAAAAGCATATTTTTTTGTAATTAAAGTATTTTAAACTTGAATAAATCTCAAAAGGCTATATATAAAGATAAGTGATGAGACGCATTTAAATCTATCAGTTTTGTTTTACATTTGGGAAAATCTACAGGGCAATTCGAGAATTATTAACGGAGGAAATTAAAAACAAGTTTTAAGGGTTGTAGGTAGAAAGCAACAGACTATATCCCGAGATTTGCTATCTTCTATATATACCTAAATTTTTCAATAGAATATTTTTTTGCGAAAAAAAAAATCGTATGTTTTTTTAGGATGATTATGGAATTTAGATTTAATTGAAAATTTGCACTCTGATAGAGAATACCTCGTAGAATCCAAAAATTAGATCGGGTCTTTGATATCTCAATCAGTTCTTGAGTTATTGGTGAAAACATTATACTGCACAAAGCTGGATAATTACATGTACTTTAAAAATAATTACAATTACAGAGTACTTTTTCAAAAAAGGAATTAATTACAAGTACAAAGTACCTGTTGTAAAAATAGGAATTGTATTGATTTAATTACAATTACATGAAAACAGAAATTAGCAATTACTTTTATAATAATAACTTTTCAAATTAATTTGCCGATAAAACAACAAATTATGATACAATTGATAAACCATGAACCAAAAGGACCGATACAAATAAATATTTTTTAAATAGGTAATTCAAAGTGCCAAACTAACAGCTGTTTGCAACGACTTTCTTAAGGATTCGCCCTTAAAGTTAAAGATATCTTAAGCCCAAACAGCACAAAGACATCTTTAAGACGTCTGTCAGAGACAAGACAGACGTCTAAAAGATGTCTTATGACGCCGGCCAGACGTCTTAAAGACATCTTTAAGACGTCTGGTGTTACAAAAGGTAACGTTCTTAAGACATCTTGAATATGTCTGTTTTTCGACATTGGTAAGACGTACTATCGGATTTAGTTTTAAAAGCTTCTCTAAATTATTTCTATACAAAATAAAACACATATTTTCTATAAACATTATTATTAACAAAATACTGAAACATTTCGTTAAAAAGAGTAATATTACAATTTTTTTTTTGATTCTTCCTCCATTAGTGGTTAATCTTCTGTCTGATGCTCTTCTGATCTGATCCAGTCTGGGTTGCAATAATTTTAACTGCGCTGTGTAAAATATTATGCATTATAGCTCACTCTGTCAAATTCGTTTTAATAAGATATTTAGTAGATAGTGTGGGTTAAGGGTGATCAAAGAATGGTAATCTTCCTGTACTTTCAACTCTAATTCAGATATATTTACATCCGATGAAGCTTCTAAGTCAGCTATAGACGTATTTAAAACACTAATAAGGGTTCTTATATTTGGTTTTTCAGTATATGCAGTAAACTTTTATGCTTATAAATTCACAGTAATCCACGGCACAAGACACAAATAAAAAAATCAATGAAAACGTAAAATGTCATTCACCGGGATGAAAACGAACAAAAACTAACCTTTCATATTCAACATAAACGACAAATGACAACGCAGAACGACACGAACCACGGAACCCCCAATAATACTCACATTCAGATACACGTCCTTGTTTAAATTATACTGTTGAAAAAAGACAAAGCATAATAAAAACATTCCCTTCGTTCGTTGGACCAAGTTCCGGTCAAGTTGAAAGAGCGCGTATTTCAATTTGTCTTAATATGTTTTAATTGTTAATTTTATTTAGAGTTATATTTATTATTATTATTATTATTATTATTATTTTTATGTTAACAAATATTTATTTACTCTAATGAACAAATGCTCGTGAATAAATAAAACAAATAAGTAAATTATATAAATTCATAAAAAAAAATTAAAAATAAATTTATATTTTGTGAAATTAGAAGCCAGTACTTTTTTTTAATGTTATCATTCTTTTTTATATTCTTTAAATAGATAGGCATTTAAAAGACGTCTTTAAGACGTCTATTTATGTGTCTTAAAAGACGTCTTTATAAAGACGTCTTTAAAACGTCTTTTTTAGGTCTTTAGGCGTTCAGTCATAACTACGACATAAAACAGACGTCTTTAAGATGTCGTGTGCTGTCTGGGAGGGTAGGTTGTATAAATCTTACTTAAAGTTTAACTCTGTTTGAGGTGACACATGACAAATTTTGTATGGCATAGGTGCAGTCTAAACACCATTTAGCACTTAGGGCTTGTTTCCCCAAAGATTAGATTGCACATCGGAAATTGACATGTATCACCTAAAACTGAGCTTAATTTTAAGTAACTTTTGTACAACCAGCCCTAAGTGCATTGTTTTCTATACCATTTAAGGTCTTCTTAACTTAAGGGAAAAGACAATCGATAAGTAGTATAAAAAATGAAACAGGTAAGTTAATAATAAAATGTGAACTTTTAAAAGTTTATTGATTTGGAACAAAAATATACAAAAGTACGTGTACCTACGCATAGGTACTTTTATATTTTACCTAATCATCCCAAACAAATCGGGCATCATTAGTCTGGGGCCGTTTAATCAAATAGATAAAATAGTTAACATTAAACATTTTATCGTCAAAAATTATGTGATACCTTTTTATTTTTATCGTTTAAGCTTGGGACACTTCATAAAACTAATTTTTCAAATATCATACCCTTAAAAAATATTTTTTAACAAGAGTAGACCGTTCGAAACCCACCGTTTTATTTAATTTAATTATTTAAAATTAATTCTGATGCCTTGGTAGGATTCCCCACTCGACTATTCACTGTTGGGTTCTAATTAACAGTGCTGTTCATAAAGTGGCGCTGGGAAACAGTAACAAGCCTACACAGAACACGAGGCTAATGACCTTAGTAGTCGATGTCGATGACACCAAGTAGACCACAGAATGTAAGAAAAATATTTGGTGTAAAATTATTAATGTTTACTTTTCAAGCAGGCAAAAAGTAATGACGCCTGCCTGCCTTCTGGGAGCCTTGACAAATGTTAGCAAAAGGAGAACAATCTCTCAACGGGACCAGAAGAAGGAAGTGCCGTATTATATTTAAAAAACACTTTACTCATCAAGTGCTATTTAGCATCGTAATATTTTTTTCTTAAATCATGGAGCTATAATTTATTTGAATTATGAATGGTTAATTTGTGGTTATATTTTATTCTAACTGTACCCCATTTTTTTGTACAACTGAATGTGTTACGCCTTCATTGAAATCAAAAAAGTCTTTATTTATAATATATTTGGTTGTAGTACTAATAAAATTACACACTTTACCATAGCTATTAATTTTTTATCCCGCTAGAGGGCGCTAAAATTGAAATGAACACAATCCCTACTTAAAATGTTTAGGTTAGATTGACGTAGGGGAGAGGAATGATATATGACATTTGAGGATATTATAGATATGTGTCCCGCTTGAAAAAAAAAATCGACCTGTTTTGCGTTCTTATCAAAAAAAATGTACTTCAAGATATTTTGAGATACGGACGGTCGCCACCCTTAATGAATCACCTTGTATATAATATTAAAATTATATTGAATAATATAACGTTAGTACAAACAAAAATGATACATATTTTACTCAAATATTTGGTTATAGATCTACATCATCAAATAATTTCTTATAACATAAAATATAGAACCGGTGGACCGAGCGTCTTCAAAGCTTCAAATTGCAAAAGTTACACAAGGCGCGTAGACAGACAGACATTGGCACTTTAATATACTAGGCCATAATTTGTAATCTTTGACATCTAGGTGATTTCGTTCATTTAAATTTTCAACTTATCGGGGACCACAAAAGTAATAAATACCATGATTTTGATATCATTTTGCTTCTCTAAGTGTCCCTAGCTTATATCTGAGTCCGATAAGGTTTTGGCTTTAGTAAGATTTATATTCCGTTACAAGTGCTATTAATTTAATTAAAATATTGCATTTTCTACGTTAAAATCAAATACTTGTAACGCTAAAGTAACTTAGAATACGTTTATTAAAATAGTTTATTCTTCATTTCAATGTAGAAAACTAGAATAATAACTAGAAATACCTACGCAACGTAAATAAGTAGTTTTTAGTATTTACCCCATAAAAACTGCTATTTGCACCACTTTATACTATATTTCCTTAGTTCATAATGTTTATACAACATAAATTATGTTTATAATAATATAAATACAAAATACGTCTTAAACATAAGGATATCTGCATCTACTTACCCCTTACTGTTATTATTTTGGGTTGAACAATTTCACTGCTTCACGGCACAACGCTTTCCTCAAATGCATTCAAACAAATGATATGAATGCCAGCCCGAGCTCTAGTGATCGGTTCGAATAGGAAATTTCTTGTTTTTATATCACGTGCATCTCATAAACACGCATTTAAAAGTAATTGTAATTAAAAAATGTAATTGTACTTATAAATGTAATTGCAATTGGAAAAAAGTAATTGGAATTGGAAAAGTAATTGGAATTGGAAAAGTAATTGTACTTATGACAAGTAATTGTATTTAGACAATTTAAATATTGTAAATATAATTACAAAGTACAATTCCGTCACAGATTTTGCTACAATTACATATTACTTTGAGAAAAAGGTACTTAAATAATATTACAAATTATATGAAAAAAAAGTAATTGTAATTATTAATTACTTTTTACCTAGGAATTACCCAGCTCTGATACTGCACCTATAGCATCTGAAATTGACATGTATCACCTAAAACTGAGCTTAACTTTTTTATACAACCAGCCCTAAGCTTATTGTTTTCTATACCTTCTAAGGTCTCCTTATTTTAAGGACCTAAGGGAAAAGACAAAACCCATAAGAAGTTTTATAAAAAATGGATAATGAAAATTAATAATAGTATATGACCTTTTAAAAGTTTATTGATTCGAAACCAAAATACAGAAGTTCGTGTACCCAGGCCTAGGTACTTTTATATTATTTTGGGACTTTGATTTAGTTGGTTGGACCCAGGAGACAGGAGGAAGGACGAGAATTAAATTTTTAGAATCCTTGAGCTTTTTATTAAAAAGATATATGCTAAAAAGGGAATTGTTATAGACAATGTCCCCCTTCCTTCCCCCATCCCTGCCAAAAATTCAGCCTGGAACCGCCATTGAAGCCGATCTTCATAAAGACCTTGATATTCCGTCAGTGAAAGAAGAGAGCAAAGGGTTAGTTGGCAATTATGAAGCCAGACTTTACCTATATATTAACGCAGGAGCTTTTCAGCTGTGGGACAATCGGGGCCATGTCCGACGAATGAAGAGGACCAAATCCTTTAATCTCGTGTAGTGTATGAGTTACTTGTAGGTATATAGTAATTGAAACAGAATAATGGAAATCTATGGCTTGACTTTAATTGATAAGTGTTAGCTCTCAATTTATATTTTTAAATTTACGCGCCGCGCCATTGACCAAACGAGCGCTGCGAATGTTTTGTTTGGTCCAGAGATGCTGAGTAAGAACTTTGCAATAAGCGGCAATAAAATGAGTTTAGTTGAATTATCGTGTTTAAATGTAATTGAAAATGAGTCTGAGTGATCTAATTTCGATAAACAAATAAATAAACTTAACATAAGTGAGATTGTTCAGAACAAAATTAATGGTTAGCCCACGAGACACATGTCAACATAAAAAAAACTGTATGCCTTTAAAATATTTAGAAAAATTCCTAAATAAGTTATTCATGTGTTAGATGACACCATAAAAATAGAAAAAAATACCGTTCTTGTTGCAGTATCCTCTCCTGATCTGTCAATAATAATCTTAATTCGTTCAACCATCCATCTTTAAGATTATTAAATTTCTTGTCTCCAGAACTTTGATTCAGCTTGGGGCTAGGTTTAGCAAACGAAGATTTTAAATAAATCCTATTTCCCGCTGAACTAACTTTATGAGTAATTTTAATAGAGTGATCATCTTTTTTACCCGCACCACGTGGTAACAATTTTTTCACTTCTAAATCGGGATTGACGCATTCGTCGTCAGAAATTTTCTTTTTAAGTTTCTTTATCCTTGTCTCTTCTGGATCACATATCGTAAGGTTTTCTTTTGTTTTCGGGGTTTCTGGAAACACATCCACTTTTCTTAGAAAACTTTTTTCGAATTCGTCCTCAATTTGAGAATTTTCGTCCAACTCGGTTATTCTATCTGAGAGGTCGTCCTCTTCTTCTTTTGACGATTTATCGTATTGCGCTTTAAGAAATTTTTTAATGGCCTTTGTTCCTTCCATTATAATTTTTCTTTCTGGATAGATTAAGGGATTATCCGTCACTTGCAAGGCTTTTAAATTTGGAACAGTACCTACGAAATCATAAAAGTAATATTTTAAAATAAAATAAACTCCTGGAATTAAATATATAATGTCGTTCTATTGGCAGAGACCAACACTGTTTTTTATTGACTTTCACCGCGCCGTGGTGTCTGGAGAACGAGACTCGACTTGAATATTTTCTCTCTCAGTCCGACGCGTGGATGAAGAATTTCGAGAAACTTCTAGACTAGCACGAAGCTTCTAATCAGGATTGTATTTTTTAAGGCTGTTACATTTTTGTATAAATAGTGCGACTTTGTCAATGGAACTTTAAGTTTCAATATAAATGTTATCAAGTAATGGTGAATTGTAAAATAAATTAAAATAGTGCTTGGAATATATATATATCTAAATACACTCGGTATTTGGTTTTTTAAAAAGATTTATTTTATTTAAGGTACAACTTATCGTATCAAACACAGATTCTAAACTGAATTAACTGAAAGGAAATATAATATAACAGGTGGCATTACACCTAAGGTGGAATGACACAAAACTAATCTAATGCAAATTCAGCAGTTCCAAGGTTCATCCACGAGGTTGCCGACTCAGGGTTATTGACTCTATAACTCTCCCCTTGTTAAAATGAGGCTTCTTGCGGAAGTCGAATATGGCCTTCTTCAGGGGTTGGTTCCGGTGGGGATTTTTCCTTCTTCTTCTTAGGCATCTTCTTGTGGATGATAAAAATAATTGTTACTGCTACTCCAAAATAAAGAATAATTGTCCATGCACTAGGAATATGATACTTAAAATTTTCGTTTATTATAGGTATTGGTCCATTTGAACTGATTTCTTTTAGTTTTAAACTTTTTAAATTTAATTTCATTGGCAACAGATTTATTTTTTCAAAATACAATTTTGGTTTATTTATTATAATTGGTTGTCCAAATGATTTTTCTTGAAAGGTTAATTCGTGATTTTTAAATATTATTTTACATGGTGAATTATCAATTAAAAATATTCCAGATAAAATTTTAATTTCGGTTCCTTGCAAGCATTGTATTGATAATTTTTCTTCTTGAGGAAATATTGCCAAAAATTGATTTGTTTCTGGTATAATTTCTATGTGATTTTTAGAAATATCTACCTTAACATATTGACATTGGCTAGAATTTCCTTTTAGTAAAATTTCTTTCTCGCATAATTGTTCATTATTATTTTGTAAACGGCTAGGACATTGGAATTTTTTACCGCGTGTGCAAATATCGTTTAGAGGCTTTATTTGATTTCCGGATTTTAATATATATTTTGTGTTTGGCATTATTATAACAAATTCTGATTCAAATTTGGTGGGAATTGGCAGTAAATAATATAGTTCGAATTCTGTTTCAAAATCAATAGGAATTGATAGAAAATATTGTATTTGATTTTTTTCTAATTTACAGTTAACCTCTAAGATTGATTCGAAATTTAAAATATTTTCATATTTTACTTCTAATGGTAGCTGAAATTGATAATGAGAAGAAATCTTTTTTAATTCTAAAAATAGCTCATGTGATTTTATGATACTAGGGTGAATGGTTTTCAGTTTACAAAATGTTATGGAATTTTCTACGTTTTCCATTATGTCCAGGATTAAATTATAAATTATCAATAATTCGTTAAATAAGTCTTTTAAGTAAATTACATTTTCAAATTTTGCTTGAAAGTCTACAATGTCTTTAATTTCTAGTATTTTAGATTTGAGATTAATTTCATTTTTTTGGATATCTTGAATTGTTTGATTAAAATTATTTATTATCTGGCTACTGACAGAATATTGCATTTTTAATTGATTCTGTAAATTAGCTTGATTTTCTTTTAAATGTTCTAAAATTGAATTTATTCTTTCTCCATCTTGGGAGTCTAAATTTCCGGTAATGGCTTTAAGAACTGATCCAAACCCATTTATTAAACCTCTTTTATTTTTTTCTAAAAGTGAGTGAATATTAAGATTGTTAAATTTTTCTTCTATATTAGTTTTAAGATAAACTATAATATTAACGAAATTCTCAGTTTCTATACTGAAGAATGTATTATTTGAAATATTATTTTTAAGATAGTTAAACTGTATGTTTAAATTATTGTATTCCTGCAATAGCGGGTTTAAATCGTAAAAATGCACGAATGTGTGCCTAGATTTTTGAAGTTTGGCAGGACCTAGATTAATTGGTAGGATACCTAAATTGTGGGTGATGTCTTTTATGTCTACTGATGCGTATCCGATTGTGACGCACCTGAAATAAAAGTATAAGGTTTTCTTTTAGGACGTTTAATATTTGATAAATGAATATCTTCGGCAGTATTTTTATGTCTAGTGATAATTTTAGCAGTATTTCTTTCTAGATTTGTATCTTTAATTTCTTCAGCTTGATATTTATTTTTTGTTTTACTTTGTTTTTGTCTGTTACGAACAAATACTTTAGAAGGAATTTCATCCGTTAACTTTTCTCGCTTTTCATTAGCTTTGGTAATAACTTTTTCTTTGGTTTCTTGTATATTTTTATTTAATTGTGAATATAATATTTTCATTTTTTCTTTGTGATCAGAAATATAATTATTTATTAATTGTTGCTCTATATCTAAATCGAAAACGGAATTATTTTCTAAATGACCTGTAGTAATTTCATAAGGTTTTAATTTTGTTACAGAGTGAATGCTATTATTATACGCTAAAAGTGCGTAATTAACTTTTTGTTCTATAGGTTCAGTTTTATATTCGTTTTGGTTATTTAGTAATCTAATATGTTCAATAATAGAAGAATGGAATCTTTCAGCGATGCCGTTGGATTCTGGATGCTGTGAGCTAATGAAATGAATCTTTACTTTGTGAAGATTTAGTAGATCTTTTACAAGTGAATTTTTTAATTCTGTACCGTTATCAGAAATTATTTGTTCTGGTATACAGTGATGAGTAAAATATTTAATTAGGCTATTGACTACTTCGATTCCTTGTGCGGAATTAATTTTATATAATTGACCATACTTTGAAAATGAGTCTATTATAGTTAAAAATTTATTATTTTCTAATGTTATTGTATCTAAATGTAGTATTTGGAAAGGTTTAATCGCTGTAGGAGTAATATTATAAATAGGTTTAATAGGTTTTCTATCGTATTTTGTTAATTGACATATTTCACAGCTGTTAATGTAGGTTTGAATTGATGCTCTTTGATTAGGCCAATAATATAATGTTTTAATTCTATTTTCTGTTTCATCTATACCTCTATGATTTTGTTTTCCTTCCTGATAATTTTTTATTACATCTTCAACTTCATTTAATGGGACATCAATAAATTTTTTGGAACATTTAATAAATGAGATTTGGGAATTTTTGAAAAATTGTTGTACAACAACGCTAAATTTTTCATATAGGGGATCTTCAAAATAGATATGATATTTTACTTTTGGTACTACGTACTCTTTTACAAATTTGATAACATCGTTTTCAAAATTATTTTTTGAGAATTGTACAAGAATTCGTTGTTTGTTTTCATAGGGTTTTATAATAGTAGGAGTGGTAGGAGCAAAATTGACTTCGGATATTATTATTTGATTTTTTCCGACATTTACCGCGCAATCCGCGATAGGTATGCCTGGTATTGGGTTCTCTACATTAGTGTGAATAGTATCGTTTTCATCTTCGATGTCATTATTTATATCATCAGGTTCTACTACAAGAGATTCTGTTTCATTATTTATTTTAGGACATTGAAGTTTGTTATTAAAGTTTTCCATATATTCGAAAATTTCTGTAGAAGTACTAGGTTTTGAATTAGTTATTGTTTCGTTTACATTAAGTTCTATTCTAGATAAGGCATCACTATTTGTATTTAGTGCACCCTTTTTGTACACTATATCGTAGTCGAACTCTTCAAGTTTTAACCTCCATCTCACTAGTTTAGAGTTGGGGTCTTTGACTGAGAAAAGCCATTGAAGAGCTTTTGCGTCGGTTACTATAGTAAATTTTCTCCCGAATAGATAGGGCCGAAAATACTTAGCCGACCAAACAATTGCCAAGAGTTCCTTCTCAATTGTTGAGTAGTTTATCTCTGACTCATTCAGAGTTCTACTTGCAAATGCAATAGGTAAATCAGATCCGATTTTTCCTTGACTCAAAACGGCGCCTAATGCGAAATTGCTCGCATCCGTTGTAAGATTAAAAGGTTTTGAAAAATCTGGATACTGGAGTATCGGTTCATTAATTAGCAAATTTTTACAAGTTTCAAAACATTTAAAATAGTCCGGTTCATTTATATTAATTTCTGCATTTTTCTTTAAACGAATAGTTAATGGTTTAGTTAATTTAGAAAAGTCTTTAATGAATTTCCTATAATATCCGAGTAGGCCTAGAAATCCTTTTAATTGTTTAGTATTTTTAGGTATTGGAAATTTTTTTATTGCTATTATTTTATCTGGATTTGGCTTAACCCCATGTGGCGTAACTATATGGCCTAAATAAGATACTTCTTTTCTCAAGAACTCGGATTTATCGATTTGAATTTTGAAATTTGATTCTCGTAATCTTTGAAAAACTTCTTTTAAATTTGTTATATGCTCTTGGAGACTTGTGCTAAAGACAATAATGTCATCGAGGTATACTAAACATTTTTCGTTTTGTATCCCTCTTAAAATGTTATCCATGACCCTCTGAAACGTGGCTGGAGCATTGCGTAGCCCAAAAGGCATACGTAAAAATTCATAGTGACCGTTTTCTGTATTAAAAGCGGTTTTAGGTATATCTTCTTTGGCCATTTCAATTTGGTGAAATCCCGAAGCAAGATCTAATGTAGTAAAATATTGGCAACGACCAAGTTTATCCAATAAATCACTGATAATTGGTAAAGGATACCGGTCTCCTAAAGTGATAGCATTTAGGCGACGGTAGTCTATAACAACGCGAAATTTTGGCTTCATTGAAGCATCAAGTTTTTTTGGCACTACCCAGATAGGCGATGACCAAGGTGAATGTGAAGGCCTTATAATATTTTGATCTAACATATTTTTTATT